CGAGAAGCGTCCCTTTTGCCCTGCCAAGCCTCAAAGTGATTCCTGAAGTGTCCCTCGTTACTAGACAGGAGTCCTGACGTCACTGAAGAAACTCGTGTTTTGAAGGGCCATCCCCGCCGAAAGTCGAGTACATACACCAGGTCCCCGCCGCAACTCGAGAAAAACCATGAGACTTCCCCCTAGAGGCGAGATGAGGCCCCATTCCCCTGCAGTGCATGCAGAGCTATTCCGTGATCCCATTCAAACAAGTCAGGAGCTTCGACTTGCTTAATGGATCTCGAGACAGTCCCCAAGAACACTGTCACCAGTCTAGACGGACCCTGATGTCACCCCAGCAATGCAAAGCAGCTCCATGTGCCCCAAATCAACTCGAGATGAGGCCCGATTCCCCTGCATTGACTCCAGAGCCATTCCCCGTTCCCCATTCAACACGACCGGTGGCTCGACTTCCTTCAGACAACTCCAGAGATGCCCCGAGAACACTGTCCCAGGTCTAGAGGAACACCAACTTCAGCACAGCAACTCGAGGAATGCTCAGTGTACCCCAAATCGTCTCGAGATGAGAGCTGATTCCCTGGCTTAGGCTCAAGACGTATGCCAACTTTCCAGAAGCACCTCACGAGGAGTCTTCTCTCAGCAATAGGTATGTGGGAGGGACCCCGAGTATGCTGCCTCAAGGGGAATATACAGCGAGAAGCCCTAGCTAGAAAGGAGGCCGGATTTCCTTGCAGTGGCTTGAATACAGGCTCGTCTTTCATCTCACAACATGAAGGGATGTCTGAAGCCACTGTGGAGACCTTAGAGAAAGCCCTAGGTCCCTGCCTCATTTTGACGGAATGCCTCACATCCCGCTGACACCTCGAGAGGCACGCGGAGTTCATTGCTTCAAAAGGTGACGATGCCTGATTCCTCTTGAATACTGATAGGAATCCCAAAATCCCTGTGGCTACTGGAAAGGGTCCTTGGGTGCCTTGCCTCACGTCGAGAAGCGTCCCTTTTGCCCTGCCAAGCCTCGAAGAGATTCCTGAGGTGTCCCTCGTTACTAGACAGAAGTCCTGACGTCACTGAAGAAACTCGTGTTTTGAAGGGACATCCCCGCCTTAAGTCGAGAACATATCCCAGGTCCCCGCCGCAACTCGAGAAAAACCATGAGACTTCCCCCTAGAGGCGAGATGAGGCCCCATTCCCCTGCAGTGCATGCAGAGCTATTCCATGATCCAATTCAAGCAAGTCAGGAGTTTCGACTTGCTTAATGGATCTCGAGACAGTCCCCAAGAACACTGTCACCAGTCTAGACGGACCCTGATGTCACCCCAGCAATACAAAGCAGCTCCATGTACCCCAAATCAACTCGAGATGAGGCCCGATTCCCCTGCATTGACTCCAGAGCCATTCCCCGTTCCCCATTCAGCACGACCGGTGGCTCGACTTCCTTCAGGCAACTCCAGAGATGCCCCGAGAACACTGTCCCAGGTCTAGAGGAACATCAACTTCAGCACAGCAACTCGAGGAATGCTCCGTGTACCCCAAATCGTCTCGAGATGAGAGCTGATTCCCTGGCTTAGGCTCAAGACGTATGCCAACTTTCCAGAAGCACCACAGGAGGAGGCTTCTCTCAGCAATAGTTATGTGGGAGGGGCCCCGACTTTGCTGCCTCAAGGGGAATATACAGCGAGAAGCCCTAACTTGAAAGGAGGCCGGATTTCCTTGCAGTGGCTTGAATACAGGCTCGTGTTTCATGTCACAACATGAAGGGTTGTCTGAATCCCCTGTGGAGACCTTAGAGAAAGCCCTAGGTCCCTGCCTCATTTTGACGGAATGCCTCACATCCCGTTGACACCTCGAGAGGCACGCGGAGTTCATTGCTTCAAAAGGTGACGACGCCTGACTCCTCTAGAATACTGACAGGAATCCCAAAATCCCTGTGGCTACTGGAAAGGGTCCTTGGGTGCCCTGCCTCACCTCGAGAAGCGTCCCTTTTGCCCTGCCAAGCCTCGAAGAGATTCCTGAGGTGTCCCTCGTTACTAGACAGGAGTCCTGACGTCACTGAAGAAACTCGTGTTTTGAAGGGCCATCCCCGCCGTAAGTCGAGAACATACCCCAGGTCCCCGCCGCAACTCGAGAAAAACCATGAGACTTCCCCCTAGATGCGAGATGAGGCCCCATTCCCCTGCAGTGCATGCAGAGCTATTCCATGATCCCATTCAAGCAAGTCAGGAGCTTCGACTTGCTTAATGGATCTCGAGACAGTCCCCAAGAACACTGTCACCAGTCTAGACGGACCCTGAGGTCACCCCAGCAACGCAAAGCAGCTCCATGTGCCCCAAATCATCTCGAGATGAGGCCCGATTCCCCTGCATTGACTCCAGAGCCATTCCCCGTTCCCCATTCAACACGACCGGTGGCTCGACTTCCTTCAGACAACTTCCAGAGATGCCCCGAGAACACTGTCCCAGGTCTAGAGGAACACCAACTTCAGCACAGCAACTCGAGGAATGCTCCGTGTACCCCAAATCGTCTCGAGATGAGAGCTGATTCCCTGTCTTAGGCTCAAGACGCATGCCAACTTTCCAGAAGCACCTCAGGAGGAGGCTTCTCTCAGCAATAGGTATGTGGGAGGGACCCCGAGTTTGCTGCCTCAAGGGGAATATACAGCGAGAATCCCTAACTAGAAAGGAGGCCGGATTTCCTTGCAGTGGCTTGAATACAGGCTCGTCTTTCATCTCACAACATGAAGGGATGTCTGAAGCCACTGTGGAGACCTTAGAGAAAGCCCTAGGTCCCTGCCTCATTTTGACGGAATGCCTCACATCCCGCTGACACCTCGAGAGGCACGCGGAGTTCATTGCTTCAAAAGGTGACGATGCCTGACTCCTCTTGAATAATGATAGGAATCCCAAAATCGCTGTGGCTACTGGAAAGGGTCCTTGGGTGCCCTGCCTCACCTCGAGAAGCGTCCCTTTTGCCCTGCCAAGCCTCGAAGAGATTCCTGACGTGTCCCTCGTTACTAGACAGGAGTCCTCACGTCACTGAACAAACTCGGGTTTTGAAGGGCCATCCCCGCCGTAAGTCGAGAACATACCCCAGGTCCCCGCCGCAACTCGAGAAAAACCATGAGACTTCCCCCTAGATGCGAGATGAGGCCCCATTCCCCTGCAGTGCATGCAGAGCTATTCCGTGATCCCATTCAAACAAGTCAGGAGCTTCGTCTGGCTTAATGGGTCTCTAGACAGTCCCCAAGAACACTGTCACCAGTCTAGACGGACCCTGAGGTCACCCCAGCAACGCAAAGCAGCTCCATGTGCCCCAAATCAACTCGAGATGAGGCCCGATTCCCCTGCATTGACTCCAGAGCCATTCCCCGTTCCCCATTCAACACGACCGGTGGCTCGACTTCCTTCAGGCAACTCCAGAGATGCCCCGAGAACACTGTCCAAAGTCTAGAGGAACACCAACTTCAGCACAGCAACTCGAGGAATGCTCCGTGTACCCCAAATCGTCTTGAGATGAGAGCTGATTCCCTGGCTTAGGCTCAAGACGTATGCCAACTTTCCAGAAGCACCTCAGGAGGAGGCTTCTCTCAGCAATAGGTATGTGAAAGGGACCCCGAGTATGCTGCCTCAAGGGGAATATACAGCGAGAAGCCCTAACTTGAAAGGAGGCCGGATTTCCTTGCAGTGGCTTGAATACAGGCTCGTCTTTCATCTCACAACATGAAGGGATGTCTGAATCCCCTGTGGAGACCTTAGAGAAAGCCCTAGGTCCCTGCCTCATTTTGACGGAATGCCTCACATCCCGTTGACACCTCGAGAGGCACGCGGAGTTCATTGCTTCAAAAGGTGACGATGCCTGACTCCTCTAGAATACTGACAGGAATCCCAAAATCCCTTTGGCTACTGGAAAGGGTCCTTTGGTGCCCTGCCTCACCTCGAGAAGCGTCCCTTTTGCCCTGCCAAGCCTCGAAGAGATTCCTGAGGTGTCCCTCGTTACAAGACAGGAGTCCTGACGTCACTGAAGAAACTCGTGTTTTGAAGGGCCATCCCCGCCGTAAGTCGAGAACATACCCCAGGTCCCCGCCGCAACTCGAGAAAAACCATGAGACTTCCCCCTAGAGGCGAGATGAGGCCCCATTCCCCTGCAGTGCATGCAGAGCTATTCCATGATCCCATTCAAGCAAGTCAGGAGCTTCGACTTGCTTAATGGATCTCGAGACAGTCCCCAAGAACACTGTCACCAGTCTAGACGGACCCTGAGGTCACCCCAGCAACGCAAAGCAGCTCCATGTGCCCCAAATCAACTCGAGATGAGGCCCGATTCCCCTGCATTGACTCCAGAGCCATTCCCCGTTCCCCATTCAACACGACCAGTGGCTCGACTTCTTTCAGACAACTCCAGAGATGCCCCGAGAACACTTTCCCAGGTCTAGAGGAACACCAACTTCAGCACAGCAACTCGAGGAATGCTCCGTGTACCCCAAATCGTCTCGAGATGAGAGCTGATTCCCTGTCTTAGGCTCAAGACGTATGCCAACTTTCCAGAAGCACCTCAGGAGGAGGCTTCTCTCAGCAATAGGTATGTGGGAGGGACCCCGAGTTTGCTGCCTCAAGGGGAATATACAGCGAGAATCCCTAACTAGAAAGGAGGCCGGATTTCCTTGCAGTGGCTTGAATACAGTCTCGTCTTTCATCTCACAACATGAAGGGATGTCTGAAGCCACTGTGGAGACCTTAGAGAAAGCCCTAGTTCCCTGCCTCATTTTGACGGAATGCCTCACATCCCGCTGACACCTCGAGAGGCACGCGGAGTTCATTGCTTCAAAAGGTGACGATGCCTGACTCCTCTTGAATAATGATAGGAATCAGAAAATCGCTGTGGCTACTGGAAAGGGTCCTTGGGTGCCCTGCCTCACCTCGAGAAGCGTCCCTTTTGCCCTGCCAAGCCTCGAAGAGATTCCTGAGGTGTCCCTCGTTACTAGACAGGAGTCCTGACGTCACTGAAGAAACTCGTGTTTTGAAGGGCCATCCCCGCCATAAGTCGAGAACATATCCCAGGTCCCCGCCGCAACTCGAGAAAAACCATGAGACTTCCCCCTAGAGGCGAGATGAGGCCCCATTCCCCTGCAGTGCATGCAGAGCTATTCTGTGATCCCATTCAAACAAGTCAGGAGCTTCGTCTGGCTTAATGGGTCTCTAGACAGTCCCCAAGAACACTGTCACCAGTCTAGACGGACCCTGAGGTCACCCCAGCAACGCAAAGCAGCTCCATGTGCCCCAAATCAACTCGAGATGAGGCCCGATTCCCCTGCATTGACTCCAGAGCCATTCCCCGTTCCCCATTCAACACGACCGGTGGCTCGACTTCCTTCAGGCAACTCCAGAGATGCCCCGAGAACACTGTCCCAAGTCTAGAGGAACACCAACATCAGCACAGCAACTCGGGGAATGCTCAGTGTACCCCAAATCGTCTCGAGATGAGAGCTGATTCCCTGTCTTAGGCTCAAGACGCATGCCAACTTTCCAGAAGCACCACAGGAGGAGGCTTCTCTCAGCAATAGGTATGTGGGAGGGACCCCGAGTTTGCTGCCTCAAGGGGAATATACAGCGAGAATCCCTAACTAGAAAGGAGGCCGGATTTCCTTGCAGTGGCTTGAATACCGGCTCGTCTTTCATCTCACAACATGAAGGGATGTCTGAAGCCACTGTGGAGACCTTAGAGAAAGCCCTAGGTCCCTGCCTCATTTTGACGGAATGCCTCACATCCTGCTGACACCTCGAGAGGCACGCGGAGTTCATTGCTTCAAAAGGTGACGATGCCTGACTCCTCTTGAATAATGATAGGAATCCCAAAATCGCTGTGGCTACTGGAAAGGGTCCTTGGGTGCCCTGCCTCACCTCGAGAAGCGTCCTTTTTGCCCTGCCAAGCATCGAAGAGATTCCTGAGGTGTCCCTCGTTACTAGACAGGAGTCCTCACGTCACTGAACAAACTCGGGTTTTGAAGGGCCATCCCCGCCGTAAGTCGAGAACATACCCCAGGTCCCCGCCGCAACTCGAGAAAAACCATGAGACTTCCCCCTAGAGGCGAGATGAGGCCCCATTCCCCTGCAGTGCATGCAGAGATATTCCGTGATCCCATTCAAACAAGTCAGGAGCTTCGTCTGGCTTAATGGGTCTCTAGACAGTCCCCAAGAACACTGTCACCAGTCTAGATGGACCCTGAGGTCACCCCAGCAACGCAAAGCAGCTCCATGTGCCCCAAATCAACTCGAGATGAGGCCCGATTTCCCTGCATTGACTCCAGAGCCATTCCCCGTTCCCCATTCAACACGACCGGTGGCTCGACTTCCTTCAGGCAACTCCAGAGATGCCCCAAGAACACTGTCCAAAGTCTAGAGGAACACAAACTTCAGCACAGCAACTCGAGGAATGCTCCGTGTACCCCAAAACGTCTTGAGATGAGAGCTGATTCCCTGGCTTAGGCTCAAGACGTATGCCAACTTTCCAGAAGCACCTCAGGAGGAGGCTTCTCTCAGCAATAGGTATGTGAAAGGGACCCCGAGTATGCTGCCTCAAGGGGAATATACAGCGAGAAGCCCTAACTTGAAAGGAAGCCGGATTTCCTTGCAGTGGCTTGAATACAGGCTCGTCTTTCATCTCACAACATGAAGGGATGTCTGAATCCCCTGTGGAGAACTTAGAGATAGCCCTAGGTCTCTGCCTCATTTTGACGGAATGCCTCACATCCCGCTGACACCTCGAGAGGCACGCGGAGTTCATTGCTTCAAAAGGTGACGATGCCTGACTCCTCTTGAATACTGATAGGAATCCCAAAATCCCTGTGGCTACTGGAGAGGGTCCTTGGGTGCCCTGCCTCACCTCGAGAAGCGTCCCTTTTGCCCTGCCAAGCCTCGAAGAGATTCCTGAGGTGTCCCTCGTTACTAGACAGGAGTCCTGACGTCACTGAAGAAACTCGTGTTTTGAAGGGCCATCCCCGCCATAAGTCGAGAACATATCCCAGGTCCCCGCCGCAACTCGAGAAAAACCATGAGACTTCCCCCTAGAGGCGAGATGAGGCCCCATTCCCCTGCAGTGCATGCAGAGCTATTCCGTGATCCCATTCAAACAAGTCAGGAGCTTCGTCTGGCTTAATGGGTCTCTAGACAGTCCCCAAGAACACTGTCACCAGTCTAGACGGACCCTGAGGTCACCCCAGCAACGCAAAGCAGCTCCATGTGCCCCAAATCAACTCGAGATGAGGCCCGATTCCCCTGCATTGACTCCAGAGCCATTCCCCGTTCCCCATTCAACACGACCGGTGGCTCGACTTCCTTCAGGCAACTCCATAGATGCCCCGAGAACACTGTCCCAAGTCTAGAGGAACACAAACTTCAGCACAGCAACTCGAGGAATGCTCCGTGTACCCCAAATCGTCTTGAGATGAGAGCTGATTCCCTGGCTTAGGCTCAAGACGTATGCCAACTTTCCAGAAGCACCTCAGGAGGAGGCTTCTCTCAGCAATAGGTATGTGAAAGGGACCCCGAGTATGCTGCCTCAAGGGGAATATACAGCGAGAAGCCCTAACTTGAAAGGAGGCCGGATTTCCTTGCAGTGGCTTGAATACAGGCTCGTGTTTCATGTCACAACATGAAGGGTTGTCTGAATCCCCTGTGGAGACCTTAGAGAAAGCCCTAGGTCCCTGCCTCATTTTGACGGAATGCCTCACATCCCGTTGACACCTCGAGAGGCACGCGGAGTTCATTGCTTCAAAAGGTGACGACGCCTGACTCCTCTAGAATACTGACAGGAATCCCAAAATCCCTGTGGCTACTGGAAAGGGTCCTTGGGTGCCCTGCCTCACCTCGAGAAGCGTCCCTTTTGCCCTGCCAAGCCTCGAAGAGATTCCTGAGGTGTCCCTCGTTACTAGACAGGAGTCCTGACGTCACTGAAGAAACTCGTGTTTTGAAGGGCCATCCCCGCCGTAAGTCGAGAACATACCCCAGGTCCCCGCCGCAACTCGAGAAAAACCATGAGACTTCCCCCTAGATGCGAGATGAGGCCCCATTCCCCTGCAGTGCATGCAGAGCTATTCCATGATCCCATTCAAGCAAGTCAGGAGCTTCGACTTGCTTAATGGGTCTCGAGACAGTCCCCAAGAACACTGTCACCAGTCTAGACGGACCCTGAGGTCACCCCAGCAACGCAAAGCAGCTCCATGTGCCCCAAATCATCTCGAGATGAGGCCCGATTCCCCTGCATTGACTCCAGAGCCATTCCCCGTTCCCCATTCAACACGACCGGTGGCTCGACTTCCTTCAGACAACTCCAGAGATGCCCCGAGAACACTGTCCCAGGTCTAGAGGAACACCAACTTCAGCACAGCAACTCGAGGAATGCTCCGTGTACCCCAAATCGTCTCGAGATGAGAGCTGATTCCCTGTCTTAGGCTCAAGACGCATGCCAACTTTCCAGAAGCACCTCAGGAGGAGGCTTCTCTCAGCAATAGGTATGTGGGAGGGACCCCGAGTTTGCTGCCTCAAGGGGAATATACAGCGAGAATCCCTAACTAGAAAGGAGGCCGGATTTCCTTGCAGTGGCTTGAATACAGGCTCGTCTTTCATCTCACAACATGAAGGGATGTCTGAAGCCACTGTGGAGACCTTAGAGAAAGCCCTAGGTCCCTGCCTCATTTTGACGGAATGCCTCACATCCCGCTGACACCTCGAGAGGCACGCGGAGTTCATTGCTTCAAAAGGTGACGATGCCTGACTCCTCTTGAATAATGATAGGAATCCCAAAATCGCTGTGGCTACTGGAAAGGGTCCTTGGGTGCCCTGCCTCACCTCGAGAAGCGTCCCTTTTGCCCTGCCAAGCCTCGAAGAGATTCCTGACGTGTCCCTCGTTACTAGACAGGAGTCCTCACGTCACTGAACAAACTCGGGTTTTGAAGGGCCATCCCCGCCGTAAGTCGAGAACATACCCCAGGTCCCCGCCGCAACTCGAGAAAAACCATGAGACTTCCCCCTAGATGCGAGATGAGGCCCCATTCCCCTGCAGTGCATGCAGAGCTATTCCGTGATCCCATTCAAACAAGTCAGGAGCTTCGTCTGGCTTAATGGGTCTCTAGACAGTCCCCAAGAACACTGTCACCAGTCTAGACGGACCCTGAGGTCACCCCAGCAACGCAAAGCAGCTCCATGTGCCCCAAATCAACTCGAGATGAGGCCCGATTCCCCTGCATTGACTCCAGAGCCATTCCCCGTTCCCCATTCAACACGACCGGTGGCTCGACTTCCTTCAGGCAACTCCAGAGATGCCCCGAGAACACTGTCCAAAGTCTAGAGGAACACCAACTTCAGCACAGCAACTCGAGGAATGCTCCGTGTACCCCAAATCGTCTTGAGATGAGAGCTGATTCCCTGGCTTAGGCTCAAGACGTATGCCAACTTTCCAGAAGCACCTCAGGAGGAGGCTTCTCTCAGCAATAGGTATGTGAAAGGGACCCCGAGTATGCTGCCTCAAGGGGAATATACAGCGAGAAGCCCTAACTTGAAAGGAGGCCGGATTTCCTTGCAGTGGCTTGAATACAGGCTCGTCTTTCATCTCACAACATGAAGGGATGTCTGAATCCCCTGTGGAGACCTTAGAGAAAGCCCTAGGTCCCTGCCTCATTTTGACGGAATGCCTCACATCCCGTTGACACCTCGAGAGGCACGCGGAGTTCATTGCTTCAAAAGGTGACGATGCCTGACTCCTCTAGAATACTGACAGGAATCCCAAAATCCCTTTGGCTACTGGAAAGGGTCCTTGGGTGCCCTGCCTCACCTCGAGTAGCGTCCCTTTTGCCCTGCCAAGCCTCGAAGAGATTCCTGAGGTGTCCCTCGTTACAAGACAGGAGTCCTGACGTCACTGAAGAAACTCGTGTTTTGAAGGGCCATCCCCGCCGTAAGTCGAGAACATACCCCAGGTCCCCACCGCAACTCGAGAAAAACCATGAGACTTCCCCCTAGATGCGAGATGAGGCCCCATTCCCCTGCAGTGCATGCAGAGCTATTCCATGATCCCATTCAAGCAAGTCAGGAGCTTCGACTTGCTTAATGGATCTCGAGACAGTCCCCAAGAACACTGTCACCAGTCTAGACGGACCCTGAGGTCACCCCAGCAACGCAAAGCAGCTCCATGTGCCCCAAATCAACTCGAGATGAGGCCCGATTCCCCTGCATTGACTCCAGAGCCATTCCCCGTTCCCCATTCAACACGACCAGTGGCTCGACTTCTTTCAGACAACTCCAGAGATGCCCCGAGAACACTTTCCCAGGTCTAGAGGAACACCAACTTCAGCACAGCAACTCGAGGAATGCTCCGTGTACCCCAAATCGTCTCGAGATGAGAGCTGATTCCCTGTCTTAGGCTCAAGACGTATGCCAACTTTCCAGAAGCACCTCAGGAGGAGGCTTCTCTCAGCAATAGGTATGTGGGAGGGACCCCGAGTTTGCTGCCTCAAGGGGAATATACAGCGAGAATCCCTAACTAGAAAGGAGGCCGGATTTCCTTGCAGTGGCTTGAATACAGTCTCGTCTTTCATCTCACAACATGAAGGGATGTCTGAAGCCACTGTGGAGACCTTAGAGAAAGCCCTAGTTCCCTGCCTCATTTTGACGGAATGCCTCACATCCCGCTGACACCTCGAGAGGCACGCGGAGTTCATTGCTTCAAAAGGTGACGATGCCTGACTCCTCTTGAATAATGATAGGAATCCCAAAATCGCTGTGGCTACTGGAAAGGGTCCTTGGGTGCCCTGCCTCACCTCGAGAAGCGTCCCTTTTGCCCTGCCAAGCCTCGAAGAGATTCCTGAGGTGTCCCTCGTTACTAGACAGGAGTCCTGACGTCACTGAAGAAACTCGTGTTTTGAAGGGCCATCCCCGCCATAAGTCGAGAACATATCCCAGGTCCCCGCCGCAACTCGAGAAAAACCATGAGACTTCCCCCTAGAGGCGAGATGAGGCCCCATTCCCCTGCAGTGCATGCAGAGCTATTCTGTGATCCCATTCAAACAAGTCAGGAGCTTCGTCTGGCTTAATGGGTCTCTAGACAGTCCCCAAGAACACTGTCACCAGTCTAGACGGACCTGAGGTCACCCCAGCAACGCAAAGCAGCTCCATGTGCCCCAAATCAACTCGAGATGAGGCCCGATTCCCCTGCATTGACTCCAGAGCCATTCCCCGTTCCCCATTCAACACGACCGGTGGCTCGACTTCCTTCAGGCAACTCCAGAGATGCCCCGAGAACACTGTCCCAAGTCTAGAGGAACACCAACATCAGCACAGCAACTCGGGGAATGCTCAGTGTACCCCAAATCGTCTCGAGATGAGAGCTGATTCCCTGTCTTAGGCTCAAGACGCATGCCAACTTTCCAGAAGCACCACAGGAGGAGGCTTCTCTCAGCAATAGGTATGTGGGAGGGACCCCGAGTTTGCTGCCTCAAGGGGAATATACAGCGAGAATCCCTAACTAGAAAGGAGGCCGGATTTCCTTGCAGTGGCTTGAATACCGGCTCGTCTTTCATCTCACAACATGAAGGGATGTCTGAAGCCACTGTGGAGACCTTAGAGAAAGCCCTAGGTCCCTGCCTCATTTTGACGGAATGCCTCACATCCCGCTGACACCTCGAGAGGCACGCGGAGTTCATTGCTTCAAAAGGTGACGATGCCTGACTCCTCTTGAATAATGATAGGAATCCCAAAATCGCTGTGGCTACTGGAAAGGGTCCTTGGGTGCCCTGCCTCACCTCGAGAAGCGTCCTTTTTGCCCTGCCAAGCATCGAAGAGATTCCTGAGGTGTCCCTCGTTACTAGACAGGAGTCCTCACGTCACTGAAGAAACTCGTGTTTTGAAGGGCCATCCCCGCCGTAAGTCGAGAACATACCCCAGGTCCCCGCCGCAACTCGAGAAAAACCATGAGACTTCCCCCTAGAGGCGAGATGAGGCCCCATTCCCCTGCAGTGCATGCAGAGATATTCCGTGATCCCATTCAAACAAGTCAGGAGCTTCGTCTGGCTTAATGGGTCTCTAGACAGTCCCCAAGAACACTGTCACCAGTCTAGATGGACCCTGAGGTCACCCCAGCAACGCAAAGCAGCTCCATGTGCCCCAAATCAACTCGAGATGAGGCCCGATTTCCCTGCATTGACTCCAGAGCCATTCCCCGTTCCCCATTCAACACGACCGGTGGCTCGACTTCCTTCAGGCAACTCCAGAGATGCCCCAAGAACACTGTCCAAAGTCTAGAGGAACACAAACTTCAGCACAGCAACTCGAGGAATGCTCCGTGTACCCCAAAACGTCTTGAGATGAGAGCTGATTCCCTGGCTTAGGCTCAAGACGTATGCCAACTTTCCAGAAGCACCTCAGGAGGAGGCTTCTCTCAGCAATAGGTATGTGAAAGGGACCCCGAGTATGCTGCCTCAAGGGGAATATACAGCGAGAAGCCCTAACTTGAAAGGAAGCCGGATTTCCTTGCAGTGGCTTGAATACAGGCTCGTCTTTCATCTCACAACATGAAGGGATGTCTGAATCCCCTGTGGAGAACTTAGAGATAGCCCTAGGTCTCTGCCTCATTTTGACGGAATGCCTCACATCCCGCTGACACCTCGAGAGGCACGCGGAGTTCATTGCTTCAAAAAGTGACGATGCCTGACTCCTCTTGAATACTGATAGGAATCCCAAAATCCCTGTGGCTACTGGAAAGGGTCCTTGGGTGCCCTGCCTCACCTCGAGAAGCGTCCCTTTTGCCCTGCCAAGCCTCGAAGAGATTCCTGAGGTGTCCCTCGTTACTAGACAGGAGTCCTGACGTCACTGAAGAAACTCGTGTTTTGAAGGGCCATCCCCGCCATAAGTCGAGAACATATCCCAGGTCCCCGCCGCAACTCGAGAAAAACCATGAGACTTCCCCCTAGAGGCGAGATGAGGCCCCATTCCCCTGCAGTGCATGCAGAGCTATTCCGTGATCCCATTCAAACAAGTCAGGAGCTTCGTCTGGCTTAATGGGTCTCTAGACAGTCCCCAAGAACACTGTCACCAGTCTAGACGGACCCTGAGGTCACCCCAGCAACGCAAAGCAGCTCCATGTGCCCCAAATCAACTCGAGATGAGGCCCGATTCCCCTGCATTGACTCCAGAGCCATTCCCCGTTCCCCATTCAACACGACCGGTGGCTCGACTTCCTTCAGGCAACTCCAGAGATGCCCCGAGAACACTGTCCCAAGTCTAGAGGAACACAAACTTCAGCACAGCAACTCGAGGAATGCTCCGTGTACCCCAAATCGTCTTGAGATGAGAGCTGATTCCCTGGCTTAGGCTCAAGACGTATGCCAACTTTCCAGAAGCACCTCAGGAGGAGGCTTCTCTCAGCAATAGGTATGTGAAAGGGACCCCGAGTATGCTGCCTCAAGGGGAATATACAGCGAGAAGCCCTAACTTGAAAGGAGGCCGGATTTCCTTGCAGTGGCTTGAATACAGGCTCGTCTTTCATCTCACAACATGAAGGGATGTCTGAATCCCCTGTGGAGACATTAGAGAAAGCCCTAGGTCCCTGCCTCATTTTGACGGAATGCCTCACATCCCGTTGACACCTCGAGAGGCACGCGGAGTTCATTGCTTCAAAAGGTGACGATGCCTGACTCCTCTAGAATACTGACAGGAATCCCAAAATCCCTTTGGCTACTGGAAAGGGTCTTTGGGTGCCCTGCCTCACCTCGAGAAGCGTCCCTTTTGCCCTGCCAAGCCTCGAAGAGATTCCTGAGGTGTCCCTCGTTACAAGACAGGAGTCCTGACGTCACTGAAGAAACTCGTGTTTTGAAGGGCCATCCCCGCCGTAAGTCGAGAACATACCCCAGGTCCCCGCCGCAACTCGAGAAAAACCATGAGACTTCCCACTAGATGCGAGATGAGGCCCCATTCCCCTGCAGTGCATGCAGAGCTATTCCATGATCCCATTCAAGCAAGTCAGGAGCTTCGACTTGCTTAATGGATCTCGAGACAGTCCCCAAGAACACTGTCACCAGTCTAGACGGACCCTGAGGTCACCCCAGCAACGCAAAGCAGCTCCATGTGCCCCAAATCAACTCGAGATGAGGCCCGAATCCCCTGCATTGACTCCAGAGCCATTCCCCGTTCCCCATTCAACACGACCGGTGGCTCGACTTCCTTCAGACAACTCCAGAGATGCCCCGAGAACACTGTCCCAAGTCTAGAGGAACACCAACATCAGCACAGCAACTCGGGGAATGCTCAGTGTACCCCAAATCGTCTCGAGATGAGAGCTGATTCCCTGTCTTAGGCTCAAGACGCATGCCAACTTTCCAGAAGCACCACAGGAGGAGGCTTCTCTCAGCAATAGGTATGTGGGAGGGACCCCGAGTTTGCTGCCTCAAGGGGAATATACAGCGAGAATCCCTAACTAGAAAGGAGGCCGGATTTCCTTGCAGTGGCTTGAATACAGGCTCGTCTTTCATCTCACAACATGAAGGGATGTCTGAAGCCACTGTGGAGACCTTAGAGAAAGCCCTAGGTCCCTGCCTCATTTTGACGGAATGCCTCACATCCCGCTGACACCTCGAGAGGCACGCGGAGTTCATTGCTTCAAAAGGTGACGATGCCTGACTCCTCTTGAATACTGATAGGAATCCCAAAATCCCTGTGGCTACTGGAAAGGGTCCTTGGGTGCCCTGCCTCACCTCGAGAAGCGTCCCTTTGGCCCTGCCAAGCCTCGAAGAGATTCCTGAGGTGTCCCTCGTTACTAGACAGGAGTCCTGACGTCACTGAAGAAACTCGTGTTTTGAAGGGCCATCCCCGCCATAAGTCGAGAACATATCCCAGGTCCCCGCCACAACTCGAGAAAAACCATGAGACTTCGCCCTAGAGGCGAGATGAGGCCCCATTCCCCTTCAGTGCATGCAGAGCTATTCCGTGATCCCATTCAAACAAGTCAGGAGCTTCGTCTGGCTTAATGGGTCTCTAGACAGTCCCCAAGAACACTGTCACCAGTCTAGACGGACCCTGAGGTCACCCCAGCAACGCAAAGCAGCTCCATGTGCCCCAAATCAACTCGAGATGAGGCCCGATTCCCCTGCATTGACTCCAGAGCCATTCCCCGTTCCCCATTCAACACGACCGGTGGCTCGACTTCCTTCAGGCAACTCCAGAGATGCCCCGAGAACACTGTCCAAAGTCTAGAGGAACACAAACTTCAGCACAGCAACTCGAGGAATGCTCCGTGTACCCCAAATCGTCTTGAGATGAGAGCTGATTCCCTGGCTTAGGCTCAAGACGTATGCCAACTTTCCAGAAGCACCTCAGGAGGAGGCTTCTCTCAGCAATAGGTATGTGAAAGGGACCCCGAGTATGCTGCCTCAAGGGGAATATACAGCGAGAAGCCCTAACTTGAAAGGAGGCCGGATTTCCTTGCAGTGGCTTGAATACAGGCTCGTCTTTCATCTCACAACATGAAGGGATGTCTGAATCCCCTGTGGAGACCTTAGAGAAAGCCCTAGGTCCCTGCCTCATTTTGACGGAATGCCTCACATCCCGTTGACACCTCGAGAGGCACGCGGAGTTCATTGCTTCAAAAGGTGACGATGCCTGACTCCTCTAGAATACTGACAGGAATCCCAAAATCCCTTTGGCTACTGGAAAGGGTCCTTGGGTGCCCTGCCTCACCTCGAGAAGCGTCCCTTTTGCCCTGCCAAGCCTCGAAGAGATTCCTGAGGTGTCCCTCGTTACAAGACAGGAGTCCTGACGTCACTGAAGAAACTCGTGTTTTGAAGGGCCATCCCCGCCGTAAGTCGAGAACATACCCCAGGTCCCCGCCGCAACTCGAGAAAAACCATGAGACTTCCCCCTAGATGCGAGATGAGGCCCCATTCCCCTGCAGTGCATGCAGAGCTATTCCATGATCCCATTCAAGCAAGTCAGGAGCTTCGACTTGCTTAATGGATCTCGAGACAGTCCCCAAGAACACTGTCACCAGTCTAGACGGACCCTGAGGTCACCCCAGCAACGCAAAGCAGCTCCATGTGCCCCAAATCAACTCGAGATGAGGCCCGATTCCCCTGCATTGACTCCAGAGCCATGCCCCGTTCCCCATTCAACACGACCGGTGGCTCGACTTCCTTCAGACAACTCCAGAGATGCCCCGAGAACACTGTCCCAGGTCTAGAGGAACACCAACTTCAGCACAGCAACTCGAGGAATGCTCCGTGTACCCCAAATCGTCTCGAGATGAGAGCTGATTCCCTGTCTTAGGCTCAAGACGCATGCCAACTTTCCAGAAGCACCTCAGGAGGAGGCTTCTCTCAGCAATAGGTATGTGGGAGGGACCCCGAGTTTGCTGCCTCAAGGGGAATATACAGCGAGAATCCCTAACTAGAAAGGAGGCCGGATTTCCTTGCAGTGGCTTGAATACAGGCTCGTCTTTCATCTCACAACATGAAGGGATGTCTGAAGCCACTGTGGAGACCTTAGAGAAAGCCCTAGGTCCCTGCCTCATTTTGACGGAATGCCTCACATCCCGTTGACACCTCGAGAGGCACGCGGAGTTCATTGCTTCAAAAGGTGACGATACCTGACTCCTCGAGAATACTGACAGGAATCCCAAAATCCCTTTGGCTACTGGAAAGGGTCCTTGGGTGCCCTGCCTCACCTCGAGAAGCGTCCCTTTTGCCCTGCCAAGCCTCGAAGAGATTCCTGAGGTGTCCCTCGTTACTAGACAGGAGTCCTCACGTCAATGAACAAACTCGTGTTTTGAAGGGCCATCCCCGCCGTAAGTCGAGAACATACCCCAGGTCCCCGCCGCAACTCGAAAAAAACCATGAGACTTCCCCCTAGAGGCGAGATGAGGCCCCATTCCCCTGCAGTGCATGCAGAGCTATTCCGTGATCCCATTCACACAAGTCAGGAACTTCGACCTGCTTAATGGATCTCGAGACAGTCCGCAAGAACACTGTCACCAGTCTAGACGGACCCTGAGGTCACCCCAGCAACGCAAAGCAGCTCCATGTGCCGCAAATCAACTCTAGATGAGGCCCGATTCCACTGCATTGACTCCAGAGCCATTCCCCGTTCCCCATTCAACACGACCGGTGGCTCGACTTCCTTCAGGCAACTCCAGAGATGCCCCGAGAACACTGTCCCAAGTCTAGAGGAACACCAACATCAGCACAGCAACTCGGGGAATGCTCAGTGTACCCCAAATCGTCTCGAGATGAGAGCTGATTCCCTGTCTTAGGCTCAAGACGCATGCCAACTTTCCAGAAGCACCACAGGAGGAGGCTTCTCTCAGCAATAGTTATGTGGGAGGGACCCCGAGTTTGCTGCCTCAAGGGGAATATACAGCGAGAAGACCTAACTTGAAAGGAGGCCGGATTTCCTTGCGGTGGCTTGAATACAGGCTCGTGTTTCATTTCACAACATGAAGGGATGTCTGAATCCCTTGTGGAGACCTTAGAGAAAGCCCAAGGTCCCTGCATCATTTTGACGGAATGCCTCACATCCCGTTGACACCTCGAGAGGCACGCGGAGTTCATTGCTTCAAAAGTTGACGATGCCTGACTCCTCTTGAATACTGATAGGAACCCCAAAATCCCTGTGGCTACTGGAAAGGGCACTTGGGTGCCCTGCCTAACCTCGAGAAGCCTCCCTTTTGCCCTGCCAAGATTCAAAGTGATTCCTGAAGTGTCCCTCGTTACTAGACAGGAGTCCTGACGTCACTGAAGAAACTCGTGTTTTGAAGGGCCATCCGCGCCGAAAGTCGAGAACATACCCCAGGTCCCCGCCGCAACTCGAGAAAAACCATGAGACTTCCCCCTAGATGCAAGATGAGGCCCCATTCCCCTGCAGTGCATGCAGAGCTATTCCATGATCCCATTCAAGCAAGTCAGGAGCTTCGACTTGCTTAATGGATCTCGAGACAGTCCCCAAGAACACTGTCACCAGTCTAGACGGACCCTGAGGTCACCCCAGCAACGCAAAGCAGCTCCATGTGCCCCAAATCAACTCGAGATGAGGCCCGATTCCCCTGCATTGACTCCAGAGCCATTCCCCGTTCCCCATTCAACACGACCGGTGGCTCGACTTCCTTCAGACAACTCCAGAGATGCCCCGAGAACACTGTCCCAAGTCTAGAGGAACACCAACATCAGCACAGCAACTCGGGGAATGCTCAGTGTACCCCAAATCGTCTCGAGATGAGAGCTGCTTCCCTGTCTTAGGCTCAAGACGCATGCCAACTTTCCAGAAGCACCACAGGAGGAGGCTTCTCTCAGCAATAGGTATGTGGGAGGGACCCCGAGTTTGCTGCCTCAAGGGGAATATACAGCGAGAATCCCTAACTAGAAAGGAGGCCGGATTTCCTTGCAGTGGCTTGAATACAGGCTCATCTTTCATCTCACAACATGAAGGGATGTCTGAAGCCACTGTGGAGACCTTAGAGAAAGCCCTAGGTCCCTGCCTCATTTTGACGGAATGCCTCACATCCCGCTGACACCTCGAGAGGCACGCGGAGTTCATTGCTTCAAAAGGTGACGATGCCTGACTCCTCTTGAATAATGATAGGAATCCCAAAATCGCTGTGGCTATTGGAAAGGGTCCTTGGGTGCCCTGCCTCACCTCGAGAAGCGTTCCTTTTGCCCTGCCAAGCCTCGAAGAGATTCCTGAGGTGTCCCTCGTTACTAGACAGGAGTCCTGACGTCACTGAAGAAACTCGTGTTTTGAAGGGCCATCCCCGCCATAAGTCGAGAACATATCCCAGGTCCCTGCCGCAACTCGAGAAAAACCATGAGACTTCGCCCTAGAGGCGAGATGAGGCCCCATTCCCCTGCAGTGCATGCAGAGCTATTCCGTGATCCCATTCAAACAAGTCAGGAGCTTCGTCTGGCTTAATGGGTCTCTAGACAGTCCCCAAGAACACTGTAACCAGTCTAGACGGACCCTGAGGTCACTCCAGCAACGCAAAGCAGCTCCATGTGCCCCAAATCAACTCGAGATGAGGCCCGATTCCCCTGCATTGACTCCAGAGCCATTCCCCGTTCCCCATTCAACACGACCGGTGGCTCGACTTCCTTCAGGCAACTCCAGAGATGCCCCGAGAACACTGTCCAAAGTCTAGAGGAACACAAACTTCAGCACAGCAACTCGAGGAATCCTCCGTGTACCCCAAATCGTCTCGAGATGAGAGCTGATTCCCTGTCTTAGGCTCAAGACGCATGCCAACTTTCCAGAAGCACCTCAGGAGGAGGCTTCTCTCAGCAATAGGTATGTGGGAGGGACCCCGAGTTTGCTGCCTCAAGGGGAATATACAGCGAGAATCCCTAACTAGAAAGGAGGCCGGATTTCCTTGCAGTGGCTTGAATACAGGCTCGTCTTTCATCTCACAACATGAAGGGATGTCTGAAGCCACTGTGGAGACCTTAGAGAAAGCCCTAGGTCCCTGGCTCATTTTGACGGAATGCCTCACATCCCGCTGACACCTCGAGAGGCACGCGGAGTTCATTGCTTCAAAAGGTGACGATGCCTGACTCCTCTTGAATAATGATAGGAATCCCAAAATCGCTGTGGCTACTGGAAAGGGTCCTTGGGTGCCCTGCCTCACCTCGAGAAGCGTCCCTTTTGCCCTGCCAAGCCTCGAAGAGATTCCTGAGGTGTCCCTCGTTACTAGACAGGAGTCCTCAAGTCAATGAACAAACTCGTGTTTTGAAGGGCCATCCCCGCCGTAAGTCGAGAACATACCCCAGGTCCCCGCCGCAACTCGAGAAAAACCATGAGACTTCCCCCTTGAGGCGAGATGAGGCCCCATTCCCCTGCAGTGCATGCAGAGCTATTCCGTGATCCCATTCACACAAGTCAGGAACTTCGACCTGCTTAATGGATCTCGAGACAGTCCGCAAGAACACTGTCACCAGTCTAGACGGACCCTGAGGTCACCCCAGCAACGCAAAGCAGCTCCATGTGCCACAAATCAACTCTAGATGAGGCCCGATTCCACTGCATTGACTCCAGAGCCATTCCCCGTTCCCCATTCAACAGGACCGGTGGCTCGACTTCCTTCAGGCAACTCCAGAGATGCCCCGAGAACACTGTCCCAAGTCTAGAGGAACACCAACATCAGCACAGCAACTCGGGGAATGCTCAGTGTACCCCAAATCGTCTCGAGATGAGAGCTGATTCCCTGTCTTAGGCTCAAGACGCATGCCAACTTTCCAGAAGCACCACAGGAGGAGGCTTCTCTCAGCAATAGGTATGTGGGAGGGACCCCGAGTTTGCTACCTCAAGGGGAATATACAGCGAGAAGACCTAACTTGAAAGGAGGCCGGATTTCCTTGCGGTGGCTTGAATACAGGCTCGTGTTTCATTTCACAACATGAAGGGATGTCTGAATCCCCTCTGGAGACCTTAGAGAAAGCCCAAGGTCCCTGCATCATTTTGACGGAATGCCTCACATCCCGTTGACACCTCGAGAGGCACGCGGAGTTCATTGCTTCAAAAGTTGACGATGCCTGACTCCTCTAGAATACTGACAGGAATCCCAAAATCCCTTTGGCTACTGGAAAGGGTCTTTGGGTGCCCGGCCTCACCTCGAGAAGCGTCCCTTTTGCCCTGCCAAGCCTCGAAGAGATTCCTGAGGTGTCCCTCGTTACAAGACAGGAGTCCTGACGTCACTGAAGAAACTCGTGTTTTGAAGGGCCATCCCCGCCGTACGTCGAGAACATACCCCAGGTCCCCGCCGCAACTCGAGAAAAACCATGAGACTTCCCCCTAGATGCGAGATGAGGCCCCATTCCCCTGCAGTGCATGCAGAGCTATTCCATGATCCCATTCAAGCAAGTCAGGAGCTTCGACTTGCTTAATGGATCTCGAGACAGTCCCCAAGAACACTGTCACCAGTCTAGACGGACCCTGAGGTCACCCCAGCAACGCAAAGCAGCTCCATGTGCCCCAAATCAACTCGAGATGAGGCCCGATTCCCCTGCATTGACTCCAGAGCCATTCCCCGTTCCCCATTCAACACGACCGGTGGCTCGACTTCCTTCAGACAACTCCAGAGATGCCCCGAGAACACTGTCCCAGGTCTAGAGGAACACCAACTTCAGCACAGCAACTCGAGGAATGCTCCGTGTACCCCAAATCGTCTCGAGATGAGAGCTGATTCCCTGTCTTAGGCTCAAGACGCATGCCAACTTTCCAGAAGCACCTCAGGAGGAGGCTTCTCTCAGCAATAGGTATGTGGGAGGGACCCCGAGTTTGCTGCCTCAAGGGGAATATACAGCGAGAATCCCTAACTAGAAAGGAGGCCGGATTTCCTTGCAGTGGCTTGAATACAGGCTCGTCTTTCATCTCACAACATGAAGGGATGTCTGAAGCCACTGTGGAGACCTTAGAGAAAGCCCTAGGTCCCTGCCTCATTTTGACGGAATGCCTCACATCCCGTTGACACCTCGAGAGGCACACGGAGTTCATTGCTTCAAAAGGTGACGATGCCTGACTCCTCTAGAATACTGACAGGAATCCCAAAATCCCTTTGGCTACTGGAAAGGGTCCTTGGGTGCCCTGCCTCACCTCGAGAAGCGTCCCTTTTGCCCTGCCAAGCCTCGAAGAGATTCCTGAGGTGTCCCTCGTTACAAGACAGGAGTCCTGACGTCACTGAAGAAACTCGTGTTTTGAAGGGCCATCCCCGCCGTAAGTCGAGAACATACCCCAGGTCCCCGCCGCAACTCGAGAAAAACCATGAGACTTCCCCCTAGATGCGAGATGAGGCCCCATTCCCCTGCAGTGCATGCAGAGCTATTCCATGATCCCATTCAAGCAAGTCAGGAGCTTCGACTTGCTTAATGGATCTCGAGACAGTCCCCAAGAACACTGTCACCAGTCTAGACGGACCCTGAGGTCACCCCAGCAACGCAAAGCAGCTCCATGTGCCCCAAATCAACTCGAGATGAGGCCCGAATCCCCTGCATTGACTCCAGAGCCATTCCCCGTTCCCCATTCAACACGACCGGTGGCTCGACTTCCTTCAGACAACTCCAGAGATGCCCCGAGAACACTGTCCCAGGTCTAGAGGAACAGCAACTTCAGCACAGCAACTCGAGGAATGCTCCGTGTACCCCAAATCGTCTCGAGATGAGAGCTGATTCCCTGTCTTAGGCTCAAGACGCATGCCAACTTCCCAGAAGCACCTCAGGAGGAGGCTTCTCTCAGCAATAGGTATGTGGGAGGGACCCCGAGTTTGCTGCCTCAAGGGGAATATACAGCGAAAATCCCTAACTAGAAAGGAGGCCGGATTTCCTTGCAGTGGCTTGAATACAGGCTCGTCTTTCATCTCACAACATGAAGGGATGTCTGAAGCCACTGTGGAGACCTTAGAGAAAGCCCTAGGTCCCTGCCTCATTTTGACGGAATGCCTCACATCCCGCTGACACCTCGAGAGGCAAGCGGATTTCATTGCTTCAAAAGGTGACGATGCCTGACTCCTCTTGAATACTGATAGGAATCCCAAAATCGCTGTGGCTACTGGAAAGAGTCCTTGGGTGCCCTGCCTCACTTCGAGAAGCCTCCCTTTTGCCCTGCCAAGCCTCAAAGTGATTCCTGAAGTGTCCCTCGTTACTAGACAGGAGTCCTGACGTCACTGAAGAAACTCGTGTTTTGAAGGGCCATCCGCGCCGAAAGTCGAGAACATACCCCAGGTCCCCGCCGCAACTCGAGAAAAACCATGAGACTTCCCCCTAGAGGCGAGATGAGGCCCCATTCCCCTGCAGTGCATGCAGAGCTATTCCGTGATCCCATTCAAACAAGTCAGGAGCTTCGTCTGGCTTAATGGGTCTCTAGACAGTCCCCAAGAACACTGTCACCAGTCTAGACGGACCCTGAGGTCACCCCAGCAACGCAAAGCAGCTCCATGTGCCCCAAATCAACTCGAGATGAGGCCCGATTCCCCTGCATTGACTCCAGAGCCATTCCCCGTTCCCCATTCAACACGACCGGTGGCTCGACTTCCTTCAGACAACTCCAGAGATGCCCCGAGAACACTGTCCCAGGTCTAGAGGAACACCAACTTCAGCACAGCAACTCGAGGAATGCTCCGTGTACCCCAAATCGTCTCGAAATGAGAGCTGATTCCCTGTCTTAGGCTCAAGACGCATGCCAACTTTCCAGAAGCACCTCAGGAGGAGGCTTCTCTCAGCAATAGGTATGTGGGAGGGACCCCGAGTTTGCTGCCTCAAGGGGAATATACAGCGAGAATCCCTAACTAGAAAGGAGGCTGGATTTCCTTGCAGTGGCTTGAATACAGGCTCGTCTTTCATCTCACAACATGAAGGGATATCTGAAGCCACTGTGGAGACATTAGAGAAAGCCCTAGGACCCTGCCTCATTTTGACGGAATGCCTCACATCCCGCTGACACCTCGAGAGGCACGCGGAGTTCATTGCTTCAAAAGGTGACGATGCCTGACTCCTCTTGAATAATGATAGGAATCCCAAAATCGCTGTGGCTACTGGAAAGGGTCCTTGGGTGCCCTGCCTCACCTCGAGAAGCGTCCCTTTTGCCATGCCAAGCCTCGAAGAGATTCCTGAGGTGTCCCTCGTTACTAGACAGGAGTCCTCACGTCACTGAACAAACTCGTGTTTTGAAGGGCCATCCCCGCCGTAAGTCGAGAACATACCCCAGGTCCCCGTCGCAACTCGAGAAAAACCATGAGACTTCCCCCTAGAGGCGAGATGAGGCCCCATTCCCCTGCAGTGCATGCAGAGCTATTCCGTGATCCCATTCACACAAGTCAGGAACTTCGACCTGCTTAATGGATCTCGAGACAGTCCGCAAGAACACTGTCACCAGTCTAGACGGACCCTGAGGTCACCCCAGCAACGCAAAGCAGCTCCATATGCCGCAAATCAACTCTAGATGAGGCCCGATTCCACTGCATTGACTCCAGAGCCATTCCCCGTTCCCCATTCAACACGACCGGTGGCTCGACTTATTCAGGCAACTCCAGAGATGCCCCGAGAACACTGTCCCAAGTCTAGAGGAACACCAACATCAGCACAGCAACTCGGGGAATGCTCAGTGTACCCCAAATCGTCTCGAGATGAGAGCTGATTCCCTGGCTTAGGCTCAAGACGCATGCCAACTTTCCAGAAGCACCACAGGAGGAGGCTTCTCTCAGCAATAGGTATGTGGGAGGGACCCCGAGTTTGCTGCCTCAAGGGGAATATACAGCGAGAAGACCTAACTTGAAAGGAGGCCGGATTTCCTTGCGGTGGCTTGAATACAGGCTCGTGTTTCATCTCACAGCATATAGGGATGTCTGAATCCCCTGTGGAGACCTTAGAGAAAGCCCTAGATCCCTGCCACATTTTGACGGAATGTCTCACATCCCGCTGATAACTCGAGAGGCACGCGGAGTTCATTGCTTCAAAAGGTGACGATGCCTGACTCCTCTTGAATACTGATAGGAATCCCAAAATCCCTGTGGCTACTGGAAAGGGTCCTTGGGTGCCCTGCCTCACCTCGAGAAGCGTCCCTTTTGCCCTGCCAAGCCTCGAAGAGATTCCTGAGGTGTCCCTCGTTACTAGACAGGAGTCCTGACGTCACTGAAGAAACTCGTGTTTTGAAGGGCCATCCCCGCCGTAAGTCGAGAACATACCCCAGGTCTCCGCCGCAACACGAGAAAAACGATAAGACTTCCCCCTAGAGGCGAGACGAGGCCCCATTCCCCTGCAGTGCAGGCAGAGCTATTCCATGATCCCATTCAAGCAAGTCAGGAGCTTCGACTTGCTTAATGGATCTCGAGACAGTCCCCAAGAACACTGTCACCAGTCTAGACGGACCCTGATGTCACCCCAGCAATGCAAAGCAGCTCCATGTGCCCCAAATCAACTCGAGATGAGGCCCGATTCCCCTGCATTGACTCCAGAGCCATTCCCCGTTCCCCATTCAACACGACCGGTGGCTCGACTTCCTTCAGGCAACTCCAGAGATGCCCCGAGAACACTGTCCCAAGTCTAGAGGAACACCAACTTCAGCACAGCAACTCGAGGAATGCTCCGTGTACCCCAAATCGTCTCGAGATGAGAGCTGATTGCCTGGCTTAGGCTCAAGACGCATGCCAACTTTCCAGAAGCACCACCGGAGGAGGCTTCTCTCAGCAATAGGTATGTGGGAGGGACCCCGAGTATGCTGCCTCAAGAGGAATATACAGCGAGAAGCCCTAACTAGAAAGGAGGCCGGATTTCCTTGCAGTGGCTTGAATACAGGTTCGTCTTTCATCTCACAACATGAAGGGATGTCTGAAGCCACTGTGGAGACCTTAGAGAAAGCCCTAGGTCACTGCCTCATTTTGACGGAATGCTTCACATCCCGCTGACACCTCGAGAGGCACGCGGAGTTCATTGCTTCAAAAGGTGACGATGCCTGACTCCTCTTGAATACTGATAGGAATCCCAAAATCGATGTGGCTACTGGAAAGGGTCCTTGGGTGCCCTGCCTCACCTCGAGAAGCGTCCCTTTTGCCCTGCCAAGCCTCGAAGAGATTCCTGAGGTGTCCCTCGTTACTAGACAGGAGTCGTGACGTCACTGAACAAACTCCTGTTTTGAAGAGCCATCCCCGCCGTAAGTCGAGAACATACCCCAGGTCCCCGCCGCAACTCGAGAAAAACCATGAGACTTCCCCCTAGAGGCGAGATGAGGCCCCATTCCCCTGCAGTGCCAGCAGAGCTATTCCGTGATCCCATTCACACAAGTCAGGAGCTTCGACCTGCTTAATGGATCTCGAGACAGTCCCCAAGAACACTGTCACCAGTCTATACGGACCCTGAGGTCACCCCAGCAACGCAAAGCAGCTCCATGTGCCCCAAATCAACTCTAGATGAGGCCCGATTACCCTGCATTGACTCCAGAGCCATTCCCCGTTCCCCATTCAACACGACCGGTGGCTCGACTTCCTTCAGGCAACTCCAGAGATGCCCCGAGAACACTGTCCCAAGTCTAGAGGAACACCAACTTCAGCACAGCAACTCGGGGAATGCTCAGTGTACCCCAAATCGTCTCGAGATGAGAGCTGATTCCCTGGTTTAGGCTCAAGACGCATGCCAACTTTCCAGAAGCACCACAGGAGGAGGCTTCTCTCATCAATAGGTATGTGGGAGGGACCCCGAGTTTGCTGCCTCAAGGGGAATATACAGCGAGAAGCCCTAACTTGAAAGGAGGTCGGATTTCCTTGCAGTGGCTTGAATACAGGCTCGTGTTTCATCTCACAACATATAGGGATGTCTGAATCCCCTGTGGAGACCTTAGAGAAAGCCCTAGATCCCTGCCACATTTTGACGGAATGCCTCACATCCCGCTGATACCTCGAGAGGCACGCGGAGTTCATTGCTTCAAAAGGTGACGATGCCTGACTCCTCTTGAATACTGATAGGAATCCCAAAATCCCTGTGGCTACTGGAAAGGGTCCTTGGGTGCCCTGCCTCACCTCGAGAAGCGTCCCTTTTGCCCTGCCAAGCCTCGAAGAGATTCCTGAGGTGTCCCTCGTTACTAGACAGGAGTCCTGACGTCACTGAAGAAACTCGTGTTTTGAAGGGCCATCCCCGGGGTAAGTCGAGAACATACCCCAGGTCTCCGCCGCAACACGAGAAAAACGATAAGACTTCCCCCTAGAGGCGAGACGAGGCCCCATTCCCCTGCAGTGCAGGCAGAGCTATTCCATGATCCCATTCAAGCAAGTCAGGAGCTTCGACTTGCTTAACGGATCTCGAGACAGTCCCCAAGAACACTGTCACGAGTCTAGACGCACCCTGAGGTCACCCCAGCAACGCAAAGCAGCTCCATGTGATCCAAATCAAATCGAGATGAGGCCCGATTCCCCTGCATTGACTCCAGAGCCATTCCCCGTTCCCCATTCAACACGACCGGTGGCTCGACTTCCTTCAGGCAACTCCAGAGATGCCCCGAGAACACTGTCCCAAGTCTAGAGGAACACCAACTTCAGCACAGCAACTCGAGGAATGCTCCGTGTACCCCAAATCGTCTCGAGATGAGAGCTGATTCCCTGGCTTAGGCTCAAGACGCATGCCAACTTTCCAGAAGCACCTCAGGTGGAGGCTTCTCTCAGCAATAGGTATGTGGGAGGGACCCCGAGTTTGCTGCCTCAAGGGGAATATACAGCGAGAATCCCTAACTAGAAAGGAGGCCGGATTTCCTTGCAGTGGCTTGAATACAGGCTCGACTTTCATCTCACAACATGAAGGGATGTCTGAAGCCACTGTGGAGACCTTAGAGAAAGCCCTAGGTCCCTGCCTCATTTTGACGGAATGCCTCACATCCCGCTGACACCTCGAGAGGCACGCGGAGTTCATTGCTTCAAAAGGTGACGATGCCTGACTCCTCTTGAATACTGATAGGAATCCCAAAATCGCTGTGGCTACTGGAAAGGGTCCTTGGGTGCCCTGCCTCACCTCGAGAAGCGTCCCTTTTGCCCTGCCAAGCCTCGAAGAGATTCCTGAGGTGTCCCTCGTTACTAGACAGGAGTCGTGACGTCACTGAACAAACTCGTGTTTTGAAGGGCCATCCCCGCCGTAAGTCGAGAACATACCCCAGGTCTCCGCCGCAACACGAGAAAAACGATAAGACTTCCCCCTAGAGGCGAGACGAGGCCCCATTCCCCTGCAGTGCAGGCAGAGCTATTCCATGATCCCATTCAAGCAAGTCAGGAGCTTCGACTTGCTTAATGGATCTCGAGACAGTCCCCAAGAACACTGTCACCAGTCTAGACGGACCCTGACGTCACCCCAGCAATGCAAAGCAGCTCCATGTGCCCCAAATCAACTCGAGATGAGGCCCGATTCCCCTGCATTGACTCCAGAGCCATTCCCCGTTCCCCATTCAACACGACCGGTGGCTCGACTTCCTTCAGGCAACTCCAGAGATGCCCCGAGAACACTGTCCCAAGTCTAGAGGAACACCAACTTCAGCACAGCAACTCGAGGAATGCTCCGTGTACCCCAAATCGTCTCGAGATGAGAGCTGATTGCCTGGCTTAGGCTCAAGACGCATGCCAACTTTCCAGAAGCACCACCGGAGGAGGCTTCTCTCAGCAATAGGTATGTGGGAGGGACCCCGAGTATGCTGCCTCAAGAGGAATATACAGCGAGAAGCCCTAACTAGAAAGGAGGCCGGATTTCCTTGCAGTGGCTTGAATACAGGTTCGTCTTTCATCTCACAACATGAAGGGATGTCTGAAGCCACTGTGGAGACCTTAGAGAAAGCCCTAGGTCACTGCCTCATTTTGACGGAATGCTTCACATCCCGCTGACACCTCGAGAGGCACGCGGAGTTCATTGCTTCAAAAGGTGACGATGCCTGACTCCTCTTGAATACTGATAGGAATCCCAAAATCGATGTGGCTACTGGAAAGGGTCCTTGGGTGCCCTGCCTCACCTCGAGAAGCGTCCCTTTTGCCCTGCCAAGCCTCGAAGAGATTCCTGACGTGTCCCTCGTTACTAGACAGGAGTCGTGACGTCACTGAACAAACTCCTGTTTTGAAGAGCCATCCCCGCCGTAAGTCGAGAACATACCCCAGGTCCCCGCCGCAACTCGAGAAAAACCATGAGACTTCCCCCTAGAGGCGAGATGAGGCCCCATTCCCCTGCAGTGCCAGCAGAGCTATTCCGTGATCCCATTCACACAAGTCAGGAGCTTCGACCTGCTTAATGGATCTCGAGACAGTCCCCAAGAACACTGTCACCAGTCTATACGGACCCTGAGGTCACCCCAGCAACGCAAAGCAGCTCCATGTGCCCCAAATCAACTCTAGATGAGGCCCGATTACCCTGCATTGACTCCAGAGCCATTCCCCGTTCCCCATTCAACACGACCGGTGGCTCGACTTCCTTCAGGCAACTCCAGAGATGCCCCGAGAACACTGTCCCAAGTCTAGAGGAACACCAACTTCAGCACAGCAACTCGGGGAATGCTCAGTGTACCCCAAATCGTCTCGAGATGAGAGCTGATTCCCTGGTTTAGGCTCAAGACGCATGCCAACTTTCCAGAAGCACCACAGGAGGAGGCTTCTCTCATCAATAGGTATGTGGGAGGGACCCCGAGTTTGCTGCCTCAAGGGGAATATACAGCGAGAAGCCCTAACTTGAAAGGAGGTCGGATTTCCTTGCAGTGGCTTGAATACAGGCTCGTGTTTCATCTCACAACATATAGGGATGTCTGAATCCCCTGTGGAGACCTTAGAGAAAGCCCTAGATCCCTGCCACATTTTGACGGAATGCCTCACATCCCGCTGATACCTCGAGAGGCACGCGGAGTTCATTGCTTCAAAAGGTGACGATGCCTGACTCCTCTTGAATACTGATAGGAATCCCAAAATCCCTGTGGCTACTGGAAAGGGTCCTTGGGTGCCCTGCCTCACCTCGAGAAGCGTCCCTTTTGCCCTGCCAAGCCTCGAAGAGATTCCTGAGGTGTCCCTCGTTACTAGACAGGAGTCCTGACGTCACTGAAGAAACTCGTCTTTTGAAGGGCCATCCCCGCCGTAATTCGAGAACATACCCCAGGTCTCCGCCGCAACACGAGAAAAACGATAAGACTTCCCCCTAGAGGCGAGATGAGGCCCATTCCCCTGCAGTGCATGCAGAGCTATTCCGTGATCCCATTCAAACAAGTCAGGAGCTTCGACTCGCTTAATGGATCTCGAGACAGTCCCCAAGAACACTGTCACCAGTCTAGACGGACCCTGAGGTCACCCCAGCAACGCAAAGCAGCTCCATGTGCCCCAAATCAACTCGAGATGAGGCCCGATTCCCCTGCATTGACTCCAGAGCCATTCCCCGTTCCCCATTCAACACGACCGGTGGCTCGACTTCCTTCAGGCAACTCCAGAGATGCCCCGAGAACACTGTCCCAAGTCTAGAGGAACACCAACTTCAGCACAGCAACTCGAGGAATGCTCCGTGTACCCCAAATCGTCTCGAGATGAGAGCTGATTCCCTGGCTTAGGCTCAAGACGTATGCCAACTTTCCAGAAGCACCTCAGGAGGAGGCTTCTCTCAGCAATAGGTATGTGGGAGGGACCCCGAGTTTGCGGCCTCAAGGGGAATATACAGCGAGAAGCCCTAACTTGAAAGGAGGTCGGATTTCCTTGTAGTGGCTTGAATACAGGCTCGTGTTTCATCTCACAGCATATAGAGATGTCTGAATCCCCTGTGGAGACCTTAGAGAAAGCCCTAGATCCCTGCCACATTTTGACGGAATGCCTCACATCCCGCTGATAACTCGAGAGGCACGCGGAGTTCATTGCTTCAAAAGGTGACGATGCCTGACTCCTCTTGAATACTGATAGGAATCCCAAAATCCCTGTGGCTACTGGAAAGGGTCCTTGGGTGCCCTGCCTCACCTCGAGAAGCGTCCCTTTTGCCCTGCCAAGCCTCGAAGAGATTCCTGAGGTGTCCCTCGTTACTAGACAGGAGTCCTGACGTCACTGAAGAAACTCGTGTTTTGAAGGGCCATCCCCGGGGTAAGTCGAGAACATACCCCAGGTCTCCGCCGCAACACGAGAAAAACGATAAGACTTCCCCCTAGAGGCGAGACGAGGCCCCATTCCCCTGCAGTGCAGGCAGAGCTATTCCATGATCCCATTCAAGCAAGTCAGGAGCTTCGACTTGCTTAACGGATCTCGAGACAGTCCCCAAGAACACTGTCACGAGTCTAGACGGACCCTGAGGTCACCCCAGCAACGCAAAGCAGCTCCATGTGATCCAAATCAAATCGAGATGAGGCCCGATTCCCCTGCATTGACTCCAGAGCCATTCCCCGTTCCCCATTCAACACGACCGGTGGCTCGACTTCCTTCAGGCAACTCCAGAGATGCCCCGAGAACACTGTCCCAAGTCTAGAGGAACACCAACTTCAGCACAGCAACTCGAGGAATGCTCCGTGTACCCCAAATCGTCTCGAGATGAGAGCTGATTCCCTGGCTTAGGCTCAAGACGCATGCCAACTTTCCAGAAGCACCTCAGGTGGAGGCTTCTCTCAGCAATAGGTATGTGGGAGGGACCCCGAGTTTGCTGCCTCAAGGGGAATATACAGCGAGAATCCCTAACTAGAAAGGAGGCCGGATTTCCTTGCAGTGGCTTGAATACAGGCTCGACTTTCATCTCACAACATGAAGGGATGTCTGAAGCCACTGTGGAGACCTTAGAGAAAGCCCTAGGTCCCTGCCTCATTTTGACGGAATGCCTCACATCCCGCTGACAGCTCGAGAGGCACGCGGAGTTCATTGCTTCAAAAGGTGACGATGCCTGACTCCTCTTGAATACTGATAGGAATCCCAAAATCCCTGTGGCTACTGGAAAGGGTCCTTGGGTGCCCTGCCTCACCTCGAGAAGCGTCCCTTTGGCCCTGCCAAGCCTCGAAGAGATTCCTGAGGTGTCCCTCGTTACTAGACAGGAGTCCTGACGTCACTGAAGAAACTCGTGTTTTGAAGGGCCATCCCCGCCGTAAGTCGAGAACATACCCCAGGTCCCCGCCGCAACTCGAGAAAAACCATGAGACTTCCCCCTAGAGGCGAGATGAGGCCCCATTCCCCTGCAGTGCCAGCAGAGCTATTCCGTGATCCCATTCACACAAGTCAGGAGCTTCGACCTGCTTAATGGATCTCGAGACAGTCCGCAAGAACACTGTCACCAGTCTAGACGGATCCTGAGGTCACCCCAGCAACGCAAAGCAGCTCCATGTGCCCCAAATCAACTCTAGATGAGGCCTGATTCCCCTGCATTGACTCCAGAGCCATTCCCCGTTCCCCATTCAACACGACCGGTGGCTCGACTTCCTTCAGGCAACTCCAGAGATGCCCCGAGAACACTGTCCCAAGTCTAGAGGAACACCAACTTCAGCACAGCAACTCGGGGAATGCTCAGTGTACCCCAAATCGTCTCGAGATGAGAGCTGATTCCCTGGCTTAGGCTCAAGACGCATGCCAACTTTCCAGAAGCACCACAGGAATAGGCTTCTCTCAGCAATAGGTATGTGGGAGGGACCCCGAGTTTGCTGCCTCAAGGGGAATATACAGCGAGAAGACCTAACTTGAAAGGAGGCCGGATTTCCTTGCAGTGGCTTGAACACAGGCTCGTCTTTCATCTCACAACATATAGGGATGTCTGAATCCCCTGTGGAGACCTTAGAGAAAGCCCTAGATCCCTGCCTCATTTTGACGGAATGCCTCACATCCCGCTGATACCTCGAGAGGCACGTGGAGTTCATTGCTTCAAAAGGTGACGATGCCTGACTCCTCTTGAATACTGATAGGAATCCCAAAATCCCTGTGGCTACTGGAAAGGGTCCTTGGGTGCCCTGCCTCACCTCGAGAAGCGTCCCTTTTGCCCTGCCAAGCCTCGAAGAGATTCCTGAGGTGTCCCTCGTTACTAGACAGGAGTCCTGACGTCACTGAAGAAACTCGTGTTTTGAAGGGCCATCCCCGCCGTAAGTCGAGAACATACCCCAGGTCCCCGCCGCAACTCGAGAAAAACCATGAGACTTCCCCCTAGAGGCGAGATGAGGCCCCATTCCCCTGCAGTTCATGCAGAGCTATTCCATGATCCAATTCAAGCAAGTCAGTAGCTTCGACTTGCTTAATGGATCTCGAGACAGTCCCCAAGAACACTGTCACCAGTCTAGACGGACCCTGATGTCACCCCAGCAATGCAAAGCAGCTCCATGTGCCCCAAATCAACTCGAGATGAGGCCCGATTCCCCTGCATTGACTCCAGAGCCATTCCCCGTTCCCCATTCAACACGACCGGTGGCTCGACTTCCTTCAGGCAACTCCAGAGATGCCCCGAGAACACTGTCCCAAGTCTAGAGGAACACCAACTTCAGCACAGCAACTCGAGGAATGCTCCGTGTACCCCAAATCGTCTCGAGATGAGAGCTGATTGCCTGGCTTAGGCTCAAGACGCATGCCCACTTTCCAGAAGCACCACCGGAGGAGGCTTCTCTCAGCAATATGTATGTGGGAGGGACCCCGAGTTTGCTGCCTCAAGGAGAATATACAGCGAGAAGCCCTAACTTGAAAGGAGGCCGGATTTCCTTGCAGTGGCTTGAATACAGGCTCGTGTTTCATTTCACAAAATGAAGGGATGTCTGAATCCCTGTGGAGACCTTAGAGAAAGCCCTAGGACCCTGCCTCATTTTCACGGAATGCCTCACATCCCGCTGACACCTCGAGAGGCACGCGGAGTTCATTGCTTCAAAAGGTGACGATGCCTGACTCCTCTAGAATACTGACAGGAATCCCAAAATCCCTTTGGGTACTGGAAAGGGTCCTTGGGTGCCCTGCCTCACCTCGAGAAGCGTCCCTTTTGCCCTGCCAAGCCTCGAAGAGATTCCTGAGGTGTCCCTCGTTACAAGACAGGAGTCCTGACGTCACTGAAGAAACTCGTGTTTTGAAGGGCCATCCCCGCCGTAAGTCGAGAACATATCCCAGGTCCCCGCCGCAACTCGAGAAAAACCATGAGACTTCCCCCTAGATGCGAGATGAGGCCCCATTCCCCTGCAGTGCATGCAGAGCTGTTCCATGATCCCATTCAAGCAAGTCAGGAGCTTCGACTTGCTTAATGGATCTCGAGACAGTACCCAAGAACACTGTCACCAGTCTAGACGGACCCTGAGGTCACCCCAGCAACGCAAAGCAGCTCCATGTGCCCCAAATCAACTCGAGATGAGGCCCGAATCCACTGCATTGACTCCAGAGCCATTCCCCGTTCCCCATTCAACACGACCGGTGGCTCGACTTCCTTCAGACAACTCCAGAGATGCCCCGAGAACACTGTCCCAGGTCTAGAGGAACACCAACTTCAGCACAGCAACTCGAGGAATGCTCCGTGTACCCCAAATCGTCTCGAGATGAGAGCTGATTCCCTGTCTTAGGCTCAAGACGCATGCCAACTTTCCAGAAGCACCTCAGGAGGAGGCTTCTCTCAGCAATAGGTATGTAGGAGGGACCCCGAGTTTGCTGCCTCAAGGGGAATATACAGCGAAAATCCCTAACTAGAAAGGAGGCCGGATTTCCTTGCAGTGGCTTGAATACAGGCTCGTCTTTCATCTCACAACATGAAGGGATGTCTGAAGCCACTGTGGAGACCTTAGAGAAAGCCCTAGGTCCCTGCCTCATTTTGACGGAATGCCTCACATCCCGCTGAGACCTCGAGAGGCAAGCGGATTTCATTGCTTCAAAAGGTGACGATGCCTGACTCCTCTTGAATACTGATAGGAATCCCAAAATCCCTGTGGCTACTGGAAAGGGTCCTTGGGTGCCCTGCCTCACCTCGAGAAGAGTCCCTTTTGCCCTGCAAAGCCTCGAAGAGATTCCTGAGGTGTCCCTCCTTACTAGACAGGAGTCCTGACGTCACTGAAGAAACTCGTGTTTTGAAGGGCCATCCCCGCCGTAAGTCGAGAACATACCCCAGGTGCCCGCCGCAACTCGAGAAAAACCATGAGACTTCCCCCTAGAGGCAAGATGAGGCCCCATTCCCCTGCAGTTCATGCAGAGCTATTCCATGATCCAATTCAAGCAAGTCAGGAGCTACGACTTGCTTAATGGATCTCGAGACAGTCCCCAAGAACACTGTCACCAGTCTAGACGGACCCTGAGGTCACCCCAGCAATGCAAAGCAGCTCCATGTGCCCCAAATCAACTCGAGATGAGGCCCGAATCCCCTGCATTGACTCCAGAGCCATTCCCCGTTCCCCATTCAACACGACCGGTGGCTCGACTTCCTTCAGACAACTCCACAAATGCCCCGAGAACACTGTCCCAGGTCTAGAGGAACACCAACTTCAGCACAGCAACTCGAGGAATGCTCCGTGTACCCCAAATCGTCTCGAGATGAGAGCTGATTCCCTGTCTTAGGCTCAAGATGCATGCCAACTTTCCAGAAGCACCTCAGGAGGAGGCTTCTCTCAGCAATAGGTATGTGGGAGGGACCCCGAGTTTGCTGCCTCAAGGGGAATATACAGCGAGAATCCCTAACTAGAAAGGAGGCCGGATTTCCTTGCAGTGGCTTGAATACAGGCTCGTCTTTCATCTCACAACATGAAGGGATATCTGAAGCCACTGTGGAAACCTTAGAGAAAGCCCTAGGTCCCTGCCTCATTTTGACGGAATGCCTCACATCCCGCTGACACCTCGAGAGGCACGCGGAGTTCATTGCTTCAAAAGGTGACGATGCCTGACTCCTCTTGAATACTGATAGGAATCCCAAAATCGCTGTGGCTACTGGAAAGGGTCCTTGGGTGCCCTGCCTCACCTCGAGAAGCGTCCCTTTTGCCCTGCCAAGCCTCGAAGAGATTCCTGAGGTGTCCCTCGTTACTAGACAGGAGTCCTCACGTCACTGAACAAACTCGTGTTTTGAAGGGCCATCCCCGCCGTAAGTCGAGAACATACCCCAGGTCCCCGCCGCAACTCGAGAAAAACCATGAGACTTCCCCCTAGAGGCGAGATGAGGCCCCATTCCCTGCAGTGCATGCAGAGCTATTCCGTGATCCCATTCACACAAGTCAGGAACTTCGACCTGCTTAATGGATCTCGAGACAGTCCGCAAGAACACTGTCACCAGTCTAGACGGACCCTGAGGTCACCCCAGCAACGCAAAGCAGCTCCATGTGCCGCAAATCAACTCTAGATGAGGCCCGATTCCACTGCATTGACTCCAGAGCCATTCCCCGTTCCCCATTCAACACGACCGATGGCTCGACTTATTCAGGCAACTCCAGAGATGCCCCGAGAACACTGTCCCAAGTCTAGAGGAACACCAACATCAGCACAGCAACTCGGGGAATGCTCAGTGTACCCCAAATCGTCTCGAGATGAGAGCTGATTCCCTGTCTTAGGCTCAAGACGCATGCCAACTTTCCAGAAGCACCACAGGAGGAGGCTTCTCTCAGCAATAGGTATGTGGGAGGGACCCCGAGTTTGCTGCCTCAAGGAGAATATACAGCGAGAAGACCTAACTTGAAAGGAGGCCGGATTTCCTTGCGGTGGCTTGAATACAGGCTCGTGTTTAATTTCACAACATGAAGGGATGTCTGAATCCCCTGTGGAGACCTTAGAGAAAGCCCTAGGTCCCTGCATCATTTTGACGGAATGCCTCACATCCCGTTGACACCTCGAGAGGCACGCGGAGTTCATTGCTTCAAAAGTTGACGATGCCTGACTCCTCTTGAATACTGATAGGAACCCCAAAATCCCTGTGGCTACTGGAAAGGGCACTTGGGTGCCCTGCCTCACCTCGAGAAGCCTCCCTTTTGCCCTGCCAAGCCTCAAAGTGATTCCTGAAGTGTCCCTCGTTACTAGACAGGAGTCCTGACGTCACTGAAGAAACTCGTGTTTTGAAGGGCCATCCGCGCCGAAAGTCGAGAACATACACCAGGTCCCCGCCGCAACTCGAGAAAAACCATGAGACTTCCCCCTAGAGGCGAGATGAGGCCCCATTCCCCTGCAGTGCATGCAGAGCTATTCCGTGATCCCATTCAAACAAGTCAGGAGCTTCAACTTGCTTAATGGATCTCGAGACAGTCCCCAAGAACACTGTCACCAGTCTAGACGGACCCTGAGGTCACCCCAGCAATGCAAAGCAGCTCCATGTGCCCCAAATCAACTCGAGATGAGGCCCGATTCCCCTGCATTGACTCCAGAGCCATTCCCCGTTCCCCATTCAACACGACCGGTGGCTCGACTTCCTTCAGACAACTCCAGAGATGCCCCGAGAACACTGCCCCAGGTCTAGAGGAACACCAACTTCAGCACAGCAACTCAAGGAATGCTCCGTGTACCCCAAATCGTTTCGAGATGAGAGCTGATTCCCTGGCTTAGGCTCAAGACGCATGCCAACTTTCCAGAAGCACCTCAGGAGGAGGCTTCTTTCAGCAATAGGTATGTGGGAGGGACCCCGAGTATGCTGCCTCAAGGACAATATACAGTAAGAAGCCCTAACTTGAAAGGATGCCTGATTTCCTTGCAGTGGCTTGAATACAGGCTCGTCTTTCTTCTCACAACATGAAGGGATGTCTGAAGCCACTGTGGAGACCTTAGAGAAAGCCCTAGGTCCCAGCCACATTTTGACGGAATGCCTCATATCCCGCTGACACCTCGAGAGGCAAGCGGAGTTCATTGCTTCAAAAGGTGACGATGCCTGACTCCTCTTGAATACTGATAGGAATCCCAAAATCGCTGTGGCTACTGGAAAGGGTCCTTGGGTGCCCTGCCTCACCTCGAGAAGAGTCCCTTTTGCCCTGCCAAGCCTCGAAGAGATTCCTGAGGTGTCCCTCCTTACTAGACAGGTGTCCTGACGTCACTGAAGAAACTCGTGTTTTGAAGGGCCATCCCCGCCGTAAGTCGAGAACATACCCCAGGTCCCCGCCGCAACTCGAGAAAAACCATGAGACTTCCCCCTAGAGGCGAGATGAGGCCCCATTCCCCTGCAGTTCATGCAGAGCTATTCCATGATCCAATTCAAGCAAGTCAGGAGCTTCGACTTGCTTAATGGATCTCGAGACAGTCCCCAAGAACACTGTCACCAGTCTAGACGGACCCTGATGTCACCCCAGCAATGCAAAGCAGCTCCATGTGCCCCAAATCAACTCGAGATGAGGCCCGATTCCCCTGCATTGACTCCAGAGCCATTCCCCGTTCCCCATTCAACACGACCGGTGGCTCGACTTCCTTCAGGCAACTCCAGAGATGCCCCGAGAACAGTGTCCCAAGTCTAGAGGAACACCAACTTCAGCACAGCAACTCGAGGAATGCTCCGTGTACCCCAAATCGTCTCGAGATGAGAGCTGATTGCCTGGCTTAGGCTCAAGACGCATGCCAACTTTCCAGAAGCACCACCGGAGGAGGCTTCTCTCAGCAATAGGTATGTGGGAGGGACCCCGAGTATGCTGCCTCAAGGGGAATATACAGCGAGAAGCCCTAACTAGAAAGGAGGCCGGATTTCCTTGCAGTGGCTTGAATACAGGTTCGTCTTTCATCTCACAACATGAAGGGATGTCTGAAGCCACTGTGGAGACCTTAGAGAAAGCCCTAGGTCACTGCCTCATTTTGACGGAATGCTTCACATCCCGCTGACACCTCGAGAGGCACGCGGAGTTCATTGCTTCAAAAGGTGACGATGCCTGACTCCTCTTGAATACTGATAGGAATCCCAAAATCGATGTGGCTACTGGAAAGAGTCCTTGGGTGCCCTGCCTCACCTCGAGAAGCGTCCCTTTTGCCCTGCCAAGCCTCGAAGAGATTCCTGAGGTGTCCCTCGTTACTAGACAGGAGTCGTGACGTCACTGATCAAACTCGTGTTTTGAAGAGCCATCCCCGCCGTAAGTCGAGAACATACGCCAGGTCCCCGCCGCAACTCGAGAAAAACCATGAGACTTCCCCCTAGAGGCGAGATGAGGCCCCATTCCCCTGCAGTGCCAGCAGAGCTATTCCGTGATCCCATTCACACAAGTCAGGAGCTTCGACCTGCTTAATGGATCTCGAGACAGTCCCCAAGAACACTGTCACCAGTCTAGACGGACCCTGAGGTCACCCCAGCAACGCAAAGCAGCTCCATGTGCCCCAAATCAACTCGAGATGAGGCCCGATTCCCCTGCATTGACTCCAGAGCCATTCCCCGTTCCCCATTCAACACGACCGGTGGCTCGACTTCCTTCAGGCAACTCCAGAGATGCCCCGAGAACACTGTCCCAAGTCTAGAGGAACACCAACTTCAGCACAGCAACTCGGGGAATGCTCAGTGTACCCCAAATCGTCTCGAGATGAGAGCTGATTCCCTGGCTTAGGCTCAAGACGCATGCCAACTTTCCAGAAGCACCACAGGAGTAGGCTTCTCTCAGCAATAGGTATGTGGGAGGGACCCCGAGTTTGCTGCCTCAAGGGGAATATACAGCGAGAAGACCTAACTTGAAAGGAGGCCGGATTTCCTTGCAGTGGCTTGAATACAGGCTCGTGTTTCATTTCACAACATGAAGGGATGTCTGAATCCCCTGTGGAGACCTTAGAGAAAGCCCTAGGTCCCTGCCTCATTTTGACGGAATGCCTCACATCCCGTTGACACCTCGAGAGGCACACGGAGTTCATTGCTTCAAAAGTTGACGATGCCTGACTACTCTTGAATACTGATAGGAACCCCAAAATCCCTGTGGCTACTGGAAAGGGCCCTTTGGTGCCCTGCCTCACCTCGAGAAGCGTCCCTTTTGCCCTGACAAGCCTCAAAGTGATTCCTGAAGTGTCCCTCGTTACTTGACAGGAGTCCTGATGTCACTGAAGAAACTCGTGTTTTGAAGGGCCATCACCGCCGAAAGTCGAGAACATACTCCAGGTCCCCGCCGCAACTCGAGAAAAACCATGAGACTTCCCCCTAGAGGCGAGATGAGGCCCCATTCCCCTGCAGTGCATGCAGAGCTATTCCGTGATCCCATTCAAACAAGTCAGAAGCTTCGACTTGCTTAATGGATCTCGAGACAGTCCCCAAGAACACTGTCACCAGTCTAGACGGACCCTGAGGTCACCCCAGCAACGCAAAGCAGCTCCATGTGCCCCAAATCAACTCGAGATGAGGCCCGATTCCCCTGCATTGACTCCAGAGCCATTCCCCGTTCCCCATTCAACACGACCGGTGGCTCGACTTCCTTCAGACAACTCCAGAGATGTCCCGGAACACTGTACTAGGTCTAGAGGAACATCAACTTCAGCACAGCAACTCGAGGAATGCTCCGTGTACCCCAAATCATTTCGAGATGAGAGCTGATTCCCTGGCTTACTATCAAGACGCATGCCAACTTTCCAGAAGCACCTCAAGAGGAGGCTTCTCTCAGCAATAGGTATGTGGGAGGGACCCCGAGTATGCTGCCTCAAGGGGAATATACAGCGAGAAGCCCTAACTAGAAAGGAGGCCGGATTTCCTTGCAGTGGCTTGAATACAGGCTCGTCTTTCATCTCACAACATGAAGGGATGTCTGAAGCCACTGTGGAGAGCTTAGAGAAAGCCCTAGGTCCCAGCCTCATTTTGACGGAATGCCTCACATCCCGCTGACACCTCGAGATGCACGCGGAGTTCATTGCTTCAAAAGGTGACGATGCCTGACTCCTCTTGAATACTGATAGGAATCCCAAAATCGCTGTGGCTACTGGAAAGGGTCCTTGGGTGCCCTGCCTCACCTCGAGAAGCGTCCCTTTTGCCCTGCCAAGCCTCGAAGAGATTCCTGAGGTGTCCCTCGTTACTAGACAGGAGTCCTCACGTCACTGAAGAAACTCGTGTTTTGAAGGGCCATCCCCGCCGTAAGTCGAGAACATACCCCAGGTCCCCGCCACAACTTGAGAAAAACCATGAGACTTCCCCCTAGAGGCGAGATGAGGCCCCATTCCCCTGCAGTTCATGCAGAGCTATTCCATGATCCAATTCAAGCAAGTCAGGAGCTTCGACTTGCTTAATGGATCTCGAGACAGTCCCCAAGAACACTGTCACCAGTCTAGACGGACCCTGAGGTCAACCCAGCAACGCAAAGCAGCTCCATGTGCCCCAAATCAACTCGAGATGAGGCCCGATTCCCCTGCATTGACTCCAGAGCCATTCCCCGTTCCCCATTCAACACGACCGGTGGCTCGACTTCCTTCAGGCAACTCCAGAGATGCCCCGAGAACACTGTCCCAAGTCTAGAGGAACACCAACTTCAGCACAGCAACTCGAGGAATGGTCCATGTACCACAAATCGTCTCGAGATGAGAGCTGATTGCCTGGCTTAGGCTCAAGACGTATGCCAACTTTCCAGAAGCACCACCGGAGTAGGCTTCTCTCAGCAATAGGTATGTGGGAGGGACCCCGAGTTTGCTGCCTCAAGGGGAATATACAGCGAGAAGCCCTTACTTGAAAGGAGGTCGGATTTCCTTGCAGTGGCTTGAATACAGGCTCGTGTTTCATTTCACAACATGAAGGGATGTCTGAATCCCTGTGGAGACGTTAGAGAAAGCCCTAGGACCCTTCCTCATTTTCACGGAATGCCTCACATCACGTTGACACCACGAGAGGCACGCGGAGTTCATTGCTTCAAAAGGTGACGATGCCTGACTCCTCTTGAATACTGATAGGAATCCCAAAATCCCTGTGGCTACTGGAAAAGGTCCTTGATGCCCTGGCTCACCTCGAGAAGCTTCCCTTTTGCCCTGCCAAGCCTCGAAGAGATTCCTGAGGTGTCCCTCGTTACTAGACAGGAGTCCTGACGTCACTGAAGAACCTCGTGTTTTGAAGGGCCATTCCCGCCGTAAGTCGAGAACATACACCAGGTCCCCGCCGCAACTCGAGAAAAACCATGAGACTTCCCCCTAGAGGCGAGATGAGGCCCCATTCCCCTGCAGTGCATGCAGAGCTATTCCGTGATCCCATTGAAACAAGTCAGGAGCTTCGACTTGCTTAATGGATCTCGAGACAGTCCCCAAGAACACTGTCACCAGTCTAGACGGACCCTGAGGTCACCCCAGCAACGCAAAGAGGCTCCATGTGCCCCAAATCAACTCGAGATGAGGCCCGATTCCCCTGCATTGACTCCAGAGCCATTCCCCGTTCCCCATTCAACACGACCGGTGGCTCGACTTCCTTCAGACAACTCCAGAGATGCCCCGAGAACACTGTCCCAGGTCTAGAGGAACACCAACTTCAGCACAGCAACTCGAGGAATGCTCCGTGTACCCCAAATCGTCTCGAGATGAGAGCTGATTCCCTGGCTTAGGCTCAAGACGTATGCCAACTTCCCAGAAGCACCTCAGGAGGAGGCTTCTCTCAGCAATAGGTATGTGGGAGGGACCCCGAGTATGCTGCCTCAAGGGAAATATACAGCGAGAAGCCCTAACTAGAAAGGAGGCCGGATTTCCTTGCAGTGGCTTGAATACAGGCTCGTCTTTCATCTCACAACATGAAGGGATGTCTGAAGCCACTGTGGAGACCTTAGAGAAAGCCCTAGGTCCCTGCCTCATTTTGACGGAATGCCTCACATCCCGCTGACACCTCGAGAGGCACGCGGAGTTCATTGCTTCAAAAGGTGACGATGCCTGACTCCTCTTGAATAATGATAGGAATCCCAAAATCGCTGTGGCTACTGGAAAGGGTCCTTGGGTGCCCTGCCTCACTTCGAGAAGCGTCCCTTTTGCCCTTCCAAGCCTCGAAGAGATTCCTGAGGTGTCCTTCGTTACTAGACAGGAGTCCTGACGTCACTGAAGAAACTCGTGTTTTGAAGGGCCATCCCCGCCGTAAGTCGTGAACATACCCCAGGTCCCCGCCGCAACTCGAGAAAAACCATGAGACTTCCCCCTAGAGGCGAGATGAGGCCCCATTTCCCTGCAGTGCACGCAGAGCTATTTCATGATCCAATTCAAGCAAGTCAGGAGCTTCGACTTGCTTAATGGATCTCGAGACAGTCCCCAAGAACACTGTCACCAGTCTAGACGGACCCTGATGTCACCCCAGCAATGCAAAGCAGCTCCATGTGCCCGAAATCAACTCGAGATGAGGCCCGATTCCCCTGCATTGACTCCAGAGCCATTCCCCGTTCCCCATTCAACACGACCGGTGGCTCGACTTCCTTCAGGCAACTCCAGAGATGCCCCGAGAACACTGTCCCAAGTCTAGAGGAACACCAACTTCAGCACAGCAACTCGAGCAATGCTCCATGTACCCCAAATCGTCTTGAGATGAGAGCTGATTCCCTGGCTTAGGCTCAAGACGCATGCCAACTTTCCAGAAGCACCACAAGAGGAGGCTTCTCTCAGCAATAGGTATGTGGGAGGGACCCCGAGTTTGCTGCCTCTAGGAGAATATACAGCGAGAAGCCCTAACTTGAAAGGAGGCCGGATTTCCTTGCAGTGGCTTGAATACAGGCTCGTGTTTCATTTCACAACATGAAGGGATGTCTGAATCCCCTGTGGAGACCTTAGAGAAAGCCCTAGGTCCCTGCCTCATTTTGACGGAATGCCTCACATCCCGTTGACACCTCGAGAGGCACGCGGAGTTCATTGCTTCAAAAGGTGACGATGTCTGACTCCTCTTGAATAATGATAGGAATCCCAAAATCCCTGTGGCTACTGGAAAGGGTCCTTGCGTGCCCTGGCTCACCTCGAGAAGCTTCCCTTTTCCCTGCCAAGCCTCGAAGAGATTCCTGAGGTGTCCCTCGGTACTAGACAGGAGTCCTGACGTCACTGAAGAACCTCGTGTTTTGAAGGGCCATACCCGCCGTAAGTCGAGAACATACACCAGGTCCCCGCCGCAACTCGAGAAAAACCATGAGACTTCCCCCTAGAGGCGAGATGAGACCCATTCCCCTGCAGTGCATTCAGAGCTATTCCGTGATCCCATTCAAACAAGTCCGGAGCTTCGACTTGCTTAATGGATCTCGAGACAGTCCCCAAGAACACTGTCACCAGTCTAGACGGACCCTGAGGTCACCCCAGCAACGCAAAGCAGCTCCATGTGCCCCAAATCAACTCGAGATGAGGCCCGATTCCCCTGCATTGACTCCAGAGCCATTCCCCGTTCCCCATTCAACACGACCGGTGGCTCGACTTCCTTCAGGCAACTCCAGAGATGCCCCGAGAACACTGTCCCAGGTCTAGAGGAACACCAACTTCAGCACAGCAACTCGAGGAATGCTCCGTGTACCCCAAATCGTCTCGAGATGAGAGCTGATTCCCTGGCTTAGGCTCAAGACGTATGCCAACTTTCCAGAAGCACCTCAGGAGGAGGCTTCTCTCAGGAATAGGTATGTGGGAGGGACCCCGAGTTTGCTGCCTCAAGGGGAATATACAGCGAGAAGCCCTAACTTGAAAGGAGGCCGGATTTCCTTGCAGTGGCTTGAATACAGGCTCGTCTTTCATGTCACAACATGAAGTGATGTCTGAATCCCCTGTGGAGACCTTAGAGAAAGACCTAGGTCCCTGCCTCATTTTGACGGAATGCCTCACATCCCGCTGACACCTCGAGAGGCACGCGGAGTTCATTGCTTCAAAAGGTGACGATGCCTGACTCCTCTTGAATACTGATAGGAATCCCAAAATCCCTGTGGCTACTGGAGAGGGTCCTTGGGTGCCCTGCCTCACCACGAGAAGCGTCCCTTTTGCCCTGCCAATCCTCGAAGAGATTCCTGAGGTGTCCCTCGTTCCTAGACAGGAGTCCTGACGTCACTGAAGAAACTCATGTTTTGAAGGGCCATCCCCGCCGTAAGTCAAGAACATACCCCAGGTCCCCGCCGCAACTCGAGAAAACCCATGAGACTTTCCCATAGAGGCGAGATGAGGCCCCATTCCCCTGCAGTGCATGCAGAGCTATTCCGTGATCCCATTCAAACAAGTCAGGAGATTCGACTTGCTTAATGGATCTCGAGAGAGTCCCCAAGAACACTGTCACCAGACTACACGGACCCTGAGGTCACACTAGCAACGCAAAGCAGCTCCATGTGGCCCAAATCAACTCGAGATGAGGCCCGATTCCCCTGCATTGACTCCAGAGCCATTCCCCGTTCCCCATTCAACACGACCGGTGGCTCGACTTCCTTCAGGCAACTCCAGAGATGCCCCGAGAACACTGTCCCCAGTCTAGAGGAACACCAACTTCAGCACAGCAACTCGAGGAATACTCCGTGTACCCCAAATCATATCGAGATGGGAGCTGATTCCCTGGCTTAGGCTCAAGACGTATGGCAACTTTCCTGAAGCACCTGAGGAGGAGGATTCTCTCAGAAATAGGTATGTGGGAGGGACCACGAGTTTGCTGCCTCAAGGGGAATATAGAGCGAGAAGCCCTGACTTGAAAGGAGGCCGGATTTCCTTGCAGTGGCTTGAATACAGGCTCGTGTTTCATCTCACAACATGAAGGGATGTCTGAATCCACTGTGGAGACCTTAGAGAAACCCTAGGTCCCTGCCTCATTTTGACGGAATGCCTCACATCCCGCTGACACCTCAAGAAGCACGCGTAGTTCATTGCTTCAAAATGTGACGATGCCTGACTCATCTTGAATACTGATAGGAATCCAAAAATCCCTGTGGCTACTGGAAAGGGTCCTTGGGTGCCCTGCCTCACCTCGAGAAGCGTCCCTTTTGCCCTGCCAAGCCTCGAGAGATTCATGAAGTGTCCCTCGTTACTAGACATGAGTCCTGACGTCACTGAAGAAACTCGTGTTTTGAAGGGCCATCCCCGCCGTAAGTCGAGAGCATACCCCAGGTCCCCGCCGCAACTCGAGAAAAACCATGAGACTTCCCCCTAGAGGCGAGATGAGGCCCCATTCCCCTGCAGTGCATGCAGAGCTATTCCGTGATCCCATTCAAACAAGTCAGGAGCTTCGACTTGCTTAATGGATCTCGAGACAGTCCGCAAGAACACTGTCACCAGTCTAAACGGACTCTGAGGTCACCCCAGCAACGCAAAGCAGCTCCATGTGCCCCAAATCAACTCGAGATGAGGCCCGATTCCCCTGCATTGACTCCAGAGCCATTCCCCGTTCCCCATTCAACATGATCGGTGGCTCGACTTCCTTCAGGAAACTCCAGAGAAGCCCCGAGAACACTGTCCCAAGTCTAGAGGAACACCAACTTCAGCACAGCAACTCGATGAATGCTCCATGTAATCCAAAACGTCTCGAGATGAGAGCTGATTCCCAGGCTTAGGCTCAAGACGTATGCCAACTTTCCAGAAGCACCTCAGGAGGAGGCTTCTCTCAGCAATAGGTATGTGGGAGGGACCCCGAGTTTGCTGCCTCAAGGGGAATATACAGCGAGAAGCCCTGACTTGAAAGGAGGCCGGATTTCCTTGCAGTGGCTTGAATACAGGCTCGTGTTTCACCTCACAACATGAAGGGATGTCTGAATCCCTGTGGAGACCTTAGAGAAAGCCCTAGGACCCTGCCTCATTTTCACGGAATGCCTCACATCACGTTGACACCTCGAGAGGCACGCAGAGTTCATTGCTTCAAAAGGTGACGATGCCTGACTCCTCTTGAATACTGATAGGAATCCCAAAATCCCTGTGGCTACTGGAAAGGGTCCTTGATGAACTGGCTCACCTCGAGAAGCTTCCCTTTTGCCCTGCCAAGCCTCGAAGAGATTCCTGAGGTGTCCCTCGTTACTAGACAGGAGTCCTGACGTCACTGAAGAACCTCGTGTTTTGAAGGGCCATTCCCGCCGTAAGTCGAGAACATACACCAGGTCCCCGCCGCAACTCGAGAAAAACCATGAGACTTCCCCCTAGAGGCGAGATGAGACCCATTCCCCTGCAGTGCATGCAGAGCTATTCCGTGATCCCATTCAAACAAGTCATGAGCTTCGACTTGCTTAATGGATCTCGAGACAGTCCCCAAGAACACTGTCACCAGTCTAGACGGACCCTGAGGTCACCCCAGCAATGCAAAGCAGCTCCATGTGCCCCAAATCAACTCGAGATGAGGCCCGATTCCCCTGCATTGACTCCAGAGCCATTCCCCGTTCCCCATTCAACACGACCGGTGGCTCGACTTCCTTCAGGAAACTCCAGAGTTGCCCCGAGAACACTGTCCCAGGTATAGAGGAACACCAACTTCAGCACAGCAACTCGAGGAATGCTCCGTGTACCCCAAATCGTCTCGAGATGAGAGCTGATTCCCTGGCTTAGGCTCAAGACGTATGCCAACTTTCCAGAAGCACCTCAGGAGGAGGCTTCTCTCAGCAATAGGTATGTGGGAGGGACCCCGAGTTTGCTGCCTCAAGGGGAATATACAGCGAGAAGCCCTAACTTGAAAGGAGGCCGGATTTCCTTGCAGTGGCTTGAATACAGGCTCGTCTTTCATCTCACAACATATAGGGATGTCTGAATCCCCTGTGGAGACCTTAGAGAAAGCCCTAGATCCCTGCCTCATTTTGACGGAATGCCTCACATCCCGCTGATACCTCGAGAGGCACGCGGAGTTCATTGCTTCAAAACGTGACGATGCCTGACTCCTCTTGAATACTGATAGGAATCCCAAAATCCCTGTGGCTACTGGAAAGGGTCCTTGGGTGCCCTGCCTCACCTCGAGAAGCGTCCCTTTTGCCCTGCCAAGCCTCGAAGAGATTCCTGAGGTGTCCCTCGTTACTAGACAGGAGTCCTAACCTCACTGAAGAAACTCGTGTTTTGAAGGGCCATCCCCGCCGTAAGTCGAGAACATACCCCAGGTCCCCGCCGCAACTCGAGAAAAACCATGAGACTTCCCCCTAGAGGCGAGATGAGGCCCCATTCCCCTGCATTGACTCCAGAGCCATTCTCCGTTCCCCATTCAACACGACCGGTGGCTCGACTTCCTTCAGGCAACTCCAGAGATGCCCCGAGAACACTGTCCCAAGTCTAGAGGAACACCAACTTCAGCACAGCAACTCGATGAATGCTCCGTGTACCCCAAAACGTCTCGAGATGAGAGCTGATTCCCTGGCTTAGGCTCAAGACGTATGCCAACTTTCCAGAAGCACCTCAGGAGGAGGCTTCTCTCAGCATTAGGTATGTGGGAGGGACCCCGAGTATGCTGCCTCAAGGGGAATATACAGCGAGAAGCCCTAACTTGAAAGGAGGCCGGATTTCCTTGCAGTGGCTTGGATACAGGCTCGTGTTTCATCTCACAACATGAAGGGATGTCTGAATACCCAGTGGAGACCTTAGAGAAAGACCTAGGTCCCTGCCTCATTTTGACGGAATGCCTCACATCCCGCTGACACCTCGAGAGGCACGCGGAGTTCATTGCTTCAAAAGGTGACTATGCCTGACTCCTCTTGAATACTGATAGGAATCCCAAAATCCCTGTGGCTACTGGAAAGGGTCCTTGGGTGCCTTGCCTCACCTCGAGAAGCGTCCCTTTTGCCCTGCCAAGCCTCGAAGAGATTCCTGAGGTGTCCCTCGTTACTAGACAGGAGTCCTGACGTCACTGAAGAAACTCGTGTTTTGAAGGGCCATGCCCGCCGTAAGTCGAGAACATACCCCAGGTCCCTGCCGCAACTCGAGAAAAACCATGAGACTTCCCCCTAGAGGCGAGATGAGGCCCCATTCCCCTGCATTGACTCCAGAGCCATTCTCCGTTCCCCATTCAACACGACCGGTGGCTCGACTTCCTTCAGGCAACTCCAGAGATGCCCCGAGAACACTGTCCCAAGTCTAGAGGAACACCAACTTCAGCACAGCAACTCGATGAATGCTCCGTGTACCCCAAAACGTCTCGAGATGAGAGCTGATTCCCTGGCTTAGGCTCAAGACGTATGCCAACTTTCCAGAAGCACCTCAGGAGGAGGCTTCTCTCAGCATTAGGTATGTGGGAGGGACCCCGAGTATGCTGCCTCAAGGGGAATATACAGCGAGAAGCCCTAACTTGAAAGGAGGCCGGATTTCCTTGCAGTGGCTTGGATACAGGCTCGTGTTTCATCTCACAACATGAAGGGATGTCTGAATACCCAGTGGAGACCTTAGAGAAAGACCTAGGTCCCTGCCTCATTTTGACGGAATGCCTCACATCCCGCTGACACCTCGAGAGGCACGCGGAGTTCATTGCTTCAAAAGGTGACTATGCCTGACTCCTCTTGAATACTGATAGGAATCCCAAAATCCCTGTGGCTACTGGAAAGGGTCCTTGGGTGCCTTGCCTCACCTCGAGAAGCGTCCCTTTTGCCCTGCCAAGCCTCGAAGAGATTCCTGAGGTGTCCCTCGTTACTAGACAGGAGTCCTGACGTCACTGAAGAAACTCGTGTTTTGAAGGGCCATGCCCGCCGTAAGTCGAGAACATACCCCAGGTCCCTGCCGCAACTCGAGAAAAACCATGAGACTTCCCCCTAGAGGCGAGATGAGGCCCCATTCCCCTGCAGTGCATGCAGAGCTATTCCGTGATCCCATTCAAACAAGTCAGAAGCTTCGACTTGCTTAATGGATCTCGAGACAGTCCCCAAGAACACTGTCACCAGTCTAGACGGACCCTGAAGTCACCCCAGCAACGCAAAGCAGCTCCATGTGCCCCAAATCAACTCGAGCTGAGGCCCGATTCCCCTGCATTGACTCCAGAGCCATTCCCCGTTCCCCATTCAACACGACCGGTGGCTCGACTTCCTTCAGACAACTCCAGAGATGCCCCGAGAACACTGTCCCAGGTCTAGAGGAACACCAACTTCAGCACAGCAACTCGAGGAATGCTCCGTGTACCCCAAATCGTCTCGAGATAAGAGCTGATTCCCTGGCTTAGGCTCAAGACATATGCCAACTTTCCAGAAGCACCTCAGGAGGAGGCTTCTCTCAGCAATAGGTATGTGGGAGGGACCCCGAGTATGCTGCCTCAAGGGAAATATACAGCGAGAAGCCCTAACTAGAAAGGAGGCCGGATTTCCTTGCAGTGGCTTGAATACAGGCTCGTCTTTCATCTCACAACATGAAGGGATGTCTGAAGCCACTGTGGAGACCTTAGAGAAAGCCCTAGGTCCCTGCCTCATTTTGACGGAATGCCTCACATCGCGCTGACACCTCGAGAGGCACGCGGAGTTCATTGCTTCAAAAGGTGACGATGCCTGACTCCTCTTGAATAGTGATAGGAATCCCAAAATCGCTGTGGCTACTGGAAAGGGTCCTTGGGTGCCCTGCCTCACCTCGAGAAGCGTCCCTTTTGCCCTGCCAAGCCTCGAAGAGATTCCTGAGGTGTCCCTCGTTACTAGACAGGAGTCCTGACCTCACTGAAGAAACTCGTGTTTTGAAGGGCCATCCCCGCCGTAAGTCGAGAACATACCCCAGGTCCCCGCCGCAACTCGAGAAAAACCATGAGACTTCCCCCTAGAGGCGAGATGAGGCCCCATTCCCCTGCACTGACTCCAGAGCCATTCTCCGTTCCCCATTCAACACGACCGGTGGCTCGACTTCCTTCAGGCAACTCCAGAGATGCCCCGAGAACACTGTCCCAAGTCTAGAGGAACACCAACTTCAGCACAGCAACTCGATGAATGCTCCGTGTACCCCAAAACGTCTCGAGATGAGAGCTGATTCCCTGGCTTAGGCTCAAGACGTATGCCAACTTTCCAGAAGCACCTCAGGAGGAGGCTTCTCTCAGCATTAGGTATGTGGGAGGGACCCCGAGTATGCTGCCTCAAGGGGAATATACAGCGAGAAGCCCTAACTTGAAAGGAGGCCGGATTTCCTTGCAGTGGCTTGGATACAGGCTCGTGTTTCATCTCACAACATGAAGGGATGTCTGAATCCCCAGTGGAGACCTTAGAGAAAGACCTAGGTCCCTGCCTCATTTTGACGGAATGCCTCACATCCCGCTGACACCTCGAGAGGCACGCGGAGTTCATTGCTTCAAAAGGTGACTATGCCTGACTCCTCTTGAATACAGATAGGAATCCCAAAATCGCTGTGGCTACTGGAAAGGGTCCTTGGGTGCCTTGCCTCACCTCGAGAAGCGTCCCTTTTGCCCTGCCAAGCCTCGAAGAGATTCCTGAGGTGTCCCTCGTTACTAGACAGGAGTCCTGACGTCACTGAAGAAACTCGTGTTTTGAAGGGCCATGCCCGCCGTAAGTCGAGAACATACCCCAGGTCCCTGCCGCAACTCGAGAAAAACCATGAGACTTCCCCCTAGAGGCGAGATGAGGCCCCATTCCCCTGCAGTGCATGCAGAGCTATTCCGTGATCCCATTCAAACAAGTCAGAAGCTTCGACTTGCTTAATGGATCTCGAGACAGTCCCCAAGAACACTGTCACCAGTCTAGACGGACCCTGAAGTCACCCCAGCAACGCAAAGCAGCTCCATGTGCCCCAAATCAACTCGAGCTGAGGCCCGATTCCCCTGCATTGACTCCAGAGCCATTCCCCGTTCCCCATTCAACACGACCGGTGGCTCGACTTCCTTCAGACAACTCCAGAGATGCCCCGAGAACACTGTCCCAGGTCTAGAGGAACACCAACTTCAGCACAGCAACTCGAGGAATGCTCCGTGTACCCCAAATCGTCTCGAGATGAGAGCTGATTCCCTGGCTTAGGCTCAAGACATATGCCAACTTTCCAGAAGCACCTCAGGAGGAGGCTTCTCTCAGCAATAGGTATGTGGGAGGGACCCCGAGTATGCTGCCTCAAGGGAAATATACAGCGAGAAGCCCTAACTAGAAAGGAGGCCGGATTTCCTTGCAGTGGCTTGAATACAGGCTCGTCTTTCATCTCACAACATGAAGGGATGTCTGAAGCCACTGTGGAGACCTTAGAGAAAGCCCTAGGTCCCTGCCTCATTTTGACGGAATGCCTCACATCGCGCTGACACCTCGAGAGGCACGCGGAGTTCATTGCTTCAAAAGGTGACGATGCCTGACTCCTCTTGAATAGTGATAGGAATCCCAAAATCGCTGTGGCTACTGGAAAGGGTCCTTGGGTGCCCTGCCTCACCTCGAGAAGCGTCCCTTTTGCCCTGCCAAGCCTCGAAGAGATTCCTGAGGTGTCCCTCGTTACTAGACAGGAGTCCTGACGTCACTGAAGAAACTCGTGTTTTGAAGGGCCATCCCCGCCGTAAGTCGTGAACATACCCCAGGTCCCCGCCGCAACTCGAGAAAAACCATGAGACTTCCCCCTAGACGCGAGATGAGGCCCCATTTCCCTGCAGTGCACGCAGAGCTATTCCATGATCCAATTCAAGCAAGTCAGGAGTTTCGACTTGCTTAATGGATCTCGAGACAGTCCCCAAGAACACTGTCACCAGTCTAGACGGACCCTGATGTCACCCCAGCAATGCAAAGCAGCTCCATGTGCCCGAAATCAACTCGAGATGAAGCCCGATTCCCCTGCATTGACTCCAGAGCCATTCCCCGTTCCCCATTCAACACGACCGGTGGCTCGACTTCCTTCAGGCAACTCCAGAGATGCCCCGAGAACACTGTCCCAAGTCTAGAGGAACACCAACTTCAGCACAGCAACTCGAGCAATGCTGCATGTACCCCAAATCGTCTTGAGATGAGAGCTGATTCCCTGGCTTAGGCTCAAGACGCATGCCAACTTTCCAGAAGCACCACAGGAGGAGGCTTCTCTCAGCAATAGGTATGTGGGAGGGACCCCGAGTTTGCTGCCTCAAGGAGAATATACAGCGAGAAGCCCTAACTTGAAAGGAGGCCGGATTTCCTTGCAGTGGCTTGAATACAGGCTCGTGTTTCATTTCACAACATGAAGGGATGTCTGAATCCCCTGTGGAGACCTTAGAGAAAGCCCTAGGTCCCTGCCTCATTTTGACGGAATGCCTCACATCCCGTTTACACCTCGAGAGGCACGCAGAGTTCATTGCTTCAAAAGGTGACGATGTCTGACTCCTCTTGAATAATGATAGGAATCCCAAAATCCCTGTGGCTACTGGAAAGGGTCCTTGGGTGCCCTAGCTCACCTCGAGAAGCTTCCCTTTTCACTGCCAAGCCTCGAAGAGATTCCTGAGGTGTCCCTCGGTACTAGACAGGAGTCCTGACGTCACTGAAGAACCTCGTGTTTTGAAGGGCCATACCCGCCGTAAGTCGAGAACATACACCAGGTCCCCGCCGCAACTCGAGAAAAACCATGAGACTTCCCCCTAGAGGCGAGATGAGACCCATTCCCCTGCAGTGCATGCAGAGCTATTCCGTGATCCCATTCAAACAAGTCAGGAGCTTCGACTTGCTTAATGGATCTCGAGACAGTCCCCAAGAACACTGTCACCAGTCTAGACGGACCCTGAGGTCACCCCAGCAACGCAAAGCAGCTCCATGTGCCCCAAATCAACTCGAGATGAGGCCCGATTCCCCTGCATTGACTCCAGAGCCATTCCCCGTTCCCCATTCAACACGACCGGTGGCTCGACTTCCTTCAGGCAACTCCAGAGTTGCCCCGAGAACACTGTCCCAGGTCTAGAGGAACACCAACTTCAGCACAGCAACTCGAGGAATGCTCCGTGTACCCCAAATCGTCTCGAGATGAGAGCTGATTCCCTGGCTTAGGCTCAAGACGTATGCCAACTTTCCAGAAGCACCTCAGGAGGAGGCTTCTCTCAGCAATAGGTATGTGGGAGGGACCCCGAGTTTGCTGCCTCAAGGGGAATATACAGCGAGAAGCCCTAACTTGAAAGGAGGCCGGATTTCCTTGCAGTGGCTTGAATACAGGCTCGTCTTTCATCTCACAACATATAGGGATGTCTGAATCCCCTGTGGAGACCTTAGAGAAAGCCCTAGATCCCTGCCTCATTTTGACGGAATGCCTCACATCCCGCTGATACCTCGAGAGGCACGCGGAGTTCATTGCTTCAAAACGTGACGATGCCTGACTCCTCTTGAATACTGATAGGAATCCCAAAATCCCTGTGGCTACTGGAAAGGGTCCTTGGGTGCCCTGCCTCACCTCGAGAAGCGTCCCTTTTGCCCTGCCAAGCCTCGAAGAGATTCCTGAGGTGTCCCTCGTTACTAGACAGGAGTCCTGACCTCACTGAAGAAACTCGTGTTTTGAAGGGCCATCCCCGCCGTAAGTCGAGAACATACCCCAGGTCCCCGCCGCAACTCGAGAAAAACCATGAGACTTCCCCCTAGAGGCGAGATGAGGCCCCATTCCCCTGCATTGACTCCAGAGCCATTCTCCGTTCCCCATTCAACACGACCGGTGGCTCGACTTCCTTCAGGCAACTCCAGAGATGCCCCGAGAACACTGTTCCAAGTCTAGAGGAACACCAACTTCAGCACAGCAACTCGATGAATGCTCCGTGTACCCCAAAACGTCTCGAGATGAGAGCTGATTCCCTGGCTTAGGCTCAAGACGTATGCCAACTTTCCAGAAGCACCTCAGGAGGAGGCTTCTCTCAGCATTAGGTATGTGGGAGGGACCCCGAGTATGCTGCCTCAAGGGGAATATACAGCGAGAAGCCCTAACTTGAAAGGAGGCCGGATTTCCTTGCAGTGGCTTGGATACAGGCTCGTGTTTCATCTCACAACATGAAGGGATGTCTGAATCCCCAGTGGAGACCTTAGAGAAAGACCTAGGTCCCTGCCTCATTTTGACGGAATGCCTCACATCCCGCTGACACCTCGAGAGGCACGCGGAGTTCATTGCTTCAAAAGGTGACTATGCCTGACTCCTCTTGAATACTGATAGGAATCCCAAAATCCCTGTGGCTACTGGAAAGGGTCCTTGGGTGCCTTGCCTCACCTCGAGAAGCGTCCCTTTTGCCCTGCCAAGCCTCGAAGAGATTCCTGAGGTGTCCCTCGTTACTAGACAGGAGTCCTGACGTCACTGAAGAAACTCGTGTTTTGAAGGGCCATGCCCGCCGTAAGTCGAGAACATACCCCAGGTCCCTGCCGCAACTCGAGAAAAACCATGAGACTTCCCCCTAGAGGCGAGATGAGGCCCCATTCCCCTGCAGTGCATGCAGAGCTATTCCGTGATCCCATTCAAACAAGTCAGAAGCTTCGACTTGCTTAATGGATCTCGAGACAGTCCCCAAGAACACTGTCACCAGTCTAGACGCACCCTGAGGTCACCCCAGCAACGCAAAGCAGCTCCATGTGCCCCAAATCAACTCGAGATGAGGCCCGATTCCCCTGCATTGACTCCAGAGCCATTCCCCGTTCCCCATTCAACACGACCGGTGGCTCGACTTCCTTCAGACAACTCCAGAGATGCCCCGGAACACTGTACTAGGTCTAGAGGAATATCAACTTCAGCACAGCAACTCGAGGAATGCTCCGTGTACCCCAAATCATTTCGAGATGAGAGCTGATTCCCTGGCTTACTATCAAGACGCATGCCAACTTTCCAGAAGCACCTCAAGAGGAGGCTTCTCTCAGCAATAGGTATGTGGGAGGGACCCCGAGTATGCTGCCTCAAGGGGAATATACAGCGAGAAGCCCTAACTAGAAAGGAGGCCGGATTTCCTTGCAGTGGCTTGAATACAGGCTCGTCTTTCATCTCACAACATGAAGGGATGTCTGAAGCCACTGTGGAGAGCTTAGAGAAAGCCCTAGGTCCCAGCCTCATTTTGACGGAATGCCTCACATCCCGCTGACACCTCGAGATGCACGCGGAGTTCATTGCTTCAAAAGGTGACGATGCCTGACTCCTCTTGAATACTGATAGGAATCCCAAAATCGCTGTGGCTACTGGAAAGGGTCCTTGGGTGCCCTGCCTCACCTCGAGAAGCGTCCCTTTTGCCCTGCCAAGCCTCGAAGAGATTCCTGAGGTGTCCCTCGTTACTAGACAGGAGTCCTCACGTCACTGAAGAAACTCGTGTTTTGAAGGGCCATCCCCGCCGTAAGTCGAGAACATACCCCAGGTCCCCGCCGCAACTTGAGAAAAACCATGAGACTTCCCCCTAGAGGCGAGAAGAGGCCCCATTCCCCTGCAGTTCATGCAGAGCTATTCCATGATCCAATTCAAGCAAGTCAGGAGCTTCGACTTGCTTAATGGATCTCGAGACAGTCCCCAAGAACACTGTCACCAGTCTAGACGGACCCTGAGGTCAACCCAGCAATGCAAAGCAGTTCCATGTGCCCCAAATCAACTCGAGATGAGGCCCGATTCCCCTGCATTGACTCCAGAGCCATTCCCCGTTCCCCATTCAACACGACCGGTGGCTCGACTTCCTTCAGGCAACTCCAGAGATGCCCCGAGAACACTGTCCCAAGTCTAGAGGAACACCAACTTCAGCACAGCAACTCGAGGAATGGTCCATGTACCCCAAATCGTCTCGAGATGAGAGCTGATTGCCTGGCTTAGGCTCAAGACGTATGCCAACTTTCCAGAAGCACCACCGGAGTAGGCTTCTCTCAGCAATAGGTATGTGGGAGGGACCCCGAGTTTGCTGCCTCAAGGGGAATATACAGCGAGAAGCCCTTACTTGAAAGGAGGTCGGATTTCCTTGCAGTGGCTTGAATACAGGCTCGTGTTTCATTTCACAACATGAAGGTATGTCTGAATCCCTGTGGAGACCTTAGAGAAAGCCCTAGGACCCTGCCTCATTTTCACGGAATGCCTCACATCACGTTGACACCACGAGAGGCACGCGGAGTTCATTGCTTCAAAAGGTGACGATGCCTGACTCCTCTTGAATACTGATAGGAATCCCAAAATCCCTGTGGCTACTGGAAAGGGTCCTTGATGCCCTGGCTCACCTCGAGAAGCTTCCCTTTTGCCCTGCCAAGCCTCGAAGAGATTCCTGAGGTGTCCCTCGTTACTAGACAGGAGTCCTGACGTCACTGAAGAACCTCGTGTTTTGAAGGGCCATACGCGCCGTAAGTCGAGAACATACACCAGGTCCCCGCCGCAACTCGAGAAAAACCATGAGACTTCCCCCTAGAGGCGAGATGAGGCCCCATTCCCCTGCAGTGCATGCAGAGCTATTCCGTGATCCCATTCAAACAAGTCAGGAGCTTCGACTTGCTTAATGGATCTCGAGACAGTCCCCAAGAACACTGTCACCAGTCTAGACGGACCCTGAGGTCAACCCGGCAACGCAAAGCAGCTCCATGTGCCCCAAATCAACTCGAGATGAGGCCCGATTCCCCTGCATTGACTCCAGAGCCATTCCCCGTTCCCATTCAACACGACCGGTGGCTCGACTTCCTTCAGACAACTCCAGAGATGCCCCGAGAACACTGTCCCAGGTCTAGAGGAACACCAACTTCAGCACAGCAACTCGAGGAATGCTCCGTGTACCCCAAATCGTCTCGAGATGAGAGCTGATTCCCTGGCTTAGGCTCAAGACGTATGCCAACTTCCCAGAAGCACCTCAGGAGGAGGCTTCTCTCAGCAATAGGTATGTGGGAGGGACCCCGAGTATGCTGCCTCAAGGGAAATATACAGCGAGAAGCCCTAACTAGAAAGGAGGCCGGATTTCCTTGCAGTGGCTTGAATACAGGCTCGTCTTTCATCTCACAACATGAAGGGATGTCTGAAGCCACTGTGGAGACCTTAGAGAAAGCCCTAGGTCCCTGCCTCATTTTGACGGAATGCCTCACATCCCGCTGACACCTCGAGAGGCACGCGGAGTGCATTGCTTCAAAAGGTGACGATGCCTGACTCCTCTTGAATAATGATAGGAATCCCAAAATCGCTGTGGCTACTGGAAAGGGTCCTTGGGTGCCCTGCCTCACTTCGAGAAGCGTCCCTTTTGCCCTGCCAAGCCTCGAAGAGATTCCTGAGGTGTCCTTCGTTACTAGACAGGAGTCCTGACGTCACTGAAGAAACTCGTGTTTTGAAGGGCCATCCCCGCCGTAAGTCGTGAACATACCCCAGGTCCCCGCCGCAACTCGAGAAAAACCATGAGACTTCCCCCTAGAGGCGAGATGAGGCCCCATTTCCCTGCAGTGCACGCAGAGCTATTCCATGATCCAATTCAAGCAAGTCAGGAGCTTCGACTTGCTTAAAGGATCTCGAGACAGTCCCCAAGAACACTGTCACCAGTCTAGACGGACCCTGATGTCACCCCAGCAATGCAAAGCAGCTCCATGTGCCCGAAATCAACTCGAGATGAGGCCCGATTCCCCTGCATTGACTCCAGAGCCATTCCCCGTTCCCCATTCAACACGACCGGTGGCTCGACTTCCTTCAGGCAACTCCAGAGATGCCCCGAGAACACTGTCCCAAGTCTAGCGGAACACCAACTTCAGCACAGCAACTCGAGCAATGCTCCATGTACCCCAAATCGTCTTGAGATGAGAGCTGATTCCCTGGCTTAGGCTCAAGACGCATGCCAACTTTCCAGAAGAACCACAAGAGGAGGCTTCTCTCAGCAATAGGTATGTGGGAGGGACCCCGAGTTTGCTGCCTCTAGGAGAATATACAGCGAGAAGCCCTAACTTGAAAGGAGGCCGGATTTCCTTGCAGTGGCTTGAATACAGGCTCGTGTTTCATTTCACAACATGAAGGGATGTCTGAATCCCCTGTGGAGACCTTAGAGAAAGCCCTAGGTCCCTGCCTCATTTTGACGGAATGCCTCACATCCCGTTGACACCTCGAGAGGCACGCGGAGTTCATTGCTTCAAAAGGTGACGATGTCTGACTCCTCTTGAATAATGATAGGAATCCCAAAATCCCTGTGGCTACTGGAAAGGGTCCTTGGGTGCCCTGGCTCACCTCGAGAAGCTTCCCTTTTCCCTGCCAAGCCTCGAAGAGATTCCTGAGGTGTCCCTCGGTACTAGACAGGAGTCCTGACGTCACTGAAGAACCTCGTGTTTTGAAGGGCCATACCCGCCGTAAGTCGAGAACATACACCAGGTCCCCGCCGCAACTCGAGAAAAACCATGAGACTTCCCCCTAGAGGCGAGATGAGACCCATTCCCCTGCAGTGCATGCAGAGCTATTCCGTGATCCCATTCAAACAAGTCCGGAGCTTCGACTTGCTTAATGGATCTCGAGACAGTCCCCAAGAACACTGTCTCCAGTCTAGACGGACCCTGAGGTCACCCCAGCAACGCAAAGCAGCTCCATGTGCCCCAAATCAACTCGAGATGAGGCCCGATTCCCCTGCATTGACTCCAGAGCCATTCCCCGTTCCCCATTCAACACGACCGGTGGCTCGACTTCCTTCAGGCAACTCCAGAGATGCCCCGAGAACACTGTCCCAAGTCTAGAGGAACACCAACTTCAGCACAGCAACTCGAGGAATGCTCCGTGTACCCCAAATCGTCTCGAGATGAGAGCTGATTGCCTGGCTTAGGCTCAAGACGCATGCCCACTTTCCAGAAGCACCACCGGAGGAGGCTTCTCTCAGCAATAGGTATGTGGGAGGGACCCCGAGTTTGCTGCCTCAAGGAGAATATACAGCGAGAAGCCCTAACTTGAAAGGAGGCCGGATTTCCTTGCAGTGGCTTGAATACAGGCTCGTGTTTCATTTCACAACATGAAGGGATGTCTGAATCCCTGTGGAGACCTTAGAGAAAGCCCTAGGACCCTGCCTCATTTTCACGGAATGCCTCACATCCCGTTGACACCTCGAGAGGCACGCGGAGTTCATTGCTTCAAAAGGTGACGATGCCTGACTCCTCTTGAATACTGAGAGGAATCCCAAAATCCCTGTGGCTACTGGAAAGGGTCCTTGCGTGCCCTGGCTCACCTCGAGAAGCTTCCCTTTTGCCCTGCCAAGCCTCGAAGAGGTTCCTGACGTGTCCCTCGTTACTAGACAGGAGTCCTGACGTCACTGAAGAACCTCGTGTTTTGAAGGGCCATACCCACCGTAAGTCGAGAACATACCCCAGGTCCCCGCCGCAACTCGAGAAAAACCATGAGACTTCCCCCTAGAGGCGAGATGAGGCCCCATTCCCCTGCAGTGCATGCAGAGCTATTCCGTGATCCCATTCAAACAAGTCAGGAGCTTCGACTTGCTTAATGGATCTCGAGACAGTCCCAACAATACTGTCACCAGTGTAGACGGACCCTGAGGTCACCCCAGCAACGCAAAGCAGCTCCATGTGCCGCAAATCAACTCGAGATGAGGCCCGATTCCCCTGCATTGACTCCAGAGCCATTCTCCGTTCCCCATTCAACACGACCGGTGGCTCGACTTCCTTCAGGCAACTCCAGAGATGCCCCGAGAACACTGTCCCAAGTCTAGAGGAACACCAACTTTAGCACAGCAACTCGATGAATGCTCCGTGTACCCCAAAACGTCTCGAGATGAGAGCTGATTCCCTGGCTTAGGCTCAAGACGTATGCCAACTTTCCAGAAGCACCTCAGGAGGAGGCTTCTCTCAGCATTAGGTATGTGGGAGGGACCCCGAGTATGCTGCCTCAAGGGGAATATACAGCGAGAAGCCCTAACTTGAAAGGAGGCCGGATTTCCTTGCAGTGGCTTGGATACAGGCTCGTGTTTCATCTCACATCATGAAGGGATGTCTGAGTCCCCAGTGGAGACCTTAGAGAAAGCCCTGGGTCCCTGCCTCATTTTGACGGAATGCCTCACATCCCGCTGACACCTCGAGAGGCACGCGGAGTTCATTGCTTCAAAAGGTGACGATGCCTGACTCCTCTTGAATACTGATAGGAATCCCAAAATCCCTGTGGCTACTGGAAAGGGTCCTTGGGTGCCCTGCCTCACCTCGAGAAGCCTCCCTTTGGCCCTGCCAAGCCTCGAAGAGATTCCTGAGGTGTCCCTCGTTACTAGACAGGAGTCCTGACGTCACTGAAGAAACTCGTGTTTTGAAGGGCCATGCCCGCCGTAAGTCGAGAACATACCCCAGGTCCCTGCCGCAACTCGAGAAAAACGATGAGACTTCTCCCTAGAGGCGAGATGAGGCCCCATTCCCCTGCAGTGCATGCAGAGCTATTCCTTGATCCCATTCAAACAAGTCAGGAGCTTCGACTTGCTTAATGGATCTCGAGACAGTCCCCAAGAACACTGTCACCAGTCTACACGGACCCTGAGGTCACCCCAGCAACGCAAAGCAGCTCCATGTGCCCCAAATCAACTCGAGATGAGGCCCGATTCCCCAGCCTTGACTCCACTGCCATTCCCCGTTTCCCATTCAACATGACCGGTGGCTTGACTTCCTTCAGGCAACTCCAGAGATGCCCCGAGAACAGTGTCCCAAGTCTAGAGGAACACCAACTTCAGCACAGCAACTCGAGGAATGCTCCGTGTACCCCAAATCGTCTCGAGATGAGAGGTGATTCCCTGGCTTAGGCTCAAGACGTATGCCAACTTTCCAGAAGCACCTCAGGAGGATTATTCTCTCAGCAAAAGGTATGTGGGAGGGACCCCGAGTGTGCTGCCTCAAGGGGAATATACAGCGAGAAGCCCTAACTTGAAAGGAGGCCGGATTTCCTTGCAGTGGCTTGAATACAGGCTCGTCTTTCATGTCACAACATGAAGGGATGTCTGAATCCCCTGTGGAGACCTTAGAGAAAGACCTAGGTCCCTGCCTCATTTTGACGGAATGCCTCACATCCCGCTGACACCTCGAGAGGCACGCGGAGTTCATTGCTTCAAAAGGTGACGATGCCTGACTACTCTTAAATACTGATAGGAATCCAAAAATCCCTGTGGCTACTGGAAAGGGTCCTTGGGTGCCCTGCCTCACCACGAGAAGCGTCCCTTTTGCCCTGCCAATCCTCGAAGAGATTCCTCAGGTGTCCCTCGTTCCTAGACAGGAGTCCTGACGTCACTGAAGAAACTCGTGTTTTGAAGGGCCATCCCCGCCGTAAGTCAAGAACATACCCCAGGTCCCCGCCGCAACTCGAGAAAACCCATGAGACTTTCCCATAGAGGCGAGATGAGGCCCCATTCCCCTGCAGTGCATGCAGAGCTATTCCGTGATCCCATTCAAACAAGTCAGGAGCTTCGACTTGCTTAATGGATCTCGAGAGAGTCCCCAAGAACACTGTCACCAGACTACACGGACCCTGAGGTCACACTAGCAACGCAAAGCAGCTCCATGTGGCCCAAATCAACTCGAGATGAGGCCCGATTCCCCTGCATTGACTCCAGAGCCATTCCCCGTTCCCCATTCAACACGACCGGTGGCTCGACTTCCTTCAGGCAACTCCAGAGATGCCCCGAGAACACTGTCCCCAGTCTAGAGGAACACCAACTTCAGCACAGCAACTCGAGGAATACTCCGTGTACCCCAAATCATCTCGAGATGGGAGCTGATTCCCTGGCTTAGGCTCAAGACGTATGGCAACTTTCCTGAAGCACCTGAGGAGGAGGATTCTCTCAGAAATAGGTATGTGGGAGGGACCACGAGTTTGCTGCCTCAAGGGGAATATAGAGCGAGAAGCCCTGACTTGAAAGGAGGCCGGATTTCCTTGCAGTGGCTTGAATACAGGCTCGTGTTTCATCTCACAACATGAAGGGATGTCTGAATCCACTGTAGAGACCTTAGAGAAAGCCTAGGTCCCTGCCTCATTTTGACGGAATGCCTCACATCCCGCTGACACCTCGAGAGGCACGCGGAGTTCATTGCTTCAAAATGTGACGATGCCTGACTCATCTTGAATACTGATAGGAATCCGAAAATCCCTGTGGCTACTGGAAAGGGTCCTTGGGTGCCCTGCCTCACCTCGAGAAGCGTCCCTTTTGCCCTGCCAAGCCTCGAGAGATTCATGAAGTGTCCCTCGTTACTAGACATGAGTCCTGACGTCACTGAAGAAACTCGTGTTTTGAAGGGCCATCCCCGCCGTAAGTCGAGAGCATACCCCAGGTCCCCGCCGCAACTCGAGAAAAACCATGAGACTTCCCCCTAGAGGCGAGATGAGGCCCCATTCCCCTGCAGTGCATGCAGAGCTATTCCGTGATCCCATTCAAACAAGTCAGGAGCTTCGACTTGCTTAATGGATCTCGAGACAGTCCGCAAGAACACTGTCACCAGTCTAAACGGACCCTGAGGTCACCCCAGCAACGCAAAGCAGCTCCATGTGCCCCAAATCAACTCGAGATGAGGCCCGATTCCCCTGCATTGACTCCAGAGCCATTCCCCGTTCCCCATTCAACATGATCGGTGGCTCGACTTCCTTCAGGAAACTCCAGAGAAGCCCCGAGAACACTGTCCCAAGTCTAGAGGAACACCAACTTCAGCACAGCAACTCGATGAATGCTCCATGTAAACCAAAACGTCTCGAGATGAGAGCTGATTCCCAGGCTTAGGCTCAAGACGTATGCCAACTTTCCAGAAGCACCTCAGGAGGAGGCTTCTCTCAGCAATAGGTATGTGGGAGGGACCCCGAGTTTGCTGCCTCAAGGGGAATATACAGCGAGAAGCCCTGACTTGAAAGGAGGCCGGATTTCCTTGCAGTGGCTTGAATACAGGCTCGTGTTTCACCTCACAACATGAAGGGATGTCTGAATCCCTGTGGAGACCTTAGAGAAAGCCCTAGGACCCTGCCTCATTTTCACGGAATGCCTCACATCACGTTGACACCTCGAGAGGCACGCAGAGTTCATTGCTTCAAAAGGTGACGATGCCTGACTCCTCTTGAATACTGATAGGAATCCCAAAATCCCTGTGGCTACTGGAAAGGGTCCTTGATGAACTGGCTCACCTCGAGAAGCTTCCCTTTTGCCCTGCCAAGCCTCGAAGAGATTCCTGAGGTGTCCCTCGTTACTAGACAGGAGTCCTGACGTCACTGAAGAACCTCGTGTTTGAAGGGCCATACCCGCGGTAAGTCGAGAACATACCCCAGGTCCCTGCCGCAACTCGAGAAAAACCATGAGACTTCTCCCTAGAGCGAGATGAGGCCCCATTCCCCTGCAGTGCATGCAGAGCTATTCCGTGATCCCATTCAAACAAGTCAGGACCTTCGACTTGCTTAATGGATCTCGAGACAGTCCCCAAGAACACTGTCACCAGTCTAGATGGACCCTGAGGTCACCCCAGCAACGCAAAGCAGCTCCATGTGGCCCAAATCAACTCGAGATGAGGCCCGATTCCCCTGCCTTGACTCCACAGCCATTCCCCGTTTCCCATTCAACACGACCGGTGGCTTGACTTCCTTCAGGCAACTACAGAGATGCCCCGAGAACAGTGTCCCAAGTCTAGAGGACCACCAACTTCAGCACAGCAACTCGAGGAATGCTCCGTGTACCCCAAATCGTCTCGAGATGAGAGCTGATTCCCTGGCTTAGGCTCAAGACGTATGCCAACTTTCCAGAAGCACCTCAGGAGGATTATTCTCTCAGCAAAACATATGTGGGAGGGACCCCGAGTGTGCTGCCTCAAGGGGAATATACAGCGAGAAGCCCTAACTTGAAAGGAGGCCGGATTTCCTTGCAGTGGCTTGAATACAGGCTCGTCTTTCATCTCACAACATGAAGGGATGTCTGAATCCCCTGTGGAGACCTTAGAGAAAGCCCTAGGTCCCTGCCTCATTTTGACGGAATGCCTCACATCCCTCTGCCACCTCGAGAGGCACGCGGAGTTCATTGCTTCAAAAGGTGACGATGCCTGACTCCTCTTGAATCCTCATAGGAATCCCAAAATCCCTGTGGCTACTGGAAAGGGTCCTTGGGTGCCCTGCCTCACCTCGAGAAGCGTCCCTTTTGCCCTGCCAAGCCTCGAAGAGATTCCTGAGGTGTCCCTCGTTCCTAGACAGGATTCCTGACGTCACTGAAGAAACTCGTGTTTTGAAGGGCCATCCCCGCCGTAAGTCAAGAACATACCCCAGGTCCCCGCCGCAACTCGAGAAAACCCATGAGACTTCCCCATAGAGGCGAGATGAGGCCCCATTCCACTGCAGTGCATGCAGAGCTATTCCGTGATCCCATTCAAACAAGTCAGGAGCTTCGACTTGCTTAATGGATCTCGAGACAGTCCCCAAGAACACTGTCACCAGTCTACACGGAACCTGAGGTCACACTAGCAACGCAAAGCAGCTCCATGTGGCCCAAATCAACTCGAGATGAGGCCCAAATCTCCTGCCTTGACTCCACAGCCATTCCCCGTTCCCCATTCAACACGACCGGTGGCTTGACTTCCTTCAGGCAACTCCAGAGATGCCCCGAGAACAGTGTCCCAAGTCTAGAGGAACACCAACTTCAGCACAGCAACTCGAGGAATGCTCCATGTACCCCAAATCGTCTCGAGATGAGAGCTGATTCCCTGGCTTAGGCTCAAGACGTATGCCAACTTTCCAGAAGCACCTCAGGAGGATTATTCTCTCAGCAAAAGGTATGTGGGAGGGACCACGAGTTTGCTGCCTCAAGGGAAATATACAGCGAGAAGCCCTAACTAGAAAGGAGGCCGGATTTCTTTGCAGTGGCTTGAATACAGGCTCGTCTTTCATCTCACAACATGAAGGGATGTCTGAATCCCCTGTGGAGACCTTAGAGAAAGCCCTAGGTCCCTGCCTCATTTTGACGGAATGCCTCACATCCCGCTGACACCCCGAGAGGCACGCGGAGTTCATTGCTTCAAAAGGTGACGATGCCTGACTCCCCTTGAATACTGATAGGAATCCCAAAATCCCTGTGGCTACTGGAAAGGGTCCTTGGGTGCCCTGCCTCACCTCGAGAAGCGTCCCTTTTGCCCTGCCAAGCCTCGAAGAGATTCCTGAGGTGTCCTTCGTTACTAGACAGGAGTCCTGACGTCACTGAAGAAACTCGTGTTTTGAAGGGCCATCCCCGCCGTAAGTCGAGAACATACCCCAGGTCCCCGCCGCAACTCGAGAAAAACCATGAGACTTCCCCCTAGAGGCGAGATGAGGCCCCATTTCCCTGCAGTGCACGCAGAGCTATTCCATGATCCAATTCAAGCAAGTCAGGAGTTTCGACTTGCTTAATGGATCTCGAGACAGTCCCCAAGAACACTGTCACCAGTCTAGACGGACCCTGATGTCACCCCAGCAATGCAAAGCAGCTCCATGTGCCCGAAATCAACTCGAGATGAAGCCCGATTCCCCTGCATTGACTCCAGAGCCATTCCCCGTTCCCCATTCAACACGACCGGTGGCTCGACTTCCTTCAGGCAACTCCAGAGATGCCCCGAGAACACTGTCCCAAGTCTAGAGGAACACCAACTTCAGCACAGCAACTCGAGCAATGCTGCATGTACCCCAAATCGTCTTGAGATGAGAGCTGATTCCCTGGCTTAGGCTCAAGACGCATGCCAACTTTCCAGAAGCACCACAGGAGGAGGCTTCTCTCAGCAATAGGTATGTGGGAGGGACCCCGAGTTTGCTGCCTCAAGGAGAATATACAGCGAGAAGCCCTAACTTGAAAGGAGGCCGGATTTCCTTGCAGTGGCTTGAATACAGGCTCGTGTTTCATTTCACAACATGAAGGGATGTCTGAATCCCCTGTGGAGACCTTAGAGAAAGCCCTAGGTCCCTGCCTCATTTTGACGGAATGCCTCACATCCCGTTGACACCTCGAGAGGGACGCAGAGTTCATTGCTTCAAAAGGTGACGATGTCTGACTCCTCTTGAATAATGACAGGAATCCCAAAATCCCTGTGGCTACTGGAAAGGGTCCTTGGGTGCCTTGCCTCACGTCGAGAAGCGTCCCTTTTGCCCTGCCAAGCCTCGAAGAGATTCCTGAGGTGTCCCTCGTTACTAGACAGGAGTCCTGACGTCACTGAAGAAACTCGTGTTTTGAAGGGCCATCCCCGCCGTAAGTCGAGAACATACCCCAGGTTCCCGCCACAACTCGAGAAAAACCATGAGACTTCCCCCTAGAGGCGAGATGAGGCCCCATTCCCCTGCAGTGCATGCAGAGCTATTCCATGATCCCATTCAAACAAGTCAGGAGCTTCGACTTGCTTAATGGATCTCGAGACAGTCCCCAAGAACACTGTCACCAGTCTAGACGGACCCTGAGGTCACCCCAGCAACGCAAAGCAGCTCCATGTGCCCCAAATCAACTCGAGATGACGCCCGATTCCCCTGCATTGACTCCAGAGCCATTCCCCGTTTCCCATTCAACACGACCGGTGGCTCGACTTCCTTCAGGCAACTCCAGAGTTGCCCCGAGAACACTGTCCCAGGTCTAGAGGAACACCAACTTCAGCACAGCAACTCGAGGAATGCTCTGTGTACCCCAAATCGTCTCGAGATGAGAGCTGATTCCCTGGCTTAGGCTCAAGACGTATGCCAACTTTCCAGAAGCACCTCAGGAGGAGGCTTCTCTCAGCAATAGGTATGTGGGAGGGACCCCGAGTTTGCTGCCTCAAGGGGAATATACAGCGAGAAGCCCTAACTTGAAAGGAGGCCGGATTTCCTTGCAGTGGCTTGGATACAGGCTCGTCTTTCATCTCACAACATATAGGGATGTCTGAATCCCCTGTGGAGACCTTAGAGAAAGCCCTAGATCCCTGCCTCATTTTGACGGAATGCCTCACATCCCGCTGATACCTCGAGAGGCACGCGGAGTTCATTGCTTCAAAACGTGACGATGCCTGACTCCTCTTGAATACTGATAGGAATCCCAAAATCCCTGTGGCTACTGGAAAGGGTCCTTGGGTGCCCTGCCTCACCTCGAGAAGCGTCCCTTTGGCCCTGCCAAGCCTCGAAGAGATTCCTGAGGTGTCCCTCGTTACTAGACAGGAGTCCTGACCTCACTGAAGAAACTCGTGTTTTGAAGGGCCATCCCCGCCGTAAGTCGAGAACATACCCCAGGTCCCCGCCGCAACTCGAGAAAAACCATGAGACTTCCCCCTAGAGGCGAGATGAGGCCTCATTCCCCTGCATTGACTCCAGATCCATTCTCCGTTCCCCATTCAACACGACCGGTGGCTCGACTTCCTTCAGGCAACTCCAGAGATGCCCCGAGAACACTGTCCCAAGTCTAGAGGAACACCAACTTCAGCACAGCAACTCGATGAATGCTCCGTGTACCCCAAAACGTCTCGAGATGAGAGCTGATTCCCTGGCTTAGGCTCAAGACGTATGCCAACTTTCCAGAAGCACCTCAGGAGGAGGCTTCTCTCAGCATTAGGTATGTGGGAGGGACCCCGAGTATGCTGCCTCAAGGGGAATATACAGCGAGAAGCCCTAACTTGAAAGGAGGCCGGATTTCCTTGCAGTGGCTTGGATACAGGCTCGTGTTTCATCTCACAACATGAAGGGATGTCTGAATCCCCAGTGGAGACCTTAGAGAAAGACCTAGGTCCCTGCCTCATTTTGACGGAATGCCTCACATCCCGCTGACACCTCGAGAGGCACGCGGAGTTCATTGCTTCAAAAGGTGACTATGCCTGACTCCTCTTGAATACTGATAGGAATCCCAAAATCCCTGTGGCTACTGGAAAGGGTCCTTGGGTGCCTTGCCTCACCTCGAGAAGCGTCCCTTTTGCCCTGCCAAGCCTCGAAGAGATTCCTGAGGTGTCCCTCGTTACTAGACAGGAGTCCTGACGTCACTGAAGAAACTCGTGTTTTGAAGGGCCATGCCCGCCGTAAGTCGAGAACATACCCCAGGTCCCTGCCGCAACTCGAGAAAAACCATGAGACTTTTCCCTAGAGGCGAGATGAGTCCCCATTCCCCTGCAGTGCATGCAGAGCTATTCCGTGATCCCATTCAAACAAGTCAGGAGCTTCGACTTGCTTAATGGATCTCGAGACAGTCCGCAAGAACACTGTCATCAGTCTAGACGGACCCTGAGGTCACCCCAGCAACGCAAAGCAGCTCCATGTGCCTCAAATCAACTCGAGATGAGGCCCGATTCCCCTGCATTGACTCCAGAGCCATTCCCCGTTCCCCATTCAACACGATCGGTGGCTCGACTTCCTTCAGGAAACTCCAGAGAAGCCCCGAGAACACTGTCCCAAGTCTAGAGGAACACCAACTTCAGCACAGCAACTCGAGGAATGCTCCGTGTACCCCAAATCGTCTCGAGATGAGAGCTGATTCCCTGGCTTAGGCTCAAGACGTATGCCTACTTTCCAGAAGCACCTCAGGAGGAGACTTCTCTCAGCAATAGGTATGTGGGAGGGACCCCGAGTTTGCTGCCTCAAGGGGAATATACAACGAGAAGCCCTAACTTGAAAGGAGGCCGGATTTCCTTGCAGTGACTTGAATACAGGCTCGTGTTTCATCTCACAACATGAAGAGATGTCTGAATCCCCTGTGGAGACCTTAGAGAAAGCCCTAGGTCCCTGCCTCATTTTGACGGAATGCCTCACATCCCGCTGACACCTCGAGAGGCAGGCGGAGTTCATTGCTTCAAAAGGTGACGATGCCTGACTCCTCTTGAAAACTGATAGGATTCCCAAAATCCCTGTGGCTACTGGAAATGGTCCTTGGGTGCCCTGCTTCACTTCGAGAAGCGTCCCTTTTGCCCTGCCAAGCATCGAAGAGATTCCTGAGGTGTCCCTCGTTACTAGACAGGAGTCCTGACGTCACTGAAGAACCTCGTGTTTTGAAGGGCCATCCCCGCCGTAAGTCAAGAACATACCCCAGGTCCCCGCCGCAACTAGAGAAAAACCATGAGACTTCCCCCTAGAGGCGAGATGAGGCCCCATTCCCCTGCAGTGCATGCAGAGCTATTCCGTGATCCCATTCAAGCAAGTCAGGAGCTTCGACTTGCTTAATGGATCTTGAGACAGGCCCAAGAATACTGTCACCAGTCTAGACGGACCCTGAGGTCACCCCAGCAACGCAAAGCAGCTCCATGTGCCCCAAATCAAATCGAGATGAGGCCCGATTCCCCTGCATTGACTCCAGAGCCATTCTCCGTTCCCCATTCAACACGACCGGTGGCTCGACTTCCTTCAGGCAACTCCAGAGATGCCCCGAGAACACTGTCCCAAGTCAAGAGGAACACCAACTTCAGCACAGCAACTCGATGAATGCTCCGTGTACCCCAAATCGTCTCGAGATGAGAGCTGTTTCCCTGGCTTAGGCTCAAGACGTATGCCAACTTTCCAGAAGCACCTCAGGAGGAGGCTTCTCTCAGCAATAGGTATGTGCGAGGGACCCCGAGTATGCTGCCTCAAGGGGAATATACAGAGAGAAGCACTAGCTTGAAAGGAGGCCGGATTTCCTTGCAGTGGCTTGGATACAGGCTCGTGTTTCATCTCACAACATGAAGGGATGTCTGAATCCCCAGTGGAGACCTTAGAGAAAGCCCTAGGTCCCTGCCTCATTTTGACGGAATGCCTCACATCCCGCTGACACCTCGAGAGGCACGCGGAGTTCATTGCTTCAAAAGGTGACGATGCCTGACTCCTCTTGAATACTGATAGGAATCCCAAAATCCCTGTGGCTACTGGAAAGGGTCCTTGGGTGCCTTGCCTCACCTCGAGAAGCGTCCCTTTTGCCCTGCCAAGCCTCGAAGAGATTCCTGAGGTGTCCCTCGTTACTAGACAGGAGTCCTGACGTCACTGAAGAAACTCGTGTTTTGAAGGGCCATGCCCGCCGTAAGTCGAGAACATACCCCAGGTCCCTGCCGCAACTCGAGAAAAACCATGAGACTTCCCATTCGAGGCGAGATGTGGCCCCATTCCCCTGCAGTGCATGCAGAGCTATTCCGTGATCCCATTCAAACAAGTCAGGAGCTTCGACTTGCTTAATGGATCTCGAGACAGTCCGCAAGAACACTGTCATCAGTCTAGACGGACCCTGAGGTCACCCCAGCAACGCAAAGCAGCTCCATGTGCCTCAAATCAACTCGAGATGAGGCCCGATTCCCCTGCATTGACTCCAGAGCCATTCCCCGTTCCCCATTCAACACGATCGGTGGCTCGACTTCCTTCAGGAAACTCCAGAGAAGCCCCGAGAACACTGTCCCAAGTCTAGAGGAACACCAACTTCAGCACAGCAACTCGAGGAATGCTCCGTGTACCCCAAATCGTCTCGAGATGAGAGCTGATTCCCTGGCTTAGGCTCAAGACGTATGCCTACTTTCCAGAAGCACCTCAGGAGGAGACTTCTCTCAGCAATAGGTATGTGGGAGGGACCCCGAGTTTGCTGCCTCAAGGGGAATATACAACGAGAAGCCCTAACTTGAAAGGAGGCCGGATTTCCTTGCAGTGACTTGAATACAGGCTCGTGTTTCATCTCACAACATGAAGCGATGTCTGAATCCCCTGTGGAGACCTTAGAGAAAGCCCTAGGTCCCTGCCTCATTTTGACGGAATGCCTCACATCCCGCTGACACCTCGAGAGGCAGGCGGAGTTCATTGCTTCAAAAGGTGACGATGCCTGACTCCTCTTGAAAACTGATAGGATTCCCAAAATCCCTGTGGCTACTGGAAATGGTCCTTGGGTGCCCTGCTTCACCTCGAGAAGCGTCCCTTTTGCCCTGCCAAGGATCGAAGAGATTCCTGAGGTGTCCCTCGTTACTAGACAGGAGTCCTGACGTCACTGAAGAACCTCGTGTTTTGAAGGGCCATCCCCGCCGTAAGTCAAGAACATACCCCAGGTCCCCGCCGCAACTCGAGAAAAACCATGAGACTTCCCCATAGAGGCGAGATGAGGCCCCATTCTCCTGCAGTGCATGCAGAGCTATTCCGTGATCCCATTCAAGCAAGTCAGGAGCTTCGACTTGCTTAATGGATCTTGAGACAGGCCCAAGAATACTGTCACCAGTCTAGACGGACCCTGAGGTCACCCCAGCAACGCAAAGCAGCTCCATGTGCCCCAAATCAAATCGAGATGAGGCCCGATTCCCCTGCATTGACTCCAGAGCCATTCCCCGTTCCCCATTCAACACGACCGGTGGTTCGACTTCCTTCAGGCAACTCCAGAGATGCCCCGAGAACACTGTCCCAAGTCAAGAGGAACACCAACTTCAGCACAGCAACTCGATGAATGCTCCGTGTACCCCAAATCGTCTCGAGATGAGAGCTGTTTCCCTGGCTTAGGCTCAAGACGTATGCCAACTTTCCAGAAGCACCTCAGGAGGAGGCTTCTCTCAGCAATAGTTATGTGCGAGGGACCCCGAGTATGCTGCCTCAAGGGGAATATACAGAGAGAAGCACTAGCTTGAAAGGAGGCCGGATTTCCTTGCAGTGGCTTGAATACAGGCTCGTGATTCATCTCACAACATGAATGGATGTCTGAATCCACTGTTGAGACCTTAGAGAAAGCCCTAGGTCCCTGCCTCATTTTGACGGAATGCCTCACATCCCGCTGATACCTCGAGAGGCACGCGTAGTACATTGCTTCAAAAGGTGATGATGCCTGACTCATCTTGAATACTGATAGGAATACGAAAATCCCTGTGGCTACTGGAAAGGGTCCTTGGGTGCCCTGACTCACTTCGAGAAGCGTCCCTTTTGCCCTGCCAAGCCTCGAAGAGATTCCTGAGGTGTCCCTCGTTACTAGACAGGAGTCCTGACGTCACTGAAGAAACTCGTGTTTTGAAGGGCCATCCCCGCCGTAAGTCGAGAACATACCCCAGGTCCCCGCCACAACTCGAGAAAAACCATGAGACTTCCCCCTAGAGGCGAGATGAGGCCCCATTCCCCTGCAGTGCATGCAGAGCTATTCCATGATCCCATTCAAACAAGTCAGGAGCTTCGACTTGCTTAATGGATCTCGAGACAGTCCCCAAGAACACTGTCACCAGTCTAGACGGACCCTGAGGTCACCCCAGCAACGCAAAGCAGCTCCATGTGCCTCAAATCAACTCGAGATGAGGCCCGATTCCCCTGCATTGACTCCAGAGCCATTCCCCGTTCCCCATTCAACACGATCGGTGGCTCGACTTCCTTCAGGAAACTCCAGAGAAGCCCCGAGAACACTGTCCCAAGTCTAGAGGAACACCAACTTCAGCACAGCAACTCGAGGAATGCTCCGTGTACCCCAAATCGTCTCGAGATGAGAGCTGATTCCCTGGCTTAGGCTCAAGACGTATGCCTACTTTCCAGAAGCACCTCAGGAGGAGACTTCTCTCAGCAATAGGTATGTGGGAGGGACCCCGAGTTTGCTGCCTCAAGGGGAATATACAACGAGAAGCCCTAACTTGAAAGGAGGCCGGATTTCCTTGCAGTGACTTGAATACAGGCTCGTGTTTCATCTCACAACATGAAGGGCTGTCTGAATCCCCTGTGGAGACCTTAGAGAAAGCCCTAGGTCCCTGCCTCATTTTGACGGAATGCCTCACATCCCGCTGACACCTCGAGAGGCAGGCGGAGTTCATTGCTTCAAAAGGTGACGATTCCTGACTCCTCTTGAAAACTGATAGGATTCCCAAAATCCCTGTGGCTACTGGAAATGGTCCTTGGGTGCCCTGCTTCACTTCGAGAAGCGTCCCTTTGGCCCTGCCAAGCCTCGAAGAGATTCCTGAGGTGTCCCTCGTTACTAGACAGGAGTCCTGACGTCACTGAAGAACCTCGTGTTTTGAAGGGCCATCCCCGCCGTAAGTCGAGAACATACCCCAGGTCCCCGCCGCAACTAGAGAAAAACCATGAGACTTCCCCCTAGAGGCGAGATGAGGCCCCATTCCCCTGCAGTGCATGCAGAGCTATTCCGTGATCCCATTCAAGCAAGTCAGGAGCTTCGACTTGCTTAATGGATCTTGAGACAGGCCCAAGAATACTGTCACCAGTCTAGACGGACCCTGAGGTCACCCCAGCAACGCAAAGCAGCTCCATGTGCCCCAAATCAAATCGAGATGAGTCCCGATTCCCCTGCATTGACTCCAGAGCCATTCTCCGTTCCCCATTCAACACGACCGGTGGCTCGACTTCCTTCAGGCAACTCCAGAGATGCCCCGAGAACACTGTCCCAAGTCAAGAGGAACACCAACTTCAGCACAGCAACTCGATGAATGCTCCGTGTACCCCAAATCGTCTCGAGATGAGAGCTGTTTCCCTGGCTTAGGCTCAAGACGTATGCCAACTTTCCAGAAGCACCTCAGGAGGAGGCTTCTCTCAGCAATAGGTATGTGCGAGGGACCCCGAGTATGCTGCCTCAAGGGGAATATACAGAGAGAAGCACTAGCTTGAAAGGAGGCCGGATTTCCTTGCAGTGGCTTGGATACAGGCTCGTGTTTCATCTCACAACATGAAGGGATGTCTGAATCCCCAGTGGAGACCTTAGAGAAAGCCCTAGGTCCCTGCCTCATTTTGACGGAATGCCTCACATCCCGCTGACACCTCGAGAGGCACGCGGAGTTCATTGCTTCAAAAGGTGACGATGCCTGACTCCTCTTGAATACTGATAGGAATCCCAAAATCCCTGTGGCTACTGGAAAGGGTCCTTGGGTGCCTTGCCTCACCTCGAGAAGCGTCCCTTTTGCCCTGCCAAGCCTCGAAGAGATTCCTGAGGTGTCCCTCGTTACTAGACAGGAGTCCTGACGTCACTGAAGAAACTCGTGTTTTGAAGGGCCATGCCCGCCGTAAGTCGAGAACATACCCCAGGTCCCTGCCGCAACTCGAGAAAAACCATGAGACTTCCCATTCGAGGCGAGATGTGGCCCCATTCCCCTGCAGTGCATGCAGAGCTATTCCGTGATCCCATTCAAACAAGTCAGGAGCTTCGACTTGCTTAATGGATCTCGAGACAGTCCGCAAGAACACTGTCATCAGTCTAGACGGACCCTGAGGTCACCCCAGCAACGCAAAGCAGCTCCATGTGCCTCAAATCAACTCGAGATGAGGCCCGATTCCCCTGCATTGACTCCAGAGCCATTCCCCGTTCCCCATTCAACACGATCGGTGGCTCGACTTCCTTCAGGAAACTCCAGAGAAGCCCCGAGAACACTGTCCCAAGTCTAGAGGAACACCAACTTCAGCACAGCAACTCGAGGAATGCTCCGTGTACCCCAAATCGTCTCGAGATGAGAGCTGATTCCCTGGCTTAGGCTCAAGACGTATGCCTACTTTCCAGAAGCACCTCAGGAGGAGACTTCTCTCAGCAATAGGTATGTGGGAGGGACCCCGAGTTTGCTGCCTCAAGGGGAATATACAACGAGAAGCCCTAACTTGAAAGGAGGCCGGATTTCCTTGCAGTGACTTGAATACAGGCTCGTGTTTCATCTCACAACATGAAGCGATGTCTGAATCCCCTGTGGAGACCTTAGAGAAAGCCCTAGGTCCCTGCCTCATTTTGACGGAATGCCTCACATCCCGCTGACACCTCGAGAGGCAGGCGGAGTTCATTGCTTCAAAAGGTGACGATGCCTGACTCCTCTTGAAAACTGATAGGATTCCCAAAATCCCTGTGGCTACTGGAAATGGTCCTTGGGTGCCCTGCTTCACCTCGAGAAGCGTCCCTTTTGCCCTGCCAAGGATCGAAGAGATTCCTGAGGTGTCCCTCGTTACTAGACAGGAGTCCTGACGTCACTGAAGAACCTCGTGTTTTGAAGGGCCATCCCCGCCGTAAGTCAAGAACATACCCCAGGTCCCCGCCGCAACTCGAGAAAAACCATGAGACTTCCCCATAGAGGCGAGATGAGGCCCCATTCTCCTGCAGTGCATGCAGAGCTATTCCGTGATCCCATTCAAGCAAGTCAGGAGCTTAGACTTGCTTAATGGATCTTGAGACAGGCCCAAGAATACTGTCACCAGTCTAGACGGACCCTGAGGTCACCCCAGCAACGCAAAGCAGCTCCATGTGCCCCAAATCAAATCGAGATGAGGCCCGATTCCCCTGCATTGACTCCAGAGCCATTCCCCGTTCCCCATTCAACACGACCGGTGGTTCGACTTCCTTCAGGCAACTCCAGAGATGCCCCGAGAACACTGTCCCAAGTCAAGAGGAACACCAACTTCAGCACAGCAACTCGATGAATGCTCCGTGTACCCCAAATCGTCTCGAGATGAGAGATGTTTCCCTGGCTTAGGCTCAAGACGTATGCCAACTTTCCAGAAGCACCTCAGGAGGAGGCTTCTCTCAGCAATAGGTATGTGCGAGGGACCCCGAGTATGCTGCCTCAAGGGGAATATACAGAGAGAAGCACTAGCTTGAAAGGAGGCCGGATTTCCTTGCAGTGGCTTGAATACAGGCTCGTGATTCATCTCACAACATGAATGGATGTCTGAATCCACTGTGGAGACCTTAGAGAAAGCCCTAGGTCCCTGCCTCATTTTGACGGAATGCCTCACATCCCGCTGATACCTCGAGAGGCACGCGTAGTACATTGCTTCAAAAGGTGATGATGCCTGACTCATCTTGAATACTGATAGGAATACGAAAATCCCTGTGGCTACTGGAAAGGGTCCTTGGGTGCCCTGACTCACTTCGAGAAGCGTCCCTTTTGCCCTGCCAAGCCTCGAAGAGATTCCTTAAGTGTCCCTCGTTACTAGACAGGAGTCCTGACGTCACTGAAGAAACTCGTGTTTTGAAGGGCCATCCCCGCCGTAAGTCAAGAACATACCCCAGGTCCCGGCCGCAACTCGAGAAAAACCATGAGACTTCCCCATAGAGGCGAGATGAGGCCCCATTCCCCTGCAGTGCATGCAGAGCTATTCCGTGATCCCATTCAAACAAGTCAGGAGCGTCGACTTGCTTAATGGATCTCGAGACAGTCCCAAGAATACTGTCAATAGTCTAGACGGACCCTGAGGTCACCCCAGCAACGCAAAGCAGCTCCATGTTCCCCAAATCAAATCGAGATGAGGCCCGATTCCCCTGCATTGACCCCAGAGCCATTCCCCGTTCCCCATTCAACACGACCGGTGGCTCGACTTCCTTCAGGCACCTCCAGAGATGCCCCGAGAACACTGTCCCAAGTCTAGAGGAACACCAACTTCAGCACAGAAACTCGAGGAATGCTCCGTGTACCCCAAATCATCTCGAGATGCGAGCTGATTCCCTGGCTTAGGCTCAAGACGTATGCCAACTTTCCAGAAGCACCTCAGGAGGAGGCTTCTCTCAGCAATAGGTATGTGAGAGGGACCCCGAGTATGCTGCCTCAAGGGGAATATACAGAGAGAAGCACTAGCTTGAAAGGAGGCTGGATTTCCTTGCAGTGGCTTGAATACAGGCTCGTGTTTCATTTCACAACATGAAGGGATGTCTGAATCCACTGTGGAGACCTTAGAGAAAGCCCTAGGTCCCTGCCTCATTTTGACGGAATGCCTCACATCCCGCTGATACCTCGAGAGGCACGCGTAGTACATTGCTTCAAAAGGTGATGATGCCTGACTCATCTTGAATACTGATAGGAATACGAAAATCCCTGTGGCTACTGGAAAGGGTCCTTGGGTGCCCTGCCTCACTTCGAGAAGCGTCCCTTTTGCCCTGCCAAGCCTCGAAGAGATTCCTTAAGTGTCCCTCGTTACTAGACAGGAGTCCTGACGTCACTGAAGAAACTCGTGTTTTGAAGGGCCATCCCCGCCGTAAGTCAAGAACATACCCCAGGTCCCGTCCGCAACTCGAGAAAAACCACGAGACTTCCCCATAGAGGCGAGATGAGGCCCCATTCCCCTGCAGTGCATGCAGAGCTATTCCGTGATCCCATTCAAACAAGTCAGGAGCGTCGACTTGCTTAATGGATCTCGAGACAGTCCCAAGAATACTGTCAATAGTCTAGACGGACCCTGAGGTCACCCCAGCAACGCAAAGCAGCTCCATGTGCCCCAAATCAAATCGAGATGAGGCCCGATTCCCCTGCATTGACTCCAGAGCCATTCCCCGTTCCCCATTCAACACGACCGATGGCTCGACTTCCTTCAGGCAACTCCAGAGATGCCCCGAGAACACTCTCCCAAGTCTAGAGGAACACTAACTTCAGCACAGCAACTCGATGAATGCTCCGTGTACCCCAAAACGTCTCGAGATGAGAGCTGATTCCCTGGCTTAGGCTCAAGACGTATGCCAACTTTCCAGAAGCACCTCAGGAGGAGGCTTCTCTCAGCAATAGGTATGTGGGAGGGACCCCGAGTATGCTGCCTCAAGGGGAATATACAGCGAGAAGCCATAGCTTGAAAGGAGGCCGGATTTCCTTGCAGTGGCTTGAATACAGGCTCGTGTTTCATCTCACAACATGAAGGGATGTCTGAATCCACTGTGGAGACCTTAGAGAAAGCTCTAGGTCCCTGCCTCATTTTGACGGAATGCCTCACATCCCGCTGACACCTCGAGAGGCACGCGTAGTTCATTGCTTCAAAAGGTGACGATGCCTGACTCCTCTTGAATACTGATAGGAATCCGAAAATCACTGTGGCTACTGGAAAGGGTCCTTGGGTGCCCTGCCTCACCTCGAGAAGCGTCCCTTTTGCCCTGCCAAGCCTCAAAGTGATTCCTGAAGTGTCCCTTGTTACTTGACAGGAGTCCTGATGTCACTGAAGAAACTCGTGTTTTGAAGGGCCATCCCCGCCGAAAGTCGAGAACATACACCAGGTCCCCGCCACAACTCGAGAAAAACCATGAGACTTCCCCCTAGAGGCGAGATGAGGCCCCATTCCCCTGCAGTTCATGCAGAGCTATTCCATGATCCAATTCAAGCAAGTCAGGAGCTTCGACTTGCTTAATGGATCTCGAGACAGTCCCCAAGAACACTGTCACCAGTCTAGACGGACCCTGATGTCACCCCAGCAATGCAAAGCAGCTCCATGTTCCCCAAATCAACTCGAGATGAGGCCCGATTCCCCTGCATTGACTCCAGAGCCATTCCCCGTTCCCCATTCAACACGACCGGTGGCTCGACTTCCTTCAGACAACTCCAGAGATGCCCCGAGAACACTGTCCCAAGTCTAGAGGAACACCAACTTCAGCACAGCAACTCGAGGAATGCTCCGTGTACCCCAAATCGTCTCGAGATGAGAGCTGATTGCCTGGCTTAGGCTCAAGACGCATGCCAACTTTCCAGAAGCACCACCGGCGGAGGCTTCTCTCAGCAATAGGTATGTGGGAGGGACCCCGAGTTTGCTGCCTCAAGGGGAATATACAGCGAGAAGCCCTAACTTGAAAGGAGGCCGGATTTCCTTGCAGTGGCTTGAATACAGGCTCGTGTTTCATTTCACAACATGAAGGGATGTCTGAATCCCTGTGGAGACCTTAGAGAAAGCTCTAGGACCCTGCCTCATTTAAACGGTATGCCTCACATCCCGTTGACACCTCGAGAGGCACGCGGAGTTCATTGCTTCAAAAGGTGACGATGCCTGACTCCTCTTGAATACTGATAGGAATCCCAAAATCCCTGTGGCTACTGGAAAGGGTCCTTGGGTGCCCTGGCTCACCTCGAGAAGCTTCCCTTTTGCCCTGCCAAGCCTCGAAGAGATTCCTGATGTGTCCCTCGTTACTAGACAGGAGTCCTGACGTCACTGAAGAACCTCGTGTTTTGAAGGGCCATACCCGCCGTAAGTCGAGAACATACCCCAGGTCCACGCCGCAACTCGAGAAAAACCATGAGACTTCCCCCTAGAGGCGAGATGAGGCCCCATTCCCCTGCAGTGCATGCAGAGCTATTCCGTGATCCCATTCAAACAAGTCAGGAGCTTCGACTTGCTTAATGGATCTCGAGACAGTCCGCAAGAACACTGTCACCAGTCTAGACGGACCCTGATGTCACCCCAGCAACGCAAAGCAGCTCCATGTGCCTCAAATCAACTCAAGATGAGGCCCGATTCCCCTGCATTGACTCCAGAGCCATTCCCCGTTCCCCATTCAACACGATCGGTGGCTCGACTTCCTTCAGGAAACTCCAGAGAAGCCCCTAGAACACTGTCCCAAGTCTAGAGGAACACCAACTTCAGCACAGCAACACGAGGAATGCTCCGTGTATCCCAAATCGTCTCGAGATGAGAGCTGATTCCCTGGCTTAGGCTCAAGACGTATGCCTACTTTCCAGAAGCACCTCAGGAGGACGCTTCTCTCAGCAATAGGTATGTGGGAGGGACCCCGATTTTGTTGCCTCAAGGGGAATATACAGCGAGAAGCCCTAACTTGAAAGGAGGCCGGATTTCCTTGCAGTGGCTTGAATACAGGCTCGTGTTTCATCTCACAACATGAAGGGATGTCTGAATCCCCTGTGGAGACCTTAGAGAAAGCCCTAGGTCACTGCCTCATTTTGACGGAATGCCTCACATCCCGCTGACACCTCGAGAGGCAGGCGGAGTTCATTGCTTCAAAAGGTGACGATGCCTGACTCCTCTTGAAAACTGATAGGATTCGCAAAATCCCTGTGGCTACTGGAAATGGTCCTTGGGTGCCCTGCTTCACCTCGAGAAGCGTCCCTTTTGCCCTGCCAAGCATCGAAGAGATTCCTGAGGTGTCCCTCGTTACTAGACAGGAGTCCTGACGTCACTGAAGAACCTCGTGTTTGAAGGGCCATACCCGCGGTAAGTCGAGAACATACCCCAGGTCCCTGCCGCAACTCGAGAAAAACCATGAGACTTCTCCCTAGAGGCGAGATGAGGCCCCATTCCCCTGCAGTGCATGCAGAGCTATTCCGTGATCCCATTCAAACAAGTCAGGAGCTTCGACTTGCTTAATGGATCTCGAGACAGTCCCCAAGAACACTGTCACCAGTCTAGATGGACCCTGAGGTCACCCCAGCAACGCAAAGCAGCTCCATGTGGCCCAAATCAACTCGAGATGAGGCCCGATTCCCCTGCCTTGACTCCACAGCCATTCCCCGTTTCCCATTCAACACGACCGGTGGCTTGACTTCCTTCAGGCAACTACAGAGATGCCCCGAGAACAGTGTCCCAAGTCTAGAGGACCACCAACTTCAGCACAGCAACTCGAGGAATGCTCCGTGTACCCCAAATCGTCTCGAGATGAGAGCTGATTCCCTGGCTTAGGCTCAAGACGTATGCCAACTTTCCAGAAGCACCTCAGGAGGATTATTCTCTCAGCAAAACATATGTGGGAGGGACCCCGAGTGTGCTGCCTCAAGGGGAATATACAGCGAGAAGCCCTAACTTGAAAGGAGGCCGGATTTCCTTGCAGTGGCTTGAATACAGGCTCGTCTTTCATCTCACAACATGAAGGGATGTCTGAATCCCCTGTGGAGACCTTAGAGAAAGCCCTAGGTCCCTGCCTCATTTTGACGGAATGCCTCACATCCCTCTGCCACCTCGAGAGGCACGCGGAGTTCATTGCTTCAAAAGGTGACGATGCCTGACTCCTCTTGAATACTGATAGGAATCCCAAAATCCCTGTGGCTACTGGAAAGGGTCCTTGGGTGCCCTGCCTCACCTCGAGAAGCGTCCCTTTTGCCCTGCCAAGCCTCGAAGAGATTCCTGAGGTGTCCCTCGTTCCTAGACAGGATTCCTGACGTCACTGAAGAAACTCGTGTTTTGAAGGGCCATCCCCGCCGTAAGTCAAGAACATACCCCAGGTCCCCGCCGCAACTCGAGAAAACCCATGAGACTTCCCCATAGAGGCGAGATGAGGCCCCATTCCACTGCAGTGCATGCAGAGCTATTCCGTGATCCCATTCAAACAAGTCAGGAGCTTCGACTTGCTTAATGGATCTCGAGACAGTCCCCAAGAACACTGTCACCAGTCTACACGGAACCTGAGGTCACACTAGCAACGCAAAGCAGCTCCATGTGGCCCAAATCAACTCGAGATGAGGCCCAAATCTCCTGCCTTGACTCCACAGCCATTCCCCGTTCCCCATTCAACACGACCGGTGGCTTGACTTCCTTCAGGCAACTCCAGAGATGCCCCGAGAACAGTGTCCCAAGTCTAGAGGAACACCAACTTCAGCACAGCAACTCGAGGAATGCTCCATGTACCCCAAATCGTCTCGAGATGAGAGCTAATTCCCTGGCTTAGGCTCAAGACGTATGCCAACTTTCCAGAAGCACCTCAGGAGGATTATTCTCTCAGCAAAAGGTATGTGGGAGGGACCACGAGTTTGCTGCCTCAAGGGGAATATACAGCGAGAAGCCCTAACTTGAAAGGAGGCCGGATTTCTTTGCAGTGGCTTGAGTACAGGCTCGTCTTTCATCTCACAACATGAAGGGATGTCTGAATCCCCTGTGGAGACCTTAGAGAAAGCCCTAGGTCCCTGCCTCATTTTGACGGAATGCCTCACATCCCGCTGACACCCCGAGAGGCACGCGGAGTTCATTGCTTCAAAAGGTGACGATGCCTGACTCCTCTTGAATACTGATAAGAATCCCAAAATCCCTGTGGCTACTGGAAAGGGTCCTTGGGTGCCCTGCCTCACCTCGAGAAGCGTCCCTTTTGCCCTGCCAAGCCTCGAAGAGATTCCTGAGGTGTCCCTCGTTACTAGACAGGAGTCCTGACGTCACTGAAGAAACTCGTGTTTTGAAGGGCCATCCCCGCCGTAAGTCAAGAACATACCCCAGGTCCCCGCCGCAACTCGAGAAAAAAAATGAGACTTCCCCATAGAGGCGAGATGAGGCCCCATTCCCCTGCAGTGCATGCAGAGCTATTCCGTGATCCCATTCAAACAAGTCAGGAGCTTCGACTTGTTAATGGATCTCGAGACAGTCCCCAAGAACACTGTCACCAGTCTAGACGGACCCTGAGGTCACCCCAGCAACGCAAAGCAGCTCCATGTGCCCCAAATCAACTCGAGATGAGGCCCGATTCCCTTGCATTGACTCCAGAGCCATTCCCCGTTCCCCATTCAACACGACCGGTGGCTCGACTTCCTTCAGGCAACTCCAGAGATGCCCCGAGAACACTGTCCCAAGTCTAGAGGAACACCAACTTCAGCACAGCAACTCGAGGAATACTCCGTGTACCCCAAATCATCTCGAGATGGGAGCTGATTCCCTGGCTTAGGCTCAAGACGTATGCCAACTTTCCTGAAGCCCCTGAGGAGGAGGATTCTCTCAGAAATAGGTATGTGGGTGGGACCCCGAGTTTGTTGCCTCAATGGGAATATAGAGCGAGAAGCCCTAACTTGAAAGGAGGCCGGATTTCCTTGCAGTGGCTTGAATACAGGCTCGTCTTTCATCTCACAACATGAAGGGATGTCTGAAGCCACTGTGGAGAGCTTAGAGAAAGCCCTAGGTCCCAGCCTCATTTTGACGGAATGCCTCACATCCCGCTGACACCTCGAGATGCACGCGGAGTTCATTGCTTCAAAAGGTGACGATGCCTGACTCCTCTTGAATACTGATAGGAATCCCAAAATCGCTGTGGCTACTGGAAAGGGTCCTTGGGTGCCCTCCCTAACTTCGAGAAGCGTCCCTTTTGCCCTGCCAAGCCTCGAAGAGATTCCTGAGGTGTCCCTCGTTACTAGACAGGAGTCCTGACGTCACTGAAGAAACTCGTGTTTTGAAGGGCCATCCCCGCCGTAAGTCGAGAACATACCCCAGGTCCCCGCCGCAACTCGAGAAAAACCATGAGACTTCCCCCTAGAGGCGAGATGAGGCCCCATTCCCCTGCAGTTCATGCAGAGCTATTCCGTGATCCCATTCAAACAAGTCAGGAGCTTCGACTTGCTTAATGGATCTCGAGACAGTCCCCAAGAACACTGTCACCAGTCTACACAGACCCTGAGGTCACCCCAGCAACGCAAAGCAGCTCCATGTGGCCCAAATCAACTCGAGATGAGGCCCGATTCCTCTGCCTTGACTCCACAGCCATTCCCCGTTTCCCATTCAACACGACCGGTGGCTTGACTTCCTTCAGGCAACTACAGAGATGCCCCGAGAACAGTGTCCCAAGTCTAGAGGAACACCAACTTCAGCACAGCAACTCGAGGAATGCTCCGTGTACCCCAAATCGTCTCGAGATGAGAGCTGATTCCCTGGCTTAGGCTCAAGACGTATGCCAACTTTCCAGAAGCACCTCAGGAGGATTATTCTCTCAGCAAAACATATGTGGGAGGGACCCCGAGTGTGCTGCCTCAAGGGGAATATACAGCGAGAAGCCCTAACTTGAAAGGAGGCCGGATTTCCTTGCAGTGGCTTGAATACAGGCTCGTCTTTCATCTCACAACATGAAGGGATGTCTGAATCCCCTGTGGAGACCTTAGAGAAAGCCCTAGGTCCCTGCCTCATTTTGACGGAATGCCTCACATCCCTCTGCCACCTCGAGAGGCACGCGGAGTTCATTGCTTCAAAAGGTGACGATGCCTGACTCCTCTTGAATACTGATAAGAATTCCAAAATCCCTGTGGCTACTGGAAAGGGTCCTTGGGTGCCCTGCCTCACCTCGAGAAGCGTCCCTTTTGCCCTGCCAAGCCTCGAAGAGATTCCTGAGGTGTCCCTCGTTACTAGACAGGAGTCCTGACGTCACTGAAGAAACTCGTGTTTTGAAGGGCCATCCCCGCCGTAAGTCAAGAACATACCCCAGGTCCCCGCCGCAACTCGAGAAAAACCATGAGACTTCCCCATAGAGGCGAGATGAGGCCCCATTCCCCTGCAGTGCATGCAGAGCTCTTCCGTGATCCCATTCAAACAAGTCAGGAGCTTCGACTTGCTTAATGGATCTCGAGACAGTCCCCAAGAACACTGTCACCAGTCTAGACGGACCCTGAGGTCACCCCAGCAACGCAAAGCAGCTCCATGTGCCCCAAATCAACTCGAGATGAGGCCCGATTCCCGTGCATTGACTCCAGAGCCATTCCCCGTTCCCCATTCAACACGACCGGTGGCTCGACTTCCTTCAGGCAACTCCAGAGATGCCCCAAGAACACTGTCCCAAGTCTAGAGGAACACCAACTTCAGCACAGCAACTCGAGGAATACTCCGTGTACCCCAAATCATCTCGAGATGGGAGCTGATTCCCTGGCTTAGGCTCAAGACGTATCCCAACTTTCCTGAAGCCCCTGAGGAGGAGGATTCTCTCAGAAATAGGTATGTGGGAGGGACCCCGAGTTTGCTGCCTCAATGGGAATATAGAGCGAGAAGCCCTAACTTGAAAGGAGGCCGGATTTCCTTGCAGTGGCTTGAATACAGGCTCGTCTTTCATCTCACAACATGAAGGGATGTCGAAATCCCCTTTGGAGACCTTAGAGAAAGCCCTAGGTCCCTGCGTCATTTTGACGGAAGTCCTCACATCCCGCTGACAACTCGAGAGGCACGCGTAGTTCATTTCTTCAAAAGGTGACGATGCCTGACTCCTCTTGAATACTGATAGGAATCCCAAAATCCCTGTGGCTACTGGAAAGGGTCCTTGGGTGCCCTGCCTCACCTCGAGAAGCGTCCCTTTTGCCCTGCCAAGCCTCGAAGAGATTCCTGAGGTGTCCCTCGTTACTAGACAGGAGTTCAGACGTCACTGAAGAAACTCGTGTTTTGAAGGGCCATCCCCGCCGTAAGTCGAGAACATACCCCAGGTCCCTGAAGCAACTCGAGAAAAACCATGAGACTTCCCCCTAGAGGCAAGATGAGGCCCCATTCCCCTGCAGTGCATGCAGAGCTATTCCGTGATCCCATTCAAACAAGTCAGGAGCTTCGACTTGCTTAATGGATCTCGAGACAGTCCGCAAGAACACTGTCACCAGTCTAGACGGACCCTGAGGTCACCCCAGCAACGCAAAGCAGCTCCATGTGCCTCAAATCAACTCAAGATGAGGCCCGATTCCCCTGCATTGACTCCAGAGCCATTCCCCGTTCCCCATTCAACACGACCGGTGGCTCGACTTCCTTCAGGAAACTCCAGAGAAGCCCCGAGAACACTGTCCCAAGTCTAGAGGAACACCAACTTCAGCACCGCAACTCGGGGAATGCTCAGTGTACCCCAAATCGTCTCGAGATGAGAGCTGATTCCCTGGCTTAGGCTCAAGACGCATGCCAACTTTCCAGAAGCACCACAGGAGTAGGCTTCTCTCAGCAATAGGTATGTGGGAGGGACCCCGAGTTTGCTGCCTCAAGGGGAATATACAGCGAGAAGACCTAACTTGAAAGGAGGCCGGATTTCCATGCAGTGGCTTGAATACAGGCTCGTGTTTCATTTCACAACATGAAGGGATGTCTGAATCCCCTGTGGAGACCTTAGAGAAAGCCCTAGGTCCCTGCCTCATTTTGACGGAATGCCTCACATCCCGCTGACACCTCGAGAGGCACGCGGAGTTCATTGCTTCAAAAGGTGACGATGCCTGACTCCTCTTGAATACTGATAGGAATCCCAAAATCGCTGTGGCTACTGGAAAGGGTCCTTGGGTGCCCTGCCTCACCTCGAGAAGCGTCCCTTTTGCCCTGCCAAGCCTCGAAGAGATTCCTGAGGTGTCCCTCGTTACTAGACAGGAGTCCTGACGTCACTGAAGAAACTCGTGTTTTGAAGGGCCATCCCCGCCGTAAGTCGAGAACATACCCCATGTCCCCGCCGCAACTCGAGAAAAACCATGAGACTTCCCCCTAGAGGCGAGATGAGGCCCCATTCCCCTGCAGTTCATGCAGAGCTATTCCGTGATCCCATTCAAACAAGTCAGGAGCTTCGACTTGCTTAATGGATCTCGAGACAGTCCCCAAGAACACTGTCACCAGTCTACACCGACCTTGAGGTCACCCCAGCAACGCAAAGCAGCTCCATGTGGCCCAAATCAACTCGAGATGAGGCCCGATTCCCCTGCCTTGACTCCACAGCCATTCCCCGTTTCCCATTCAACACGACCGGTGGCTTGACTTCCTTCAGGCAACTACAGAGATGCCCCGAGAACAGTGTCCCAAGTCTAGAGGAACACCAACTTCAGCACAGCAACTCGAGATATGCTCCGTGTACCCCAAATCGTCTCGAGATGAGAGCTGATTCCCTGGCTTAGGCTCAAGACGTATGCCAACTTTCCAGAAGCACCTCAGGAGGATTATTCTCTCAGCAAAACATATGTGGGAGGGACCCCGAGTGTGCTGCCTCAAGGGGAATATACAGCGAGAAGCCCTAACGTGAAAGGAGGCCGGATTTCCTTGCAGTGGCTTGAATACAGGCTCGTCTTTCATCTCACAACATGAAGGGATGTCTGAATCCCCTGTGGAGACCTTAGAGAAAGCCCTAGGTCCCTGCCTCATTTTGACGGAATGCCTCACATCCCTCTGCCACCTCGAGAGGCACGCGGAGTTCATTGCTTCAAAAGGTGACGATGCCTGACTCCTCTTGAATACTGATAGGAATCCCAAAATCCCTGTGGCTACTGGAAAGGGTCCTTGGGTGCCCTGCCTCACCTCGAGAAGCGTCCATTTTGCCCTGTCAAGCCTCGAAGAGATTCCTGAGGTGTCCCTCGTTCCTAGACAGGATTCCTGACGTCACTGAAGAAACTCGTGTTTTGAAGGGCCATCCCCGCCGTAAGTCAAGAACATACCCCAGGTCCCCGCCGCAACTCGAGAAAACCCATGAGACTTCCCCATAGAGGCGAGATGAGGCCCCATTCCACTGCAGTGCATGCAGAGCTATTCCGTGATCCGATTCAAACAAGTCAGGAGCTTCGACTTGCTTAATGGATCTCGAGACAGTCCCCAAGAACACTGTCACCAGTCTACACGGAACCTGAGGTCACACTAGCAACGCAAAGCAGCTCCATGTGGCCCAAATCAACTCGAGATGAGGCCCAAATCTCCTGCCTTGACTCCACAGCCATTCCCCGTTCCCCATTCAACACGACCGGTGGCTTGACTTCCTTCAGGCAACTCCAGAGATGCCCCGAGAACAGTGTCCCAAGTCTAGAGGAACACCAACTTCAGCACAGCAACTCGAGGAATGCTCCATGTACCCCAAATCGTCTCGAGATGAGAGCTGATTCCCTGGCTTAGGCTCAAGACGTATGCCAACTTTCCAGAAGCACCTCAGGAGGATTATTCTCTAAGCAAAAGGTATGTGGGAGGGACCACGAGTTTGCTGCCTCAAGGGGAATATACAGCGAGAAGCCCTAACTTGAAAGGAGGCCGGATTTCTTTGCAGTGGCTTGAATACAGGCTCGTCTTTCATCTCACAACATGAAGGGATGTCTGAATCCCCTGTGGAGACCTTACAGAAAGCCCTAGGTCCCTGCCTCATTTTGACGGAATGCCTCACATCCCGCTGACACCCCGAGAGGCACGCGGAGTTCATTGCTTCAAAAGGTGACGATGCCTGACTCCTCTTGAATACTGATAGGAATCCCAAAATCGCTGTGGCTACTGGAAAGGGTCCTTGGGTGCCCTGCCTAACCTCGAGAAGCGTCCCTTTTGCCCTGCCAAGCCTCGAAGAGATTCCTGAGGTGTCCCTCGTTACCAGACAGGAGTCCTGACGTCACTGAAGAAACTCGTGTTTTGAAGGGCCATCCCCGCCGTAAGTCGAGAACATACCCCAGGTCCCCGCCGCAACTCGAGAAAAACCATGAGACTTCCCCCTAGAGGCGAGATGAGGCCCCATTCCCCTGCAGTTCATGCAGAGCTATTCCATGATCCAATTCAAGCAAGTCAGGAGCTTCGACTTGCTTAATGGATCTCGAGACAGTCCCCAAGAACACTGTCACCAGTCTAGACGGACCCTGAGGTCACCCCAGCAATGCAAAGCAGCTCCATGTGCCCCAAATCAACTCGAGATGAGGCCCGATTCCCCTGCATTGACTCCAGAGCCATTCCCCGTTCCCCATTCAACACGACCGGTGGCTCGACTTCCTTCAGGCAACTCCAGAGATGCCCCGAGAACACTGTCCCAAGTCTAGAGGAACACCAACTTCAGCACAGCAACTCGAGGAATGGTCCGTGTACCCCAAATCGTCTCGAGATGAGAGCTGATTGCCTGGCTTAGGCTCAAGACGTATGCCAACTTTCCAGAAGCACCACCGGAGTAGGCTTCTCTCAGCAATAGGTATGTGGGAGGGACCCCGAGTTTGCTGCCTCAAGGGGAATATACAGCGAGAAGCCCTAACTTGAAAGGAGGTCGGATTTCCTTGCAGTGGCTTGAATACAGGCTCGTGTTTCATTTCACAACATGAAGGGATGTCTGAATCCCTGTGGAGACCTTAGAGAAAGCCCTAGGACCCTGCCTCATTTTCACGGAATGCCTCACATCACGTTGACACCTCGAGAGGCACGCGGAGTTCATTGCTTCAAAAGGTGACGATGCCTGACTCCTCTTGAATACTGATAGGAATCCCAAAATCCCTGTGGCTACTGGAAAGGGTCCTTGATGCCCTGGCTCACCTCGAGAAGCTTCCCTTTTGCCCTGCCAAGCCTCGAAGAGATTCCTGAGGTGTCCCTCGTTACTAGACAGGAGTCCTGACGTCACTGAAGAACCTCGTGTTTTGAAGGGCCATACCCGCAGTAAGTCGAGAACATACACCAGGTCCCCGCCACAACTCGAGAAAAACCATGAGACTTCCCCCTAGAGGCGAGATGAGGCCCCATTCCCCTGCAGTGCATGCAGAGCTATTCCGTGATCCCATTCAAACAAGTCAGGAGCTTCGACTTGCTTAATGGATCTCGAGACAGTCCCCAAGAACACTGTCACCAGTCTAGACGGACCCTGAGGTCACCCCAGCAACGCAAAGCAGCTCCATGTGCCCCAAATCAACTCGAGATGAGGCCCGATTCCCCTGCATTGACTCCAGAGCCATTCCCCGTTCCCCATTCAACACGATCGGTGGCTCGACTTCCTTCAGGCAACTCCAGAGATGCCCCGAGAACACTGTCCCAGGTCTAGAGGAACACCAACTTCAGCACAGCAACTCGAGGAATGCTCCGTGTACCCCAAATCGTCTCGAGATGAGAGCTGATTCCCTGGCTTAGGCTCAAGACGTATGCCAACTTTCCAGAAGCACCTCAGGAGGAGGCTTCTCTCAGCAATAGGTATGTGGGAGGGACCCCGAGTTTGCTGCCTCAAGGGGAATATACAGCGAGAAGCCCTAACTTGAAAGGAGGCCGGATTTCCTTGCAGTGGCTTGAATACAGGCTCGTCTTTCATCTCACAACATATAGGGATGTCTGAATCCCCTGTGGAGACCTTAGAGAAAGCCCTAGATCCCTGCCTCATTTTGACGGAATGCCTCACATCCCGCTGATACCTCGAGAGGCACGCGGAGTTCATTGCTTCAAAAGGTGACGATGCCTGACTCCTCTTGAATACTGATAGGAATCCCAAAATCCCTGTGGCTACTGGAAAGGGTCCTTGGGTGCCCTGCCTCACCTCGAGAAGCGTCCCTTTTGCCCTGCCAAGCCTCGAAGAGATTCCTGAGGTGTCCCTCATTACTACACAGGAGTCCTGACGTCACTGAAGAAACTCGTGTTTTGAAGGGCCATCCCCGCCGTAAGTCGAGAACATACCCCAGGTCCCCGCCGCAACTCGAGAAAAACCATGAGACTTCCCCCTAGAGGCGAGATGAGGCCCCATTCCCCTGCAGTTCATGCAGAGCTATTCCATGATCCAATTCAAGCAAGTCAGGAGCTTCGACTTGCTTAATGGATCTCGAGACAGTCCCCAAGAACACTGTCACCAGTCTAGACGGACCCTGATGTCACCCCAGCAATGCAAAGCAGCTCCATGTGCCCCAAATCAACTCGAGATGAGGCCCGATTCCCCTGCATTGACTCCAGAGCCATTCCCCGTTCCCCATTCAACACGACCGGTGGCTCGACTTCCTTCAGGCAACTCCAGAGATGCCCCGAAAACACTGTCCCAAGTCTAGAGGAACACCAACTTCAGCACAGCAACTCGAGGAATGCTCCGTGTACCCCAAATCGTCTCGAGATGAGAGCTGATTGCCTGGCTTAGGCTCAAGACGCATGCCCACTTTCCAGAAGCACCACCGGAGGAGGCTTCTCTCAGCAATAGGTATGTGGGACGGACCCCGAGTTTGCTGCCTCAAGGAGAATATACAGCGAGAAGCCCTAACTTGAAAGGAGGCCGAATTTCCTTGCAGTGGCTTGAATACAGGCTCGTGTTTCATTTCACAACATGAAGGGATGTCTGAATCCCTGTGGAGACCTTAGAGAAAGCCCTAGGACCCTGCCTCATTTTCACGGAATGCCTCACATCACGTTGACACCTCGAGAGGCACGCGGAGTTCATTGCTTCAAAAGGTGACGATGCCTGACTCCTCTTGAATACTGATAGGAATCCCAAAATCCCTGTGGCTACTGGAAAGGGTCCTTGATGCCCTGGCTCACCTCGAGAAGCTTCCCTTTTGCCCTGCCAAGCCTCGAAGAGATTCCTGAGGTGTCCCTCGTTACTAGACAGGAGTCCTGACGTCACTGAAGAACCTCGTGTTTTGAAGGGCCATACCCGCAGTAAGTCGAGAACATACACCAGGTCCCCGCCGCAACTCGAGAAAAACCATGAGACTTCCCCCTAGAGGCGAGATGAGGCCCCATTCCCCTGCAGTGCATGCAGAGCTATTCCGTGATCCCATTCAAACAAGTCAGGAGCTTCGACTTGCTTAATGGATCTCGAGACAGTCCCCAAGAACACTGTCACCAGTCTAGACGGACCCTGAGGTCACCCCAGCAACGCAAAGCAGCTCCATGTGCCCCAAATCAACTCGAGATGCGGCCCGATTTCCCTGCATTGACTCCAGAGCCATTCCCCGTTCCCCATTCAACACGACCGGTGGCTCGACTTCCTTCAGACAACTCCAGAGATGCCCCGAGAACACTGTCCCAGGTCTAGAGGAACACCAACTTCAGCACAGCAACTCGAGGAATGCTCCGTGTACCCCAAATCGTCTCGAGATGAGAGCTGATTCCCTGGCTTAGGCTCAAGACATATGCCAACTTTCCAGAAGCACCTCAGGAGGAGGCTTCTCTCAGCAATAGGTATGTGGGAGGGACCCCGAGTATGCTGCCTCAAGGGAAATATACAGCGAGAAGCCCTAACTAGAAAGGAGGCCGGATTTCCTTGCAGTGGCTTGAATACAGGCTCGTCTTTCATCTCACAACATGAAGGGATGTCTGAAGCCACTGTGGAGACCTTAGAGAAAGCCCTAGGTCCCTGCCTCATTTTGACGGAATGCCTCACATCCCGCTGACACCTCGAGAGGCACGCGGAGTTCATTGCTTCAAAAGGTGACGATGCCTGACTCCTCTTGAATAATGATAGGAATCCCAAAATCGCTGTGGCTACTGGAAAGGGTCCTTGGGTGCCCTGCCTCACTTCGAGAAGCGTCCCTTTTGCCCTGCCAAGCCTCGAAGAGATTCCTGAGGTGTCCTTCGTTACTAGACAGGAGTCCTGACGTCACTGAAGAAACTCGTGTTTTGAAGGGCCATCCCCGCCGTAAATCGTGAACATACCCCAGGTCCCCGCCGCAACTCGAGAAAAACCATGAGACTTCCCCCTAGAGGCGAGATGAGGCCCCATTTCCCTGCAGTGCACGCAGAGCTATTCCATGATCCAATTCAAGCAAGTCAGGAGCTTCGACTTGCTTAATGGATCTCGAGACAGTCCCCAAGAACACTGTCACCAGTCTAGACGGACCCTGATGTCACCCAGGCAATGCAAAGCAGCTCCATGTGCCCGAAATCAACGCGAGATGAGGCCCGATTCCCCTGCATTGACTCCAGAGCCATTCCCCGTTCCCCATTCAACACGACCGGTGGCTCGACTTCCTTCAGGCAACTCCAGAGATGCCCCGAGAACACTGTCCCAAGTCTAGAGGAACACCAACTTCAGCACAGCAACTCGAGCAATGCTCCATGTACCCCAAATCGTCTTGAGATGAGAGCTGATTCCCTGGCTTAGGCTCAAGACGCATGCCAACTTTCCAGAAGCACCACAGGAGGAGGCTTCTCTCAGCAATAGGTATGTGGGAGGGACCCCGAGTTTGCTGCCTCAAGGAGAATATACAGCGAGAAGCCCTAACTTGAAAGGAGGCCGGATTTCCTTGCAGTGGCTTGAATACAGGCTCGTGTTTCATTTCACAACATGAAGGGATGTCTGAATCCACTGTGGAGACCTTAGAGAAAGCCCTAGGTCCCTGCCTCATTTTGACGGAATGCCTCACATCCCGTTGACACCTCGAGAGGCACGCGGAGTTCATTGCTTCAAAAGGTGACGATGTCTGACTCCTCTTGAATAATGATAGGAATCCCAAAATCCCTGTGGCTACTGGAAAGGGTCCTTGGGTGCCCTGGCTCACCTCGAGAAGCTTCCCTTTTCCCTGCCAAGCCTCGAAGAGATTCCTGAGGTGTCCCTCGGTACTAGACAGGAGTCCTGACGTCACTGAAGAACCTCGTGTTTTGAAGGGCCATACCCGCCGTAAGTCGAGAACATACACCAGGTCCCCGCCGCAACTCGAGAAAAACCATGAGACTTCCCCCTAGAGGCGAGATGAGACCCATTCCCCTGCAGTGCATGCAGAGCTATTCCGTGATCCCATTCAAACAAGTCAGGAGCTTCGACTTGCTTAATGGATCTCGAGACACTCCCCAAGAACACTGTCACCAGTCTAGACGGACCCTGAGGTCACCCCAGCAACGCAAAGCAGCTCCATGTGCCCCAAATCAACTCGAGATGAGGCCCGATTCCCCTGCATTGACTCCAGAGCCATTCCCCGTTCCCCATTCAACACGACCGGTGGCTCGACTTCCTTCAGGCAACTCCAGAGATGCCCCGAGAACACTGTCCCAGGTCTAGAGGAACACCAACTTCAGCACAGCAACTCGAGGAATGCTCCGTGTACCCCAAATCGTCTCGAGATGAGAGCTGATTCCCTGGCTTAGGCTCAAGTCGTATGCCAACTTTCCAGAAGCACCTCAGGAGGAGGCTTCTCTCAGCAATAGGTATGTGGGAGGGACCCCGAGTTTGCTGCCTCAAGGGGAATATACAGCGAGAAGCCCTAACTTGAAAGGAGGCCGGATTTCCTTGCAGTGGCTTGAATACAGGCTCGTCTTTCATCTCACAACATATAGGGATGTCTGAATCCCCTGTGGAGACCTTAGAGAAAGCCCTAGATCCCTGCCTCATTTTGACGGAATGCCTCACATCCCGCTGATAACTCGAGAGGCACGCGGAGTTCATTGCTTCAAAAGGTGACGATGCCTGACTCCTCTTGAATACTGATAGGAATCCCAAAATCCCTGTGGCTACTGGAAAGGGTCCTTGGGTGCCCTGCCTCACCTCGAGAAGCGTCCCTTTTGCCCTGCCAAGCCTCGAAGAGATTCCTGAGGTGTCCCTCATTACTAGACAGGAGTCCTGACGTCACTGAAGAAACTCGTGTTTTGAAGGGCCATCCCCGCCGTAAGTCGAGAACATACCCCAGGTCCCTGCCGCAACTCGAGAAAAACCATGAGACTTCCCCCTAGAGGCGAGATGAGGCCCCATTGCCCTGCAGTTCATGCAGAGCTATTCCATAATCCAATTCAAGCAAGTCAGGAGCTTCGACTTGCTTAATGGATCTCGAGACAGTCCCCAAGAACACTGTCACCAGTCTAGACGGACCCTGATGTCACCCCAGCAATGCAAAGCAGCTCCATGTGCCCCAAATCAACTCGAGATGAGGCCCGATTCCCCTGCATTGACTCCAGAGCCATTCCCCGTTCCCCATTCAACACCACCGGTGGCTCGACTTCCTTCAGGCAACTCCAGAGATGCCCCGAGAACACTGTCCCAAGTCTAGAGGAACACCAACTTCAGCACAGCAACTCGAGGAATGCTCCGTGTACCCCAAATCGTCTCGAGATGAGAGCTGATTGCCTGGCTTAGGCTCAAGACGCATGCCCACTTTCCAGAAGCACCACCGGAGGAGGCTTCTCTCAGCAATAGGTATGTGGGACGGACCCCGAGTTTGCTGCCTCAAGGAGAATATACAGCGAGAAGCCCTAACTTAAAAGGAGGCCGGATTTCCTTGCAGTGGCTTGAATACAGGCTCGTGTTTCATTTCACAACATGAAGGGATGTCTGAATCCCTGTGGAGACCTTAGAGAAAGCCCTAGGACCCTGCCTCATTTTCACGGAATGCCTCACATCCCGTTGACACCTCGAGAGGCACGCGGAGTTCATTGCTTCAAAAGGTGACGATGCCTGACTCCTCTTGAATACTGATAGGAATCCCAAAATCCCTGTGGCTACTGGAAAGGGTCCTTGGGTGCCCTGGCTCACCTCGAGAAGCTTCCCTTTTGCCCTGCCAAGCCTCGAAGAGGTTCCTGACGTGTCCCTCGTTACTAGACAGGAGTCCTGACGTCACTGAAGAACCTCGTGTTTTGAAGGGCCATACCCGCCGTAAGTCGAGAACATACCGCAGGTCCCCGCCGCAACTCGAGAAAAACCATGAGACTTCCCCCTAGAGGCGAGATGAGGCCCCATTCCCCTGCAGTGCATGCAGAGCTATTCCGTGATCCCATTCAAACAAGTCAGGAGCTTCGACTTGCTTAATGGATCTCGAGACAGTCCCAACAATACTGTCACCAGTGTAGACGGACCCTGAGGTCACCCCAGCAACGCAAAGCAGCTCCATGTGCCGCAAATCAACTCGAGATGAGGCCCAATTCCCCTGCATTGACTCCAGAGCCATTCTCCGTTCCCCATTCAACACGACCGGTGGCTCGACTTCCTTCAGGCAACTCCAGAGATGCCCCGAGAACACTGTCCCAAGTCTAGAGGAACACCAACTTCAGCACAGCAACTCGATGAATGCTCCGTGTACCCCAAAACGTCTCGAGATGAGAGCTGATTCCCTGGCTTAGGCTCAAGACGTATGCCAACTTTCCAGAAGCACCTCAGGAGGAGGCTTCTCTCAGCATTAGGTATGTGGGAGGGACCCCGAGTTTGCTGCCTCAAGGGGAATATACAGCGAGAAGCCCTGACTTGAAAGGAGGCCGGATTTCCTTGCAGTGGCTTGAATACAGGCTCGTGTTTCACCTCACAACATGAAGGGATGTCTGAATCCCTGTGGAGAACTTAGAGAAAGCCCTAGGACCCTGCCTCATTTTCACGGAATGCCTCACATCACGTTGACACTTCGAGAGGCACGCGGAGTTCATTGCTTCAAAAGGTGACGATGCCTGACTCCTCTTGAATACTGACAGGAATCCCAAAATCCCTGTGGCTACTGGAAAGGGTCCTTGATGCCCTGGCTCACCTCGAGAAGCTTCCCTTTTGCCCTGCCAAGCCTCGAAGAGATTCCTGAGGTGTCCCTCGTTACTAGACAGGAGTCCTGACGTCACTGAAGAACCTCGTGTTTTGAAGGGCCATACCCGCCGTAATTCGAGAACATACACCAGGTCCCCGCCGCAACTCGAGAAAAACCATGAGACTTCCCCCTAGAGGCGAGATGAGACCCCATTCCCCTGCAGTGCATGCAGAGCTATTCCATGATCCAATTCAAGCAAGTCAGGAGCTTCGACTTGCTTAATGGATCTCGAGACAGTCCCCAAGAACACTGTCACCAGTCTAGACGGACCCTGAAGTCACCCCAGCAACGCAAAGCAGCTCCATGTGCCCCAAATCAACTCGAGCTGAGGCCCGATTCCCCTGCATTGACTCCAGAGCCATTCCCCGTTCCCCATTCAACACGACCGGTGGCTCGACTTCCTTCAGACAACTCCAGAGATGCCCCGAGAACACTGTCCCAGGTCTAGAGGAACACCAACTTCAGCACAGCAACTCGAGGAATGCTCCGTGTACCCCAAATCGTCTCGAGATGAGAGCTGATTCCCTGGCTTAGGCTCAAGACATATGCCAACTTTCCAGAAGCACCTCAGGAGGAGGCTTCTCTCAGCAATAGGTATGTGGGAGGGACCCCGAGTATGCTGCCTCAAGGGAAATATACAGCGAGAAGCCCTAACTAGAAAGGAGGCCGGATTTCCTTGCAGTGGCTTGAATACAGGCTCGTCTTTCATCTCACAACATGAAGGGATGTCTGAATCCCCTGTGGAGACCTTAGAGAAAGCCCTAGGTCCCTGCCTCATTTTGACGGAATGCCTCACATCCCGCTGACACCTCGAGAGGCACGCGGAGTTCATTGCTTCAAAAGGGGACGATGCCTGACTCCTCTTGAATACTGATAGGAATCCCAAAATCCCTGTGGCTACTGGAAAGGGTCCTTGGGTGCCCTGCCTCACCTCGAGAAGCGTCCCTTTTGCCCTGCCAAGCCTCGAAGAGATTCCTGAGGTGTCCTTCGTTACTAGACAGGAGTCCTGACGTCACTGAAGAAACTCGTGTTTTGAAGGGCCATCCCCGTCGTAAGTCGTGAACATACCCCAGGTCCCCGCCGCAACTCGAGAAAAACCATGAGACTTCCCCCTAGAGACGAGATGAGGCCCCATTTCCCTGCAGTGCACGCAGAGCTATTCCATGATCCAATTCAAGCAAGTCAGGAGTTTCGACGTGCTTAATGGATCTCGAGACAGTCCCCAAGAACACTGTCACCAGTCTAGACGGACCCTGAGGTCACCCCAGCAATGCAAAGCAGCTCCATGTGCCCGAAATCAACTCGAGATGAGGCCCGATTCCCCTGCATTGACTCCAGAGCCATTCCCCGTTCCCCATTCAACACGACCGGTGGCTCGACTTCCTTCAGGCAACTCCAGAGATGCCCCGAGAACACTGTCCCAAGTCTAGAGGAACACCAACTTCAGCACAGCAACTCGAGCAATGCTCCATGTACCCCAAATCGTCTTGAGATGAGAGCTGATTCCCTGGCTTAGTCTCAAGACGCATGCCAACTTTCCAGAAGCACCACAGGAGGAGGCTTCTCTCAGCAATAGGTATGTGGGAGGGACCCCGAGTTTGCTGCCTCAAGGAGAATATACAGCGAGAAGCCCTAACTTGAAAGGAGGCCGGATTTCCTTGCAGTGGCTTGAATACAGGCTCGTGTTTCATTTCACAACATGAAGGGATGTCTGAATCCCCTGTGGAGACCTTAGAGAAAGCCCTAGGTCCCTGCCTCATATTGACGGAATGCCTCACATCCCGTTGACACCTCGAGAGGCACGCGGAGTTCATTGCTTCAAAAGGTGACGATGTCTGACTCCTCTTGAATAATGATAGGAATCCCAAAATCCCTGTGGCTACTGGAAAGGGTCCTTGGGTGCCCTGGCTCACCTCGAGAAGCTTCCCTTTTCCCTGCCAAGCCTCGAAGAGATTCCTGAGGTGTCCCTCGGTACTAGACAGGAGTCCTGACGTCACTGAAGAACCTCGTGTTTTGAAGGGCCATACGCGCCGTAAGTCGAGAACATACACCAGGTCCCCACCGCAACTCGAGAAAAACCATGAGACTTCCCCCTAGAGGCGAGATGAGACCCATTCCCCTGCAGTGCATGCAGAGCTATTCCGTGATCCCATTCAAACAAGTCAGGAGCTTCGACTTGCTTAATGGATCTCGAGACAGCCCCCAAGAACACTGTCACCTGCCTAGACGGACCCTGAGGTCACCCCAGCAACGCAAAGCAGCTCCATGTGCCCCAAATCAACTCGAGATGAGGCCCGATTCCCCTGCATTGACTCCAGAGCCATTCCCCGTTCCCCATTCAACATGACCGGTGGCTCGACTTCCTTCAGGCAACTCCAGAGATGCCCCGAGAACACTGTCCCAGGTCTAGAGGAACACCAACTTCAGCACAGCAACTCGAGGAATGCTCCGTGTACCCCAAATGGTCTCGAGATGAGAGCTGATTCCCTGGCTTAGACTCAAGACGTATGCCAACTTTCCAGAAGCACCTCAGGAGGAAGCTTCTCTCAGCAATAGGTATGTGGGAGGGACCCCGAGTTTGCTGCCTCAAGGGGAATATACAGCGAGAAGCCCTAACTTGAAAGGAGGCCGGATTTCCTTGCAGTGGCTTGAATACAGGCTCGTCTTTCATCTCACAACATATAGGGATGTCTGAATCCCCTGTGGAGACCTTAGAGAAAGCCCTAGATCCCTGCCTCATTTTGACGGAATGCCTCACATCCCGCTGATACCTCGAGAGGCACGCGGAGTTCATTGCTTCAAAAGGTGACGATGCCTGACTCCTCTTGAATACTGATAGGAATCCCAAAATCCCTGTGGCTACTGGAAAGGGTCCTTGGGTGCCCTGCCTCACCTCGAGAAGCGTCCCTTTTGCCCTGCCAAGCCTCGAAGAGATTCCTGAGGTGTCCCTCGTTACTAGACAGGAGTCCTGACGTCACTGAAGAAACTCGTGTTTTGAAGGGCCATCCCCGCCGTAAGTCGAGAACATACCCCAGGTCCCCGCCGCAACTCGAGAAAAACCATGAGACTTCCCCCTAGAGGCGAGATGAGGCCCCATTCCCCTGCAGTTCATGCAGAGCTATTCCATGATCCAATTCAAGCAAGTCAGGAGCTTCGACTTGCTTAATGGATCTCGAGACAGCCCCCAAGAACACTGTCACCTGTCTAGACGGACCCTGAGGTCACCCCAGCAACGCAAAGCAGCTCCATGTGCCCCAAATCAACTCGAGATGAGGCCCGATTCCCCTGCATTGACTCCAGAGCCATTCCCCGTTCCCCATTCAACATGACCGGTGGCTCGACTTCCTTCAGGCAACTCCAGAGATGCCCCGAGAACACTGTCCCAAGTCTAGAGGAACACCAACTTCAGCACAGCAACTCGAGGAATGCTCCGTGTACCCCAAATCGTCTCGAGATGAGAGCTGATTGCCTGGCTTAGGCTCAAGATGCATGCCCACTTTCCAGAAGCACCACCGGAGGAGGCTTCTCTCAGCAATAGGTATGTGGGAGGGACCCCGAGTTTGCTGCCTCAAGGAGAATATACAGCGAGAAGCCCTAACTTGAAAGGAGGCCGGATTTCCTTGCAGTGGCTTGAATACAGGCTCGTGTTTCATTTCACAACATGAAGGGATGTCTGAATCCCTGTGGAGACCTTAGAGAAAGCCCTAGGGCCCTGCCTCATTTTCACGGAATGCCTCACATCCCGTTGACACCTCGAGAGGCACGCGGAGTTCATTGCTTCAAAAGGTGACGATGCCTGACTCCTCTTGAATACTGATAGGAATCCCAAAATCGCTGTGGCAACTGGAAAGGGTCCTTGGGTGCCCTGGCTCACCTCGAGAAGCTTCCCTTTTGCCCTGCCAAGCCTCGAAGAGGTTCCTGACGTGTCCCTCGTTACTAGACAGGAGTCCTCACGTCACTGAAGAACCTCGTGTTTTGAAGGGCCATACCCGCCGTAAGTCGAGAACATACCCCAGGTCCCCGCCGCAACTCGAGAAAAACCATGAGACTTCCCCCTAGAGGCGAGATGAGGCCCCATTCCCCTGCAGTGCATGCAGAGCTATTCCGTGATCCCATTCAAACAAGTCAGGAGCTTCGATTTGCTTAATGGATCTCGAGACAGTCCCAACAATACTGTCACCAGTGTAGACAGACCCTGAGGTCACCCCAGCAACGCAAAGCAGCTCCATGTGCCGCAAATCAACTCGAGATGAGGCCCGATTCCCCTGCATTGACTCCAGAGCCATTCTCCGTTCCCCATTCAACACGACCGGTGGCTCGACTTCCTTCAGGCAACTCCAGAGATGCCCCGAGAACACTGTCCCAAGTCTAGAGGAACACCAACTTCAGCACAGCAACTCGAGGAATGCTCCGTGTACCCCAAATCGTCTCGAGATGCGAGCTGATTCCCTGGCTTAGGCTCAAGACGTATGCCAACTTCCCAGAAGCACCTCAGGAGGAGGCTTCTCTCAGCAATAGGTATGTGGGAGGGACCCCGAGTTTGCTGCCTCAAGGAGAATATACAGCGAGAAGCCCTAACTTGAAAGGAGGCCGGATTTCCTTGCAGTGGCTTGAATACAGGCTCGTGTTTCATTTCACAACATGAAGGGATGTCTGAATCCCCTGTGGAGACCTTAGAGAAAGCCCTAGGTCCCTGCCTCATTTTGACGGAATGCCTCACATCCCGCTGATACCTCGAGAGGCACGCGGAGTTCATTGCTTCAAAAGGTGATGATGCCTGACTCCTCTTGAATACTGATAGGAATCCCAAAATCCCTATGGCTACTGGAAAGGGTCCTTGGGTGCCCTGCCTCACCTCGAGAAGCGTCCCTTTTGCCCTGCCAAGCCTCGAAGAGATTCCTGAGGTGTCCCTCGTTACTAGACAGGAGTCCTGACGTCACTGAAGAAACTCGTGTTTTGAAGGGCCATCCCCGCCGTAAGTCGAGAACATACCCCAGGTCCCCGCCGCAACTCGAGAAAAACCATGAGACTTCCCCCTAGAGGCGAGATGAGGCCCCATTCCCCTGCAGTTCATGCAGAGCTATTCCATGATCCAATTCAAGCAAGTCAGGAGCTTCGACTTGCTTAATGGATCTCGAGACAGTCCCCAAGAACACTGTCACCAGTCTAGACGGACCCTGATGTCACCCCAGCAATGCAAAGCAGCTCCATGTGCCCCAAATCAACTCGAGATGAGGCCCGATTCCCCTGCATTGACTCCAGAGCGATTCCCCGTTCCCCATTCAACAGGACCGGTGGCTCCACTTCCTTCAGGCAACTCCAGAGATGCCCCGAGAACACTGTCCCAAGTCTAGAGGAACACCAACTTCAGCACAGCAACTCGAGGAATGCTCCGTGTACCCCAAATCGTCTCGAGATGAGAGCTGATTGCCTGGCTTAGGCTCAAGAGGCATGCCCACTTTCCAGAAGCACCACCGGAGGAGGCTTCTCTCAGCAATAGGTATGTGGGAGGGACCCCGAGTTTGCTGCCTCAAGTAGAATATACAGCGAGAAGCCCTAACTTGAAAGGAGGCCGGATTTCCTTGCAGTGGCTTGAATACAGGCTCGTGTTTCATTTCACAACATGAAGGGATGTCTGAATCCCTGTGGAGACCTTAGAGAAAGCCCTAGGGCCCTGCCTCATTTTCACGGAATGCCTCACATCCCGTTGACACCTCGAGAGGCACGCGGAGTTCATTGCTTCAAAAGGTGACGATGCCTGACTCCTCTTGAATACTGATAGGAATCCCAAAATCGCTGTGGCAACTGGAAAGGGTCCTTGGGTGCCCTGGCTCACCTCGAGAAGCTTCCCTTTTGCCCTGCCAAGCCTCGAAGAGGTTCCTGACGTGTCCCTCGTTACTAGACAGGAGTCCTCACGTCACTGAAGAACCTCGTGTTTTGAAGGGCCATACCCGCCGTAAGTCGAGAACATACCCCAGGTCCCCGCCGCAACTCGAGAATAACCATGAGACTTCCCCCTAGAGGCGAGATGAGGCCCCATTCCCCTGCAGTGCATGCAGAGCTATTCCGTGATCCCTTTCAAACAAGTCAGGAGCTTCGACTTGCTTAATGGATCTCGAGACAGTCCCAACAATACTGTCACCAGTGTAGACAGACCCTGAGGTCACCCCAGCAACGCAAAGCAGCTCCATGTGCCGCAAATCAACTCGAGATGAGGCCCGATTCCCCTGCATTGACTCCAGAGCCATTCTCCGTTCCCCATTCAACACGACCGGTGGCTCGACTTCCTTCAGGCAACTCCAGAGATGCCCCGAGAACACTGTCCCAAGTCTAGAGGAACACCAACTTCAGCACAGCAAATCGATGAATGCTCCGTGTACCCCAAAACGTCTCGAGATGAGAGCTGATTCCCTGGCTTAGGCTCAAGACGTATGCCAACTTTCCAGAAGCACCTCAGGAGGAGGCTTCTCTCAGCAATAGGTATGTGGGAGGGACCCCGAGTTTGCTGCCTCAAGGGGAATATACAGCGAGAAGCCCTAACTTGAAAGGAGGCCGGATTTCCTTGCAGTGGCTTGGATACAGGCTCGTGTTTCATCTCACAACATGAAGGGATGTCTGAATCCCCAGTGGAGACCTTAGAGAAAGCCCTAGGTCCCTGCCTCATTTTGACGGAATGCCTCACATCCCGCTGACACCTCGAGAGGCACGCGGAGTTCATTGCTTCAAAAGGTGACGATGCCTGACTCCTCTTGAATACTGATAGGAATCCCAAAATCCCTGTGGCTATTGGAAAGGGTCCTTGGGTGCCTTGCCTCACCTCGAGAAGCGTCCCTTTTGCCCTGCCAAGCCTCGAAGAGATTCCTGAGGTGTCCCTCGTTACTAGACAGGAGTCCTGACGTCACTGAAGAAACTCGTGTTTTGAAGGGCCATGCCCGCCGTAAGTCGAGAACATACCCCAGGTCCCTGCCGCAACTCGAGAAAAACGATGAGACTTCCCCCTAGAGGCGAGATGAGGCCCCATTCCCCGGCAGTGCATGCAGAGCTATTCCGTGATCCCATTCAAACAAGTCAGGAGCTTCGACTTGCTTAATGGATCTCGAGACAGTCCGCAAGAACACTGTCATCAGTCTAGACGGACCCTGAGGTCACCCCAGCAACGCAAAGCAGCTCCATGTGCCCCAAATCAACTCGAGATGAGGCCCGATTCCCCTGCATTGACTCCAGAGCCATTCCCCGTTCCCCATTCAACACGACCGGTGGCTCGACTTCCTTCAGGAAACTCCAGAGAAGCCCCGAGAACACTGTCCCAAGTCTAGAGGAACACCAACTTCAGCACAGCAACTCGAGGAATGCTCCGTGTACCCCAAATCGTCTCGAGATGCGAGCTGATTCCCTGGCTTAGGCTCAAGACGTATGCCTACTTTCCAGAAGCACCTCAGGAGGAGACTTCTCTCAGCAATAGGTATGTGGGAGGGACCCCGAGTTTGCTGCCTCAAGGGGAATATACAACGAGAAGCCCTAACTTGAAAGGAGGCCGGATTTCCTTGCAGTGACTTGAATACAGGCTCGTGTTTCATCTCACAACATGAAGCGATGTCTGAATCCCCTGTGGAGACCTTAGAGAAAGCCCTAGGTCCCTGCCTCATTTTGACGGAATGCCTCACATCCCGCTGACACCTCGAGAGGCAGGCAGAGTTCATTGCTTCAAAAGGTGACGATGCCTGACTCCTCTTGAAAACTGATAGGATTCCCAAAATCCCTGTGGCTACTGGAAACGGTCCTTGGGTGCCCTGCTTCACCTCGAGAAGCGTCCCTTTTGCCCTGCCAAGCATCGAAGAGATTCCTGACGTGTCCCTCGTTACTAGACAGGAGTCCTGACGTCACTGAAGAACCTCGTGTTTTGAAGGGCCATCCCCGCCGTAAGTCAAGAACATACCCCAGGTCCCCGCCGCAACTAGAGAAAAACCATGAGACTTCCCCCTAGAGGCGAGATGAGGCCCCATTCACCTGCAGTGCATGCAGAGCTATTCCGTGATCCCATTCAAGCAAGTCAGGAGCTTCGACTTGCTTAATGGATCTTGAGACAGGCCCAAGAATACTGTCACCAGTCTAGACGGACCCTGAGGTCACCCCAGCAACGCAAAGCAGCTCCATGTGCCCCAAATCAAATCGAGATGAGGCCCGATTCCCCTGCATTGACTCCATAGCCATTCCCCGTTCCCCATTCAACACGACCGGTGGCTCGACTTCCTTCAGGCAACTCCAGAGATGCCCCGAGAACACTGTCCCAAGTCAAGAGGAACAACAACTTCAGCACAGCAACTCGATGAATGCTCCGTGTACCCCAAATCGTCTCGAGATGCGAGCTGTTTCCCTGGCTTAGGCTCAAGACGTATGCCAACTTTCCAGAAGCACCTCAGGAGGAGGCTTCTCTCAGCAATAGGTATGTGCGAGGGACCCCGAGTATGCTGCCTCAAGGGGAATATACAGAGAGAAGCACTAGCTTGAAAGGAGGCCGGATTTCCTTGCAGTGGCTTGGATACAGGCTCGTGTTTCATCTCACAACATGAAGGGATGTCTGAATCCCCAGTGGAGACCTTAGAGAAAGCCCTAGGTCCCTGCCTCACTTTGACGGAATGCCTCACATCCCGCTGACACCTCGAGAGGCACGCGGAGTTCATTGCTTCAAAAGGTGACGATGCCTGACTCCTCTTGAATACTGATAGGAATCCCAAAATCCCTGTGGCTACAGGAAAGGGTCCTTGGGTGCCTTGCCTCACCTCGAGAAGCGTCCCTTTTGCCCTGCCAAGCCTCGAAGAGATTCCTGAGGTGTCCCTCGTTACTAGACAGGAGTCCTGACGTCACTGAAGAAACTCGTGTTTTGAAGGGCCATGCCCGCCTTAAGTCGAGAACATACCCCAGGTCCCTGCCGCAACTCGAGAAAAACGATGAGACTTCTCCCTAGAGGCGAGATGAGGCCCCATTCCCCTGCAGTGCATGCAGAGCTATTGCGTGATCCCATTCAAACAAGTCAGGAGCTTCGACTTGCTTAATGGATCTCGAGACAGTCCGCAAGAACACTGTCATCAGTCTAGACGGACCCTGAGGTCACCCCAGCAACGCAAAGCAGCTCCATGTGCCTCAAATCAACTCGAGATGAGGCCCGATTCCCCTGCTTTGACTCCAGAGCCATTCCCCGTTCCCCATTCAACACGATCGGTGGCTCGACTTCCTTCAGGAAACTCCAGAGAAGCCCCGAGAACACTGTCCCAAGTCTAGAGGAACACCAACTTCAGCACAGCAACTCGAGGAATGCTCCGTGTACCCCAAATCGTCTCGAGATGAGAGCTGATTCCCTGGCTTAGGCTCAAGACGTATGCCTACTTTCCAGAAGCACCTCAGGAGCAGACTTCTCTCAGCAATAGGTATGTGGGAGGGACCCCGAGTTTGCTGCCTCAAGGGGAATATACAACGAGAAGCCCTAACTTGAAAGGAGGCCGGATTTCCTTGCAGTGACTTGAATACAGGCTCGTCTTTCATCTCACAACATGAAGCGATGTCTGAATCCCCTGTGGAGACCTTAGAGAAAGCCCTAGGTCCCTGCCTCATTTTGACGGAATGCCTCACATCCCGCTGACACCTCGAGAGGCAGGCGGAGTTCATTGCTTCAAAAGGTGACGATGCCTGACTCCTCTTGAAAACTGAGAGGATTCCCAAAATCCCTGTGGCTACTGTAAATGGTCCTTGGGTGCCCTTCTTCACCTCGAGAAGCGTCCCTTTTGCCCTGCCAAGCATCGAAGAGATTCCTGAGGTGTCCCTCGTTACTAGACAGGAGTCCTGACGTCACTGAAGAACCTCGTGTTTTGAAGGGCCATCCCCGCCGTAAGTCAAGAACATACCCCAGGTCCCCGCCGCAACTCGAGAAAAACCATGAGATTTCCCCATAGAGGCGAGATGAGGCCCCATTCCCCTGCAGTGCATGCAGAGCTATTCCGTGATCCCATTCAAGCAAGTCAGGAGCTTCGACTTGCTTAATGGATCTTGAGACAGGCCCAAGAATACTGTCACCAGTCTAGACGGACCCTGAGGTCACCCCAGCAACGCAAAGCAGCTCCATGTGCCCCAAATCAAATAGAGATGAGGCCCGATTCCCCTGCATTGACTCCAGAGCCATTCCCCGTTCCCCATTCAACACGACTGGTGGCTCGACTTCCTTCAGGCAACTCCAGAGATGCCCCGAGAACACTGTCCCAAGTCAAGAGGAACACCAACTTCAGCACAGCAACTCGATGAATGCTCCGTGTACCCCAAATCGTCTCGAGATGAGAGCTGTTTCCCTGGCTTAGGCTCAAGACGTATGCCAACTTTCCAGAAGCACCTCAGGAGGAGGCTTCTCTCAGCAATAGGTATGTGCGAGGGACCCCGAGTATGCTGCCTCAAGGGGAATATACAGAGAGAAGCACTAGCTTGAAAGGAGGCCGGATTTCCTTGCAGTGGCTTGAATACAGGCTCGTGATTCATCTCACAACATGAATGGATGTCTGAATCCACTGTGGAGACCTTAGAGAAAGCCCTAGGTCCCTGCCTCATTTTGACGGAATGCCTCACATCCCGCTGATACCTCGAGAGGCACGCGTAGTACATTGCTTCAAAAGGTGATGATGCCTGACTCATCTTGAATACTGATAGGAATACGAAAATCCCTGTGGCTACTGGAAAGGGTCCTTGGGTGCCCTGACTCACTTCGAGAAGCGTCCCTTTTGCCCTGCCAAGCCTCTAAGAGATTCCCTAAGTGGCCCTCGTTACTAGACAGGAGTCCTGACGTCACTGAAGAAACTCGTGTTTTGAAGGGCCATCCCCGCCGTAAGTCAAGAACATACCCCAGGTCCCGGCCGCAACTCGAGAAAAACCATGAGACTTCCCCATAGAGGCGAGATGAGGCCCCATTCCCCTGCAGTGCATGCAGAGCTATTCCGTGATCCCATTCAAACAAGTCAGGAGCGTCGACTTGCTTAATGGATCTAGAGACAGTCCCAAGAATACTGTCAATAGTGTAGACGGACCCTGAGGTCACCCCAGCAACTCAAAGCAGCTCCATGTGCCCCAAATCAAATCGAGATGAGGCCCGATTCCCCTGCATTGACTCCAGAGCCATTCCCCGTTCCCCATTCAACACGACCGGTGGCTCGACTTCCTTCAGGCACCTCCAGAGATGCCCCGAGAACACTGTCCCAAGTCTAGAGGAACACCAACTTCAGCACAGAAACTCGAGGAATGCTCCGTGTACCCCAAATCATCTCGAGATGAGAGCTGATTCCCTGGCTTAGGCTCAAGACGTATGCCAACTTTCCAGAAGCACCTCAGGAGGAGGCTTCTCTCAGCAATAGGTATGTGGGAGGGACCCCGAGTATGCTGCCTCAAGGGGAATATACAGCGAGAAGCCCTAGCTTGAAAGGAGGCCGGATTTCCTTGCAGTGACTTGAATACAGGCTCGTGTTTCATCTCACAACATGAAGGGATGTCTGAATCCACTGTGGAGACCTTAGAGAAAGCTCTAGGTCCCTGCCTCATTTTGACGGAATGCCTCACATCCCGCTGACACCTCGAGAGGCACGCGTAGTTCATTGCTTCAAAAGGTGACGATGCCTGACTCATCTTGAATACTGATAGGAATCCGAAAATCCCTGTGGCTACTGGAAAGGGTCCTTGGGTGCCCTGCCTCACCTCGAGAAGCGTCCCTTTTGCCCTGCCAAGCCTCAAAGTGATTCCTGAAGTGTCCCTTGTTACTTGACAGGAGTCCTGATGTCACTGAAGAAACTCGTGTTTTGAAGGGCCATCCCCGCCGAAAGTCGAGAACATACACCAGGTCCCCGCCGCAACTCGAGAAAAACCATGAGACTTCCCCCTAGAGGCGAGATGAGGCCCCATTCCCCTGCAGTTCATGCAGAGCTATTCCATGATCCAATTCAAGCAAGTCAGGAGCTTCGACTTGCTTAATAGATCTCGAGACAGTCCCCAAGAACACTGTCACCAGTCTAGACGGACCCTGATGTCACCCCAGCAATGCAAAGCAGCTCCATGTGCCCCAAATCAACTCGAGATGAGGCCCGATTCCCCTGCATTGACTCCAGAGCCATTCCCCGTTCCCCATTCAACACGACCGGTGGCTCGACTTCCTTCAGGCAACTCCAGAGATGCCCCGAGAACACTGTCCCAAGTCTAGAGGAACACCAACTTCAGCACAGCAAATCGAGGAATGCTCCGTGTACCCCAAATCGTCTCGAGATGAGAGCTGATTGCCTGGCTTAGGCTCAAGACGCATGCCAACTTTCCAGAAGCACCACCGGAGGAGGCTTCTCTCAGCAATAGGTATGTGGGAGGGACCCCGAGTTTGCTGCCTCAAGGGGAATATACAGCGAGAAGCCCTAACTTGAAAGGAGGCCGGATTTCCTTGCAGTGGCTTGAATACAGGCTCGTGTTTCATTTCACAACATGAAGGGATGTCTGAATCCCTGTGGAGACCTTAGAGAAAGCTCTAGGACCCTGCCTCATTTTCACGGAATGCCTCACATCCCGTTGACACCTCGAGAGGCACGCGGAGTTCATTGCTTCAAAAGGTGACGATGCCTGACTCCTCTTGAATACTGATAGGAATCCCAAAATCCCTGTGGCTGCTGGAAAGGGTCCTTGGGTGCCCTGGCTCACCTCGAGAAGCTTCCCTTTTGCCCTGCCAAGCCTCGAAGAGATTCCTGATGTGTCCCTCGTTACTAGACAGGAGTCCTGACGTCACTGAAGAACCTCGTGTTTTGAAGGGCCATACCCGCCGTAAGTCGACAACATACTCCAGGTCCCCGCCGCAACTCGAGAAAAACCATGAGACTTCCCCCTAGAGGCGAGATGAGGCCCCATTCCCCTGCAGTGCATGCAGAGCTATTCCGTGATCCCATTCAAACAAGTCAGGAGCTTCGACTTGCTTAATGGATCTCGAGACAGTCCGCAAGAACACTGTCACCAGTCTAGACGGACCCTGAGGTCACCCCAGCAACGCAAAGCAGCTCCATGTGCCTCAAATCAACTCAAGATGAGGCCCGATTCCCCTGCATTGACTCCAGAGCCATTCCCCGTTCCCCATTCAACACGATCGGTGGCTCGACTTCCTTCAGGAAACTCCAGAGAAGCCCCGAGAACACTGTCCCAAGTCTAGAGGAACACCAACTTCAGCACAGCAACTCGAGGAATGCTCCGTGTACCCCAAATCGTCTCGAGATGAGAGCTGATTCCCTGGCTTAGGCTCAAGACGTATGCCTACTTTCCAGAAGCACCTCAGGAGGAGGCTTCTCTGAGCAATAGGTATGTGGGAGGGACCCCGAGTTTGCTGCCTCAAGGGGAATATACAGCGAGAACCCCTAACTTGAAAGGAGGCCGGATTTCCTTGCAGTGGCTTGAATACAGGCTCGTCTTTCATCTCAAAACATGAAGGGATGTCTGAATCCCCTGTGGAGACCTTAGAGAAAGCCCTAGGTCCCTGCCTCATTTTGACGGAATGCCTCACATCCCTCTGACACCTCGAGAGGCACGCGGAGTTCATTGCTTCAAAAGGTGACGATGCCTGACTCCTCTTGAATACTGATAGGAATCCCAAAATCCCTGTGGCTACTGGAAAGGGTCCTTGGGTGCCCTGCCTCACCTCGAGAAGCGTCCCTTTGGCCCTGCCAAGCCTCGAAGAGATTCCTGAGGTGTCCCTCGTTCCTAGACAGGATTCCTGACGTCACTGAAGAAACTCGTGTTTTGAAGGGCTATCCCCGCCGTAAGTCAAAAACATACCCCAGGTCCCCGCCGCAACTCGAGAAAACCCATGAGACTTCCCCATAGAGGCGAGATGAGGCCCCATTCCACTGCAGTGCATGCAGAGCTATTCCGTGATCCCATTCAAACAAGTCAGGAGCTTCGACTTGCTTAATGGATCTCGAGACAGTCCCCAAGAACACTGTCACCAGTCTACACAGAACCTGAGGTCACACTAGCAACGCAAAGCAGCTCCATGTGGCCCAAATCAACTCGAGATGAGGCCCAAATCTCCTGCCTTGACTCCACAGCCATTCCCCGTTCCCCATTCAACAAGACCGGTGGCTTGACTTCCTTCAGGCAACTCCAGAGATGCCCCGAGAACAGTGTCCCAAGTCTAGAGGAACACCAACTTCAGCACAGCAACTCGAGGAATGCTCCATGTACCCCAAATCGTCTCGAGATGAGAGCTGATTCCCTGGCTTAGGCTCAAGACGTATGCCAACTTTCCAGAAGCAACTCAGGAGGATTATTCTCTCAGCAAAAGGTATGTGGGAGGGACCACGAGTTTGCTGCCTCAAGGGGAATATACAGCGAGAAGCCCTAACTTGAAAGGAGGCCGGATTTCTTTGCAGTGGCTTGAATACAGGCTCGTCTTTCATCTCACAACATGAAGGGATGTCTGAATCCCCTGTGGAGACCTTAGAGAAAGCCCTAGTTCCCTGCCTCATTTTGACGGAATGCCTCACATCCCGCTGACACCCCGAGAGGCACGCGGAGTTCATTGCTTCAAAAGGTGACGATGCCTGACTCCTCTTGAATACTGATAGGAATCCCAAAATCCCTGTGGCTACTGGAAAGGGTCCTTGGGTGCCCTGCCTCACCTCGAGAAGCGTCCCTTTTGCCATGCCAAGCCTAGAAGAGATTCCTGAGGTGTCCCTCGTTACTAGACAGGAGTCCTGACGTCACTGAAGAAACTCGTGTTTTGAAGGGCCATCCCCGCCGTAAGTCAAGAACATACCCCAGGTCCCCGCCGCAACTCGAGAAAAACCATGAGACTTCCCCATAGAGGCGAGATGAGGCCCCATTCCCCTGCAGTGCATGCAGAGCTATTCCGTGATCCCATTTAAACAAGTCAGGAGCTTCGACTTGCTTAATGGATCTCGAGACAGTCCCCAAGAACACTGTCACCAGTCTAGACGGACCCTGAGGTCACCCCAGCAACGCAAAGCAGCTCCATGTGCCCCAAATCAACTCGAGATGAGGCCCGATTCCCTTGCATTGACTCCAGAGCCATTCCCCGTTCCCCATTCAACACGACCGGTGGCTCGACTTCCTTCAGGCAACTCCAGAGATGCCCCAAGAACACTGTCCCAAGTCTAGAGGAACACCAACTTCAGCACAGCAACTTGAGGAATACTCCGTGTACCCCAAATCATCTCGAGATGGGAGCTGATTCCCTGGCTTAGGCTCAAGACGTATGCCAACTTTCCTGAAGCCCCTGAGGAGGAGGATTCTCTCAGAAATAGGTATGTGGGAGGGACCCCGAGTTTGCTGCCTCAATGGGAATATAGAGCGAGAAGCCCTAACTTGAAAGGAGGCCGGATTTCCTTGCAGTGGCTTGACTACAGGCTCGTCTTTCATCTCACAACATGAAGGGATGTCGAAATCCCCTTTGGAGACCTTAGAGAAAGCCCTAGGTCCCTGCCTCATTTTGACGGAAGTCCTCACATCCCGCTGACACCTCGAGAGGCACGCGGAGTTCATTTCTTCAAAAGGTGACGATGCCTGACTCCTCTTGAATACTGATAGGAATCCCAAAATCCCTGTGGCTACTGGAAAGGGTCCTTGGGTGCCCTGCCTCACCTCGAGAAGCGTCCCTTTTGCCCTGCCAAGCCTCGAAGAGATTGCTAAGGTGTCCCTCGTTGCTAGACAGGAGTTCTGACGTCACTGAAGAAACTCGTGTTTTGAAGGGCCATCCCCGCCGTAAGTCGAGAACATACCCCAGGTCCCTGCCGCAACTCGAGAAAAACCATGAGACTTCCCCCTAGAGGCAAGATGAGGCCCCATTCCCCTGCAGTGCATGCAGAGCTATTCCGTGATCCCATTCAAACAAGTCAGGAGCTTCGACTTGCTTAATGGATCTCGAGACAGTCCGCAAGAACACTGTCACCAGTCTAGACGGACCCTGAGGTCACCCCAGCAACGCAAAGCAGCTCCATGTCCCTCAAATCAACTCGAGATGAGGCCCGATTCCCCTGCATTGACTCCAGAGCCATTCCCCGTTCCCCATTCAACACGACCGGTGGCTCGACTTCCTTCAGGAAACTCCAGAGAAGCCCCGAGAACACTGTCCCAAGTCTAGAGGAACACCAACTTCAGCACAGCAACTCGGGGAATGCTCCGTGTACCCCAAATCGTCTCGAGATGAGAGCTGATTCCCTGGCTTAGGCTCAAGACGCATGCCAACTTTCCAGAAGCACCACAGGAGTAGGCTTCTCTTAGCAATAGGTATGTGGGAGGGACCCCGAGTTTGCTGCCTCAAGGGGAATATACAGCGAGAAGACCTAACTTGAAAGGAGGCCGGATTTCCTTGCAGTGGCTTGAATACAGGCTCGTGTTTCATTTCACAACATGAAGGGATGTCTGAATCCCCTGTGGAGACCTTAGAGAAAGCCCTAGGTCCCTGCCTCATTTTGACGGAATGCCTCACATCCCGTTGACACCTCGAGAGGCACACGGAGTTCATTGCTTCAAAAGTTGACGATGCCTGACTACTCTTGAATACTGATAGGAACCCCAAAATCCCTGTGGCTTCTGGAAAGGGCCCTTGGGTGCCCTGCCTCACCTCGAGAAGCGTCCCTTTTGCCCTGACAAGCCTCAAAGTGATTCCTGAAGTGTCCCTCGTTACTTGACAGGAGTCCTGATGTCACTGAAGAAACTCGTGTTTTGAAGGGCCATCACCGCCGAAAGTCGAGAACATACACCAGGTCCCCGCCGCAACTCGAGAAAAACCATGAGACTTCCCTCTAGAGGCGAGATGAGGCCCCATTCCCCTGCAGTGCATGCATAGCTATTCCGTGATCCCATTCAAACAAGTCAGGAGCTTCGACTTGCTTAATGGATCTCGAGACAGTCCCCAAGAACACTGTCACCAGTCTAGACGGACCCTGAGGTCACCCCAGCAACGCAAAGCAGCTCCATGTGCCCCAAATCAACTCGAGATGAGGCCCGATTCCCCTGCATTGACTCCAGAGCCATTTCCCGTTCCCCATTCAACACGACCGGTGGCTCGACTTCCTTCAGACAACTCCAGAGATGCCCCGGAACACTGTACCAGGTCTAGAGGAACACCAACTTCAGCACAGCAACTCGAGGAATGCTCCGTGTACCCCAAATCGTTTCGAGATGAGAGCTACTTCCCTGGCTTAGGATCAAGACGCATGCCAACTTTCCAGAAGCACCTCAGGAGGAGGCTTCTCTCAGCAATAGGTATGTGGGAGGGACCACGAGTATGCTGCCTCAAGGGGAATATACAGCGAGAAGCCCTAACAAGAAAGGAGGCCGGATTTCCTTGCAGTGGCTTGAATACAGGCTCGTCTTTCTTCTCACAACATGAAGGGATGTCTGAATCCCTGTGGAGACCTTAGAGAAAGCCCTAGGACCCTGCCTCATTTTCACGGAATGCCTCACATCACGCTGACACCTCGAGAGGCACGCGGAGTTCATTGCTTCAAAAGGTGACGATGCCTGACTCCTCTTGAATAATGATAGGAATCCCAAAATCGCTGTGGCTACTGGAAAGGGTCCTTGGGTGCCCTGCCTCACTTCGAGAAGCGTCCCTTTTGCCCTGCCAAGCCTCGAAGAGATTCCTGAGGTGTCCTTCGTTACTAGACAGGAGTCCTGACGTCACTGAAGAAACTCGTGTTTTGAAGGGCCATCCCCGCCGTAAGTCGTGAACATACCCCAGGTCCCCGCCGCAACTCGAGAAAAACCATGAGACTTCCCCCTAGAGGCGAGATGAGGCCCCATTTCCCTGCAGTGCACGCAGAGCTATTCCATGATCCAATTCAAGCAAGTCAGGAGGTTCGACTTGCTTATTGGATCTCGAGACAGTCCCCAAGAACACTGTCACCAGTCTAGACGGACCCTGATGTCACCCCAGCAATGCAAAGCAGCTCCATGTGCCCGAAATCAACTCGAGATGAGGCCCGATTCCCCTGCATTGACTCCAATGCCATTCCCCGTTCCCATTCAACACGACCGGTGGCTCGACTTCCTTCAGGCAACTCCAGAGATGCCCCGAGAACACTGTCCCAAGTCTAGAGGAACACCAACTTCAGCACAGCAACTCGAGCAATGCTCCATGTACCCCAAATCGTCTTGAGATGAGAGCTGATTCCCTGGCTTAGGCTCAAGACGCATGCCAACTTTCCAGAAGCACCACAGGAGGAGGCTTCTCTCAGCAATAGGTATGTGGGAGGGACCCCGAGTTTGCTGCCTCAAGGAGAATATACAGCGAGAAGCCCTAACTTGAAAGGAGGCCGGATTTCCTTGCAGTGGCTTCAATACAGGCTCGTGTTTCATTTCACAACATGAAGGGATGTCTGAATCCCCTGTGGAGACCTTAGAGAAAGCCCTAGGTCCCTGCCTCATTTTGACGGAATGCCTCACATCCCGTTGACACCTCGAGAGGCACGCGGAGTTCATTGCTTCAAAAGGTGACGATGTCTGACTCCTCTTGAATAATGATAGGAATCCCAAAATCCCTGTGGCTACTGGAAAGGGTCCTTGGGTGCCCTGGCTCACCTCGAGAAGCTTCCCTTTTCCCTGCCAAGCCTCGAAGAGATTCCTGAGGTGTCCCTGGTACTAGACAGCAGTCCTGACGTCACTGAAGAACCTCGTGTTTTGAAGGGCCATACCCGCCGTAAGTCGAGAACATACACCAGGTCCCCGCCGCAACTCGAGAAAAACCATGAGACTTCCCCCTAGAGGCGAGATGAGACCCATTCCCCTGCAGTGCATGCAGAGCTATTCCGTGATCCCATTCAAACAAGTCAGGAGCTTCGACTTGCTTAATGGATCTCGAGACAGTCCCCAAGAACACTGTCACCAGTCTAGACGGACCCTGAGGTCACCCCAGCAACGCAAAGCAGCTCCATGTGCCCCAAATCAACTCGAGATGAGGCCCGATTCCCCTGCATTGACTCCAGAGCCATTCCCCGTTCCCCATTCAACACGACCGGTGGCTCGACTTCCTTCAGGCAACTCCAGAGATGCCCCGAGAACACTGTCCCAGGTCTAGAGGAACACCAACTTCAGCACAGCAACTCGAGGAATGCTCCGTGTACCCCAAATCGTCTCGAGATGAGAGCTGATTCGCTGGCTTAGGCTCAAGACGTATGCCAACTTTCCAGAAGCACCTCAGGAGGAGGCTTCTCTCAGCAATAGGTATGTGGGAGGGACCCCGATTTTGCTGCCTCAAGGGGAATATACAGCGAGAAGCCCTAACTTGAAAGGAGGCCGGATTTCCTTGCAGTGGCTTGAATACAGGCTCGTCTTTCATCTCACAACATATAGGGATGTCTGAATCCCCTGTGGAGACCTTAGAGAAAGCCCTAGATCCCTTCCTCATTTTGACGGAATGCCTCACATCCCGCTGATACCTCGAGAGGCACGCGGAGTTCATTGCTTCAAAAGGTGACGATGCCTGACTCCTCTTGAATACTGATAGGAATCCCAAAATCCCTGTGGCTACTGGAAAGGGTCCTTGGGTGCCCTGCCTCACCTCGAGAAGCGTCCCTTTTGCCCTGCCAAGCCTCGAAGAGATTCCTGAGGTGTCCCTCGTTACTAGACAGGAGTCCTGACGTCACTGAAGAAACTCGTGTTTTGAAGGGCCATCCCCGCCGTAAGTCGAGAACATACCCCAGGTCCCCGCCGCAACTCGAGAAAAACCATGAGACTTCCCCCTAGAGGCGAGATGAGGCCCATTCCCCTGCAGTGCATGCAGAGCTATTCCGTGATCCCATTCAAACAAGTCAGGAGCTTCGACTTGCTTAATGGATCTCGAGACAGTCCCCAAGAACACTGTCACCAGTCTAGACGGACCCTGAGGTCACCCCAGCAACGCAAAGCAGCTCCATGTGCCCCAAATCAACTCGAGATGAGGCCCGATTCCCCTGCATTGACTCCAGAGCCATTCCCCGTTCCCCATTCAACACGACCGGTGGCTCGACTTCCTTCAGGCAACTCCAGAGATGCCCCGAGAACACTGTCCCAAGTCTAGAGGAACACCAACTTCAGCACAGCAACTCGAGGAATGCTCCGTGTACCCCAAATCGTCTCGAGATGAGAGCTGATTACCTGGCTTAGGCTCAAGACGCATGCCCACTTTCCAGAAGCACCACCGGAGGAGGCTTCTCTCAGCAATAGGTATGTGGGAGGGACCCCGAGTTTGCTGCCTCAAGGAGAATATACAGCGAGAAGCCCTAACTTGAAAGGAGGCCGGATTTCCTTGCAGTGGCTTGAATACAGGCTCGTGTTTCATTTCACAACATGAAGGGATGTCTGAATCCCTGTGGAGACCTTAGAGAAAGCCCTAGGACCCTGCCTCATTTTCACGGAATGCCTCACATCCCGTTGACACCTCGAGAGGCACGCGGAGTTCATTGCTTCAAAAGGTGACGATGCCTGACTCCTCTTGAATACTGATAGGAATCCCAAAATCCCTGTGGCTACTGGAAAGGGTCCTTGGGTGCCCTGGCTCACCTCGAGAAGCTTCCCTTTTGCCCTGCCAAGCCTCGAAGAGGTTCCTGACGTGTCCCTCGTTACTAGACAGGAGTCCTGACGTCACTGAAGAACCTCGTGTTTTGAAGGGCCATACCCGCCGTAAGTCGAGAACATACCCCAGGTCCCCGCCGCAACTCGAGAAAAACCATGAGACTTCCCCCTAGAGGCGAGATGAGGCCCCATTCCCCTGCAGTGCATGCAGAGCTATTCCGTGATCCCATTCAAACAAGTCAGGAGCTTCGACTTGCTTAATGGATCTCGAGACAGTCCCAACAATACTGTCACCAGTGTAGACGGACCCTGAGGTCACCCCAGCAACGCAAAGCAGCTCCATGTGCCGCAAATCAATTCGAGATGAGGCCCGATTCCCCTGCATTGACTCCAGAGCCATTCTCCGTTCCCCATTCAACACGACCGGTGGCTCGACTTCCTTCAGGCAACTCCAGAGATGCCCCGAGAACACTGTCCCAAGTCTAGAGGAATACCAACTTTAGCACAGCAATTCGATGAATGCTCCGTGTACCCCAAAACGTCTCGAGATGAGAGCTGATTCCCTGGCTTAGGCTCAAGACGTATGCCAACTTTCCAGAAGCACCTCAGGTGGAGGCTTCTCTCAGCATTAGGTATGTGGGAGGGACCCCGAGTATGCTGCCTCAAGGGGAATATACAGCGAGAAGCCCTAACTTGAAAGGAGGCCGGATTTCCTTGCAGTGGCTTGGATACAGGCTCGTGTCTCATCTCACAACATGAAGGGATGTATGAATCCCCAGTGGAGACCTTAGAGAAAGCCCTAGGTCCCTGCCTCATTTTGACGGAATGCCTCACATCCCGCTGACACCTCGAGAGGCACGCGGAGTTCATTGCTTCAAAAGGTGACGATGCCTGACTCCTCTTGAATACTGATAGGAATCCCAAAATCCCTGTGGCTACTGGAAAGGGTCCTTGGGTGCCCTGCCTCACCTCGAGAAGCGTCCCTTTTGCCCTGCCAAGCCTCGAAGAGATTCCTGAGGTGTCCCTCGTTACTAGACAGGAGTCCTGACGTCACTGAAGAAACTCGTGTTTTGAAGGGCCATGCCCGCCGTAAGTCGAGAACATACCCCAGGTCCCTGCCGCAACTCGAGAAAAACGATGAGACTTCTCCCTAGAGGCGAGATGAGGCCCCATTCCCCTGCAGTGCATGCAGAGCTATTCCGTGATCCCATTCAAACAAGTCAGGAGCTTCGACTTGCTTAATGGATCTCGAGACAGTCCCCAAGAACACTGTCACCAGTCTACACAGAACCTGAGGTCACACTAGCAACGCAAAGCAGCTCCATGTGCCCCAAATCAACTCGAGCTGAGGCCCGATTCCCCTGCATTGACTCCAGAGCCATTCCCCGTTCCCCATTCAACACGACCGGTGGCTCGACTTCCTTCAGGCAACTCCAGAGATGCCCCGAGAACACTGTCCCAGGTCTAGAGGAACACCAACTTCAGCACAGCAACTCGAGGAATGCTCCGTGTACCCCAAATCGTCTCGAGATGAGAGCTGATTCCCTGGCTTAGGCTCAAGACGTATGCCAACTTTCCAGAAGCACCTCAGGAGGAGGCTTCTCTCAGCAATAGGTATGTGGGAGGGACCCCGAGTTTGCTGCCTCAAGGGGAATATACAGCGAGAAGCCCTAACTTGAAAGGAGGCCGGATTTCCTTGCAGTGGCTTGAATACAGGCTCGTCTTTCATCTCACAACATATAGGGATGTCTGAATCCCCTGTGGAGACCTTAGAGAAAGCCCTAGATCCCTGCCTCATTTTGACGGAATGCCTCACATCCCGCTGATACCTCGAGAGGCACGCGGAGTTCATTGCTTCAAAAGGTGACGATGCCTGACTCCTCTTGAATACTGATAGGAATCCCAAAATCCCTGTGGCTACTGGAAAGGGTCCTTGGGTGCCCTGCCTCACCTCGAGAAGCGTCCCTTTTGCCCTGCCAAGCCTCGAAGAGATTCCTGAGGTGTCCCTCGTTACTAGACAGGAGTCCTGACGTCACTGAAGAAACTCGTGTTTTGAAGGGCCATCCCCGCCGTAAGTCGAGAACATACCCCAGGTCCCCGCCGCAACTCGAGAAAAACCATGAGACTTCCCCCTAGAGGCGAGATGAGGCCCCATTCCCCTGCAGTTCATGCAGAGCTATTCCATGATCCAATTCAAGCAAGTCAGGAGCTTCGACTTGCTTAATGGATCTCGAGACAGTCCCCAAGAACACTGTCACCAGTCTAGACGGACCCTGAGGTCACCCCAGCAATGCAAAGCAGCTCCATGTGCCCCAAATCAACTCGAGATGAGGCCCGATTCCCCTGCATTGACTCCAGAGCCATTCCCCGTTCCCCATTCAACACGACCGGTGGCTCGACTTCCTTCAGGCAACTCCAGAGATGCCCCGAGAACACTGTCCCAAGTCTAGAGGAACACCAACTTCAGCACAGCAACTCGAGGAATGCTCCGTGTACCCCAAATCGTCTCGAGATGAGAGCTGATTCCTGGCTTAGGCTCAAGACGTATGCCAACTTTCCAGAAGCACCTCAGGAGGAGGATTCTCTCAGCACAAGGTATGTGGGAGGGACCCCGAGTTTGTTGCCTCAAGAGGAATATACAGCGAGAAGCCCTAACTTGAAAGGAGGCCGGATTTCCTTGCAGTGGCTTGAATACAGGCTCGTCTTTCATCTCACAACATGAAGGGATGTCTGAATCCCCTGTGGAGACCTTAGAGAAAGCCCTAGGTCTCTGCCTCATTTTGACGGAATGCCTCACATCCCGCTGACACCTCGAGAGGCACGCGGAGTTCATTGCTTCAAAAGGTGACGATGCCTGACTCCTCTTGAATACTGATAGGAATCCCAAAATCCCTGTGCCTACTGGAAAGCGTCCTTGCGTGCCCTGCCTCACCTCGAGAAGCGTCCCTTTTGCCCTGCCAAGCCTCGAAGAGATTCCTGAGGTGTCCCTCGTTACTAGACAGGAGTCCTGACGTCACTGAAGAAACTCGTGTTTTGAAGGGTCATCCCCGCCTTAAGTCAAGAACATACCCCAGGTCCCCGCCGCAACTCGAGAAAAACCATGAGACTTCCCCCTAGAGGCGAGATGAGGCCCCATTTCCCTGCAGTGCACGCAGAGCTATTCCATGATCCAATTCAAGCAAGTCAGGAGTTTCGACTTGCTTAATGGATCTCGAGACAGTCCCCAAGAACACTGTCACCAGTCTAGACGGACCCTGATGTCACCCCAGCAATGCAAAGCAGCTCCATGTGCCCGTTATCAACTCGAGATGAGGCCCGAATCCCCTGCATTGACTCCAGAGCCATTCCCCGTTCCCCATTCAACACGACCGGTGGCTCGACTTCCTTCATGCAACTACAGAGATGCCCCGAGAACACTGTCCCAAGTCTAGAGGAACACCAACTTCAGCACAGCAACTCGAGCAATGCTGCATGTACCCCAAATCGTCTTGAGATGAGAGCTGATTCCCTGGCTTAGGCTCAAGACGCATGCCAACTTTCCAGAAGCACCACAGGAGGAGGCTTCTCTCAGCAATAGGTATGTGGGAGGGACCCCGAGTTTGCTGCCTCAAGGGGAATATACAGCGAGAAGCCCTAACTTGAAAGGAGGCCGGATTTCCTTGCAGTGGCTTGAATACAGGCTCGTGTTTCATTTCACAACATGAAGGGATGTCTGAATCCCCTGTGGAGACCTTAGAGAAAGCCCTAGGTCCCTGCCTCATTTTGACGGAATGCCTCACATCCCGCTGACACCTCGAGAGGCACGCGGAGTTCATTGCTTCAAAAGGTGACGATGCCTGACTCCTCTTGAATAATGATAGGAATCCCAAAATCCCTGTGGCTACTGGAAAGGGTCCTTGGGTGCCCTGCCTCACCTCGAGAAGCGTCCCTTTTGCCCTGCCAAGCCTCGAAGAGATTCCTGAGGTGTCCCTCGTTACTAGACAGGAGTCCTGACGTCACTGAAGAAACTCGTGTTTTGAAGGGCCATCCCCGCCGTAAGTCGAGAACATACACCAGGTCCCCGCCGCAACTCGAGAAAAACCATGAGACTTCCCCCTAGAGGCGAGATGAGGCCCCATTCCCCTGCAGTTCATGCAGAGCTATTCCATGATCCAATTCAAGCAAGTCAGGAGCTTCGACTTGCTTAATGGATCTCGAGACAGTCCCCAAGAACACTGTCACCAGTCTAGACGGACCCTGAGGTCACCCCAGCAATGCAAAGCAGCTCCATGTGCCCCAAATCAACTCGAGATGAGGCCCGATTCCCCTGCATTGACTCCAGAGCCATTCCCCGTTCCCCATTCAACACGACCGGTGGCTCGACTTCCTTCAGGCAACTCCAGAGATGCCCCGAGAACACTGTCCCAAGTCTAGAGGAACACCAACTTCAGCACAGCAACTCGAGGAATGCTCCGTGTACCCCAAATCGTCTCGAGATGAGAGCTGATTGCCTGGCTTAGGCTCAAGACGCATGCCCACTTTCCAGAAGCACCACCGGAGGAGGCTTCTCTCAGCAATAGGTATGTGGGAGGGACCCCGAGTTTGCTGCCTCAAGGAGAATATACAGCGAGAAGCCCTAACTTGAAAGGAGGCCGGATTTCCTTGCAGTGGCTTGAATACAGGCTCGTGTTTCATTTCACAACATGAAGGGATGTCTGAATCCCTGTGGAGACCTTAGAGAAAGCCCTAGGGCCCTGCCTCATTTTCACGGAATGCCTCACATCCCGTTGACACCTCGAGAGGCACGCGGAGTTCATTTCTTCAAAAGGTGACGATGCCTGACTCCTCTTGAATACTGATAGGAATCCCAAAATCCCTGTGGCTGCTGGAAAGGGTCCTTGGGTGCCCTGGCTCACCTCGAGAAGCTTCCCTTTTGCCCTGCCAAGCCTCGAAGAGGTTCCTGACGTGTCCATCGTTACTAGACAGGAGTCCTGACGTCACTGAAGAACCTCGTGTTTTGAAGGGCCATCCCCGCCGTAAGTCAAGAACATACCCCAGGTCCCCGCCGCAACTCGAGAAAAACCATGAGACTTCCCCCTAGAGGCGAGATGAGGCCCCATTCCCCTGCAGTGCATGCAGAGCTATTCCGTGATCCCATTCAAGCAAGTCAGGAGCTTCGACTTGCTTAATGGATCTTGAGACAGGCCCAAGAATACTGTCACCAGTCTAGACGGACCCTGAGGTCACCCCAGCAACGCAAAGCAGCTCCATGTGCCCCAAATCAAATCGAGATGAGGCCCGATTCCCCTGCATTGACTCCAGAGCCATTCCCCGTTCCCCATTCAACACGACCGGTGGCTCGACTTCCTTCAGGCAACTCCAGAGATGCCCCGAGAACACTGTCCCTAGTCAAGAGGAACACCAACTTCAGCACAGCAACTCGATGAATGCTCCATGTACCCCAAATCGTCTCGAGATGAGAGCTGTTTCCCTGGCTTAGGCTCAAGACGTATGCCAACTTTTCAGAAGCACCTCAGGAGGAGGCTTCTCTCAGCAATAGGTATGTGCGAGGGACCCCGAGTATGCTGCCTCAAGGGGAATATACAGAGAGAAGCACTAGCTTGAAAGGAGGCCGGATTTCCTTGCAGTGGCTTGGATACAGGCTCGTGTTTCATCTCACAACATGAAGGGATGTCTGAATCCCCAGTGGAGACCTTAGAGAAAGCCCTAGGTCCCTGCCTCATTTTGACGGAATGCCTCACATCCCGCTGACACCTCGAGAGGTACGCGGAGTTCATTGCTTCAAAAGGTGACGATGCCTGACTCCTCTTGAATACTGATAGGAATACCAAAATCCCTGTGGCTACTGGAAAGGGTCCTTGGGTGCCTTGCCTCACCTCGAGAAGCGTCCCTTTTGCCCTGCCAAGCCTCGAAGAGATTCCTGAGGTGTCCCTCGTTACTAGACAGGAGTCCTGACGTCACTGAAGAAACTCGTGTTTTGAAGGGCCATGCCCGCCGTAAGTCGAGAACATACCCCAGTTCCCTGCCGCAACTCGAGAAAAACGATGAGACTTCTCCCTAGAGTCGAGATGAGGCCCCATTCCCCTGCAGTGCATGCAGAGCTATTCCGTGATCCCATTCAAACAAGTCAGGAGCTTCGACTTGCTTAATGGATCTCGAGACAGTCCGCAAGAACACTGTCATCAGTCTAGACGGACCCTGAGGTCACCCCAGCAACGCAAAGCAGCTCCATGTGCCTCAAATCAACTCGAGATGAGGCCCGATTCCCCTGCTTTGACTCCAGAGCCATTCCCCGTTCCCCATTCAACACGATCGGTGGCTCGACTTCCTTCAGGAAACTCCAGAGAAGCCCCGAGAACACTGTCCCAAGTCTAGAGGAACACCAACTTCAGCACAGCAACTCGAGGAATGCTCCGTGTACCCCAAATCGTCTCGAGATGAGAGCTGATTGCCTGGCTTAGGCTCAAGAGGCATGCCCACTTTCCAGAAGCACCACCAGAGGAGGCTTCTCTCAGCAATAGGTATGTGGGAGGGACCCCGAGTTTGCTGCCTCAAGGAGAATATACAGCGAGAAGCCCTAACTTGAAAGGAGGCCGGATTTCCTTGCAGTGGCTTGAATACAGGCTCGTGTTTCATTTCACAACATGAAGGGATGTCTGAATCCCTGTGGAGACCTTAGAGAAAGCCCTAGGGCCCTGCCTCATTTTCACGGAATGCCTCACATCCCGTTGACACCTCGAGAGGCACGCGGAGTTCATTGCTTCAAAAGGTGACGATGCCTGACTCCTCTTGAATACTGATAGGAATCCCAAAATCGCTGTGGCAACTGGAAAGGGTCCTTGGGTGCCCTGCCTCACCTCGAGAAGCTTCCCTTTTGCCCTGCCAAGCCTCGAAGAGGTTCCTGACGTGTCCCTCGTTACTAGACAGGAGTCCTCACGTCACTGAAGAACCTCGTGTTTTGAAGGGCCATACCCGCCGTAAGTCGAGAACATACCCCAGGTCCCCGCCGCAACTCGAGAAAAACCATGAGACTTCCCCCTAGAGGCGAGATGAGGCCCCATTCCCCTGCAGTGCATGCAGAGCTATTCCGTGATCCCTTTCAAACAAGTCAGGAGCTTCGACTTGCTTAATGGATCTCGAGACAGTCCCAACAATACTGTCACCAGTGTAGACAGACCCTGAGGTCACCCCAGCAACGCAAAGCAGCTCCATGTGCCGCAAATCAACTCGAGATGAGGCCCGATTCCCCTGCATTGACTCCAGAGCCATTCTCCGTTCCCCATTCAACACGACCGGTGGCTCGACTTCCTTCAGGCAACTCCAGAGATGCCCCGAGAACACTGTCCCAAGTCTAGAGGAACACCAACTTCAGCACAGCAACTCGATGAATGCTCCGTGTACCCCAAAACGTCTCGAGATGAGAGCTGATTCCCTGGCTTAGGCTCAAGACGTATGCCAACTTTCCAGAAGCACCTCAGGAGGAGGCTTCTCTCAGCAATAGGTATGTGGGAGGGACCCCGAGTTTGCTGCCTCAAGGGGAATATACAGCGAGAAGCCCTAACTTGAAAGGAGGCCGGATTTCCTTGCAGTGGCTTGGATACAGGCTCGTGTTTCATCTCACAACATGAAGGGATGTCTGAATCCCCAGTGGAGACCTTAGAGAAAGCCCTAGGTCCCTGTCTCATTTTGACGGAATGCCTCACATCCCGCTGACACCTCGAGAGGCACGCGGAGTTCATTGCTTCAAAAGGTGACGATGCCTGACTCCTCTTGAATACTGATAGGAATCCCAAAATCCCTGTGGCTATTGGAAAGGGTCCTTGGGTGCCTTGCCTCACCTCGAGAAGCGTCCCTTTTGCCCTGCCAAGCCTCGAAGAGATTCCTGAGGTGTCCCTCGTTACTAGACAGGAGTCCTGACGTCACTGAAGAAACTCGTGTTTTGAAGGGCCATGCCCGCCGTAAGTCGAGAACATACCCCAGGTCCCTGCCGCAACTCGAGAAAAACGATGAGACTTCCCCCTAGAGGCGAGATGAGGCCCCATTCCCCGGCAGTGCATGCAGAGCTCTTCCGTGATCCCATTCAAACAAGTCAGGAGCTTCGACTTGCTTAATGGATCTCGAGACAGTCCGCAAGAACACTGTCATCAGTCTAGACGGACCCTGAGGTCACCCCAGCAACGCAAAGCAGCTCCATGTGCCCCAAATCAACTCGAGATGAGGCCCGATTCCCCTGCATTGACTCCAGAGCCATTCCCCGTTCCCCATTCAACACGACCGGTGGCTCGACTTCCTTCAGGAAACTCCAGAGAAGCCCCGAGAACACTGTCCCAAGTCTAGAGGAACACCAACTTCAGCACAGCAACTCGAGGAATGCTCCGTGTACCCCAAATCGTCTCGAGATGCGAGCTGATTCCCTGGCTTAGGCTCAAGACGTATGCCTACTTTCCAGAAGCACCTCAGGAGGAGGCTTCTCTCAGCAATAGGTATGTGGGAGGGACCCCGAGTTTGCTGCCTCAAGGGGAATATACAACGAGAAGCCCTAACTTGAAAGGAGGCCGGATTTCCTTGCAGTGACTTGAATACAGGCTCGTGTTTCATCTCACAACATGAAGCGATGTCTGAATCCCCTGTGGAGACCTTAGAGAAAGCCCTAGGTCCCTGCCTCATTTTGACGGAATGCCTCACATCCCGCTGACACCTCGAGAGGCAGGCAGAGTTCATTGCTTCAAAAGGTGACGATGCCTGACTCCTCTTGAAAACTGATAGGATTCCCAAAATCCCTGTGGCTACTGGAAACGGTCCTTGGGTGCCCTGCTTCACCTCGAGAAGCGTCCCTTTTGCCCTGCCAAGCATCGAAGAGATTCCTGAGGTGTCCCTCGTTACTAGACAGGAGTCCTGACGTCACTGAAGAACCTCGTGTTTTGAAGGGCCATCCCCGCCGTAAGTCAAGAACATACCCCAGGTCCCCGCCGCAACTCGAGAAAAACCATGAGACTTCCCCATAGAGGCGAGATGAGGCCCCATTCAACTGCAGTGCATGCAGAGCTATTCCGTGATCCCATTCAAGCAAGTCAGGAGCTTCGACTTGCTTAATGGATCTTGAGACAGGCCCAAGAATACTGTCACCAGTCTAGACGGACCCTGAGGTCACCCCAGCAACGCAAAGCAGCTCCATGTGCCCCAAATCAAATCGAGATGAGGCCCGATTCCCCTGCATTGACTCCAGAGCCATTCCCCGTTCCCCATTCAACACGACCGGTGGCTCGACTTCCTTCAGGCAACTCCAGAGATGCCCCGAGAACACTGTCCCAAGTCAAGAGGAACAACAACTTCAGCACAGCAACTCGATGAATGCTCCGTGTACCCCAAATCGTCTCGAGATGCGAGCTGTTTCCCTGGCTTAGGCTCAAGACGTATGCCAACTTTCCAGAAGCACCTCAGGAGGAGGCTTCTCTCAGCAATAGGTATGTGCGAGGGACCCCGAGTATGCTGCCTCAAGGGGAATATACAGAGAGAAGCACTAGCTTGAAAGGAGGCCGGATTTCCTTGCAGTGGCTTGGATACAGGCTCGTGTTTCATCTCACAACATGAAGGGATGTCTGAATCCCCAGTGGAGACCTTAGAGAAAGCCCTAGGTCCCTGCCTCACTTTGACGGAATGCCTAACATCCCGCTGACACCTCGAGAGGCACGCGGAGTTCATTGCTTCAAAAGGTGACGATGCCTGACTCCTCTTGAATACTGATAGGAATCCCAAAATCCCTGTGGCTACTGGAAAGGGTCCTTGGGTGCCTTGCCTCACCTCGAGAAGCGTCCCTTTTGCCCTGCCAAGCCTCGAAGAGATTCCTGAGGTGTCCCTCGTTACTAGACAGGAGTCCTGACGTCACTGAAGAAACTCGTGTTTTGAAGGGCCATGCCCGCCTTAAGTCGAGAACATACCCCAGGTCCCTGCCGCAACTCGAGAAAAACGATGAGACTTCTCCCTAGAGGCGAGATGAGGCCCCATTCCCCTGCAGTGCATGCAGAGCTATTCCGTGATCCCATTCAAACAAGTCAGGAGCTTCGACTTGCTTAATGGATCTCGAGACAGTCCGCAAGAACACTGTCATCAGTCTAGACGGACCCTGAGGTCACCCCAGCAACGCAAAGCAGCTCCATGTGCCTCAAATCAACTCGAGATGAGGCCCGATTCCCCTGCTTTGACTCCAGAGCCATTCCCCGTTCCCCATTCAACACGATCGGTGGCTCGACTTCCTTCAGGAAACTCCAGAGAAGCCCCGAGAACACTGTCCCAAGTCTAGAGGAACACCAACTTCAGCACAGCAACTCGAGGAATGCTCCGTGTACCCCAAATCGTCTCGAGATGAGAGCTGATTCCCTGGCTTAGGCTCAAGACGTATGCCTACTTTCCAGAAGCACCTCAGGAGGAGACTTCTCTCAGCAATAGGTATGTGGGAGGGACCCCGAGTTTGCTGCCTCAAGGGGAATATACAACGAGAAGCCCTAACTTGAAAGGAGGCCGGATTTCCTTGCAGTGACTTGAATACAGGCTCGTGTTTCATCTCACAACATGAAGCGATGTCTGAATCCCCTGTGGAGACCTTAGAGAAAGCCCTAGGTCCCTGCCTCATTTTGACGGAATGCCTCACATCCCGCTGACACCTCGAGAGGCAGGCGGAGTTCATTGCTTCAAAAGGTGACGATGCCTGACTCCTCTTGAAAACTGAGAGGATTCCCAAAATCCCTGTGGCTACTGTAAATGGTCCTTGGGTGCCCTTCTTCACCTCGAGAAGCGTCCCTTTTGCCCTGCCAAGCATCGAAGAGATTCCTGAGGTGTCCCTCGTTACTAGACAGGAGTCCTGACGTCACTGAAGAACCTCGTGTTTTGAAGGGCCATCCCCGCCGTAAGTCAAGAACATACCCCAGGTCCCCGCCGCAACTCGAGAAAAACCATGAGATTTCCCCATAGAGGCGAGATGAGGCCCCATTCCCCTGCAGTGCATGCAGAGCTATTCCGTGATCCCATTCAAGCAAGTCAGGAGCTTCGACTTGCTTAATGGATCTTGAGACAGGCCCAAGAATACTGTCACCAGTCTAGACGGACCCTGAGGTCACCCCAGCAACGCAAAGCAGCTCCATGTGCCCCAAATCAAATCGAGATGAGTCCCGATTCCCCTGCATTGACTCCAGAGCCATTCCCCGTTCCCCATTCAACACGACTGGTGGCTCGACTTCCTTCAGGCAACTCCAGAGATGCCCCGAGAACACTGTCCCAAGTCAAGAGGAACACCAACTTCAGCACAGCAACTCGATGAATGCTCCGTGTACCCCAAATCGTCTCGAGATGAGAGCTGTTTCCCTGGCTTAGGCTCAAGACGTATGCCAACTTTCCAGAAGCACCTCAGGAGGAGGCTTCTCTCAGCAATAGGTATGTGCGAGGGACCCCGAGTATGCTGCCTCAAGGGGAATATACAGAGAGAAGCACTAGCTTGAAAGGAGGCCGGATTTCCTTGCAGTGGCTTGAATACAGGCTCGTGATTCATCTCACAACATGAATGGATGTCTGAATCCACTGTGGAGACCTTAGAGAAAGCCCTAGGTCCCTGCCTCATTTTGACGGAATGCCTCACATCCCGCTGATACCTCGAGAGGCACGCGTAGTACATTGCTTCAAAAGGTGATGATGCCTGACTCATCTTGAATACTGATAGGAATACGAAAATCCCTGTGGCTACTGGAAAGGGTCCTTGGGTGCCCTGACTCACTTCGAGAAGCGTCCCTTTTGCCCTGCCAAGCCTCGAAGAGATTCCCTAAGTGGCCCTCGTTACTAGACAGGAGTCCTGACGTCACTGAAGAAACTCGTGTTTTGAAGGGCCATCCCCGCCGTAAGTCAAGAACATACCCCAGGTCCCGGCCGCAACTCGAGAAAAACCATGAGACTTCCCCATAGAGGCGAGATGAGGCCCCATTCCCCTGCAGTGCATGCAGAGCTATTCCGTGATCCCATTCAAACAAGTCAGGAGCGTCGACTTGCTTAATGGATCTCGAGACAGTCCCAAGAATACTGTCAATAGTGTAGACGGACCCTGAGGTCACCCCAGCAACGCAAAGCAGCTCCATGTGCCCCAAATCAAATCGAGATGAGGCCCGATTCCCCTGCATTGACTCCAGAGCCATTCCCCGTTCCCCATTCAACACGACCGGTGGCTCGACTTCCTTCAGGCACCTACAGAGATGCCCCGAGAACACTGTCCCAAGTCTAGAGGAACACCAACTTCAGCACAGAAACTCGAGGAATGCTCCGTGTACCCCAAATCATCTCGAGATGAGAGCTGATTCCCTGGCTTAGGCTCAAGACGTATGCCAACTTTCCAGAAGCACCTCAGGAGGAGGCTTCTCTCAGCAATAGGTATGTGGGAGGGACCCCGAGTATGCTGCCTCAAGGGGAATATACAGCGAGAAGCCCTAGCTTGAAAGGAGGCCGGATTTCCTTGCAGTGACTTGAATACAGGCTCGTGTTTCATCTCACAACATGAAGGGATGTCTGAATCCACTGTGGAGACCTTAGAGAAAGCTCTAGGTCCCTGCCTCATTTTGACGGAATGCCTCACATCCCGCTGACACCTCGAGAGGCACGCGTAGTTCATTGCTTCAAAAGGTGACGATGCCTGACTCATCTTGAATACTGATAGGAATCCGAAAATCCCTGTGGCTACTGGAAAGGGTCCTTGGGTGCCCTGCCTCACCTCGAGAAGCGTCCCTTTTGCCCTGCCAAGCCTCAAAGTGATTCCTGAAGTGTCCCTTGTTACTTGACAGGAGTCCTGATGTCACTGAAGAAACTCGTGTTTTGAAGGGCCATACCCGCCGTAAGTCGACAACATACTCCAGGTCCCCGCCGCAACTCGAGAAAAACCATGAGACTTCCCCCTAGAGGCGAGATGAGGCCCCATTCCCCTGCAGTGCATGCAGAGCTATTCCGTGATCCCATTCAAGCAAGTCAGGAGCTTCGACTTGCTTAATGGATCTCGAGACAGTCCGCAAGAACACTGTCACCAGTCTAGACGGACCCTGAGGTCACCCCAGCAACGCAAAGCAGCTCCATGTGCCTCAAATCAACTCAAGATGAGGCCCGATTCCCCTGCATTGACTCCAGAGCCATTCCCCGTTCCCCATTCAACACGATCGGTGGCTCGACTTCCTTCAGGAAACTCCAGAGAAGCCCCGAGAACACTGTCCCAAGTCTAGAGGAACACCAACTTCAGCACAGCAACTCGAGGAATGCTCCGTGTACCCCAAATCGTCTCGAGATGAGAGCTGATTCCCTGGCTTAGGCTCAAGACGTATGCCTACTTTCCAGAAGCACCTCAGGAGGAGGCTTCTCTCAGCAATAGGTATGTGGGAGGGACCCCGAGTTTGCTGCCTCAAGGGGAATATACAGCGAGAACCCCTAACTTGAAAGGAGGCCGGATTTCCTTGCAGTGGCTTGAATACAGGCTCGTCTTTCATCTCAAAACATGAAGGGATGTCTGAATCCCCTGTGGAGACCTTAGAGAAAGCCCTAGGTCCCTGCCTCATTTTGACGGAATGCCTCACATCCCTCTGACACCTCGAGAGGCACGCGGAGTTCATTGCTTCAAAAGGTGACGATGCCTGACTCCTCTTGAATACTGATAGGAATCCCAAAATCCCTGTGGCTACTGGAAAGGGTCCTTGGGTGCCCTGCCTCACCTCGAGAAGCGTCCCTTTGGCCCTGCCAAGCCTCGAAGAGATTCCTGAGGTGTCCCTCGTTCCTAGACAGGATTCCTGACGTCACTGAAGAAACTCGTGTTTTGAAGGGCCATCCCCGCCGTAAGTCAAGAACATACCCCAGGTCCCCGCCGCAACTCGAGAAAACCCATGAGACTTCCCCATAGAGGCGAGATGAGGCCCCATTCCACTGCAGTCCATGCAGAGCTATTCCGTGATCCCATTCAAACAAGTCAGGAGCTTCGACTTGCTTAATGGATCTCGAGACAGTCCCCAAGAACACTGTCACCAGTCTACACAGAACCTGAGGTCACACTAGCAACGCAAAGCAGCTCCATGTGGCCCAAATCAACTCGAGATGAGGCCCAAATCTCCTGCCTTGACTCCACAGCCATTCCCCGTTCCCCATTCAACAAGACCGGTGGCTTGACTTCCTTCAGGCAACTCCAGAGATGCCCCGAGAACAGTGTCCCAAGTCTAGAGGAACACCAACTTCAGCACAGCAACTCGAGGAATGCTCCATGTACCCCAAATCGTCTCGAGATGAGAGCTGATTCCCTGGCTTAGGCTCAAGACGTATGCCAACTTTCCAGAAGCAACTCAGGAGGATTATTCTCTCAACAAAAGGTATGTGGGAGGGACCACGAGTTTGCTGCCTCAAGGGGAATATACAGCGAGAAGCCCTAACTTGAAAGGAGGCCGGATTTCTTTGCAGTGGCTTGAATACAGGCTCGTCTTTCATCTCACAACATGAAGGGATGTCTGAATCCCCTGTGGAGACCTTAGAGAAAGCCCTAGTTCCCTGCCTCATTTTGACGGAATGCCTCACATCCCGCTGACACCCCGAGAGGCACGCGGAGTTCATTGCTTCAAAAGGTGACGATGCCTGACTCCTCTTGAATACTGATAGGAATCCCAAAATCCCTGTGGCTACTGGAAAGGGTCCTTGGGTGCCCTGCCTCACCTCGAGAAGCGTCCCTTTTGCCCTGCCAAGCCTAGAAGAGATTCCTGAGGTGTCCCTCGTTACTAGACAGGAGTCCTGACGTCACTGAAGAAACTCGTGTTTTGAAGGGCCATCCCCGCCGTAAGTCAAGAACATACCCCAGGTCCCCGCCGCAACTCGAGAAAAACCATGAGACTTCCCCATAGAGGCGAGATGAGGCCCCATTCCCCTGCAGTGCATGCAGAGCTATTCCGTGATCCCATTTAAACAAGTCAGGAGCTTCGACTTGCTTAATGGATCTCGAGACAGTCCCCAAGAACACTGTCACCAGTCTAGACGGACCCTGAGGTCACCCCAGCAACGCAAAGCAGCTCCATGTGCCCCAAATCAACTCGAGATGAGGCCCGATTCCCTTGCATTGACTCCAGAGCCATTCCCCGTTCCCCATTCAACACGACCGGTGGCTCGACTTCCTTCAGGCAACTCCAGAGATGCCCCAAGAACACTGTCCCAAGTCTAGAGGAACACCAACTTCAGCACAGCAACTTGAGGAATACTCCGTGTACCCCAAATCATCTCGAGATGGGAGCTGATTCCCTGGCTTAGGCTCAAGACGTATGCCAACTTTCCTGAAGCCCCTGAGGAGGAGGATTCTCTCAGAAATAGGTATGTGGGAGGGACCCCGAGTTTGCTGCCTCAATGGGAATATAGAGCGAGAAGCCCTAACTTGAAAGGAGGCCGGATTTCCTTGCAGTGGCTTGACTACAGGCTCGTCTTTCATCTCACAACATGAAGGGATGTCGAAATCCCCTTTGGAGACCTTAGAGAAAGCCCTAGGTCCCTGCCTCATTTTGACGGAAGTCCTCACATCCCGCTGACACCTCGAGAGGCACGCGGAGTTCATTTCTTCAAAAGGTGACGATGCCTGACTCCTCTTGAATACTGATAGGAATCCCAAAATCCCTGTGGCTACTGGAAAGGGTCCTTGGGTGCCCTGCCTCACCTCGAGAAGCGTCCCTTTTGCCCTTCCAAGCCTCGAAGAGATTGCTAAGGTGTCCCTCGTTGCTAGACAGGAGTTCTGACGTCACTGAAGAAACTCGTGTTTTGAAGGGCCATCCCCGCCGTAAGTCGAGAACATACCCCAGGTCCCTGCCGCAACTCGAGAAAAACCATGAGACTTCCCCCTAGAGGCAAGATGAGGCCCCATTCCCCTGCAGTGCATGCAGAGCTATTCCGTGATCCCATTCAAACAAGTCAGGAGCTTCGACTTGCTTAATGGATCTCGAGACAGTCCGCAAGAACACTGTCACCAGTCTAGACGGACCCTGAGGTCACCCCAGCAACGCAAAGCAGCTCCATGTCCCTCAAATCAACACGAGATGAGGCCCGATTCCCCTGCATTGACTCCAGAGCCATTCCCCGTTCCCCATTCAACACGACCGGTGGCTCGACTTCCTTCAGGAAACTCCAGAGAAGCCCCGAGATCACTGTCCCAAGTCTAGAGGAACACCAACTTCAGCACAGCAACTCGGGGAATGCTCCGTGTACCCCAAATCGTCTCGAGATGAGAGCTGATTCCCTGGCTTAGGCTCAAGACGCATGCCAACTTTCCAGAAGCACCACAGGAGTAGGCTTCTCTTAGCAATAGGTATGTGGGAGGGACCCCGAGTTTGCTGCCTCAAGGGGAATATACAGCGAGAAGACCTAACTTGAAAGGAGGCCGGATTTCCTTGCAGTGGCTTGAATACAGGCTCGTGTTTCATTTCACAACATGAAGGGATGTCTGAATCCCCTGTGGAGACCTTAGAGAAAGCCCTAGGTCCCTGCCTCATTTTGACGGAATGCCTCACATCCCGTTGACACCTCGAGAGGCACACGGAGTTCATTGCTTCAAAAGTTGACGATGCCTGACTACTCTTGAATACTGATAGGAACCCCAAAATCCCTGTGGCTTCTGGAAAGGGCCCTTGGGTGCCCTGCCTCACCTCGAGAAGCGTCCCTTTTGCCCTGACAAGCCTCAAAGTGATTCCTGAAGTGTCCCTCGTTACTTGACAGGAGTCCTGATGTCACTGAAGAAACTCGTGTTTTGAAGGGCCATCACCGCCGAAAGTCGAGAACATACACCAGGTCCCCGCCGCAACTCGAGAAAAACCATGAGACTTCCCTCTAGAGGCGAGATGAGGCCCCATTCCCCTGCAGTGCATGCAGAGCTATTCCGTGATCCCATTCAAACAAGTCAGGAGCTTCGACTTGCTTAATGGATCTCGAGACAGTCCCCAAGAACACTGTCACCAGTCTAGACGGACCCTGAGGTCACCCCAGCAACGCAAAGCAGCTCCATGTGCCCCAAATCAACTCGAGATGAGGCCCGATTCCCCTGCATTGACTCCAGAGCCATTCCCCGTTCCCCATTCAACACGATCGGTGGCTCGACTTCCTTCAGACAACTCCAGAGATGCCCCGGAACACTGTACCAGGTCTAGAGGAACACCAACTTCAGCACAGCAACTCGAGGAATGCTCCGTGTACCCCAAATCGTTTCGAGATGAGAGCTGATTCCCTGGCTTAGGATCAAGACGCATGCCAACTTTCCAGAAGCACCTCAGGAGGAGGCTTCTCTCAGCAATAGGTATGTGGGAGGGACCACGAGTATGCTGCCTCAAGGGGAATATACAGCGAGAAGCCCTAACAAGAAAGGAGGCCGGATTTCCTTGCAGTGGCTTGAATACAGGCTCGTCTTTCATCTCACAACATGAAGGGATGTCTGAATCCCTGTGGAGACCTTAGAGAAAGCCCTAGGACCCTGCCTCATTTTCACGGAATGCCTCACATCACGCTGACACCTCGAGAGGCACGCGGAGTTCATTGCTTCAAAAGGTGACGATGCCTGACTCCTCTTGAATAATGATAGGAATCCCAAAATCGCTGTGGCTACTGGAAAGGGTCCTTGGGTGCCCTGCCTCACTTCGAGAAGCGTCCCTTTTGCCCTGCCAAGCCTCGAAGAGATTCCTGAGGTGTCCTTCGTTACTAGACAGGAGTCCTGACGTCACTGAAGAAACTCGTGTTTTGAAGGGCCATCCCCGCCGTAAGTCGTGAACATACCCCAGGTCCCCGCCGCAACTCGAGAAAAACCATGAGACTTCCCCCTAGAGGCGAGATGAGGCCCCATTTCCCTGCAGTGCACGCAGAGCTATTCCATGATCCAATTCAAGCAAGTCAGGAGGTTCGACTTGCTTATTGGATCTCGAGACAGTCCCCAAGAACACTGTCACCAGTCTAGACGGACCCTGATGTCACCCCAGCAATGCAAAGCAGCTCCATGTGCCCGAAATCAACTCGAGATGAGGCCCGATTCCCCTGCATTGACTCCAATGCCATTCCCCGTTCCCATTCAACACGACCGGTGGCTCGACTTCCTTCAGGCAACTCCAGAGATGCCCCGAGAACACTGTCCCAAGTCTAGAGGAACACCAACTTCAGCACAGCAACTCGAGCAATGCTCCATGTACCCCAAATCGTCTTGAGATGAGAGCTGATTCCCTGGCTTAGGCTCAAGACGCATGCCAACTTTCCAGAAGCACCACAGGAGGAGGCTTCTCTCAGCAATAGTTATGTGGGAGGGACCCCGAGTTTGCTGCCTCAAGGAGAATATACAGCGAGAAGCCCTAACTTGAACGGAGGCCGGATTTCCTTGCAGTGGCTTGAATACAGGCTCGTGTTTCATTTCACAACATGAAGGGATGTCTGAATCCCCTGTGGAGACCTTAGAGAAAGCCCTAGGTCCCAGCCTCATTTTGACGGAATGCCTCACATCCCGTTGACACCTCGAGAGGCACGCGGAGTTCATTGCTTCAAAAGGTGACGATGTCTGACTCCTCTTGAATAATGATAGGAATCCCAAAATACCTGTGGCTACTGGAAAGGGTCCTTGGGTGCCCTGGCTCACCTCGAGAAGCTTCCCTTTTCCCTGCCAAGCCTCGAAGAGATTCCTGAGGTGTCCCTCGGTACTAGACAGGAGTCCTGACGTCACTGAAGAACCTCGTGTTTTGAAGGGCCATACCCGCCGTAAGTCGAGAACATACACCAGGTCCCCGCCGCAACTCGAGAAAAACCATGAGACTTCCCCCTAGAGGCGAGATGAGACCCATTCCCCTGCAGTGCATGCAGAGCTATTCCGTGATCCCATTCAAACAAGTCAGGAGCTTCGACTTGCTTAATGGATCTCGAGACAGTCCCCAAGAACACTGTCACAACTCTAGACGGACCCTGAGGTCACCCCAGCAATGCAAAGCAGCTCCATGTGCCCCAAATCAACTCGAGATGAGGCCCGATTCCCCTGCATTGACTCCAGAGCCATTCCCCGTTCCCCATTCAACACGACCGGTGGCTCGACTTCCTTCAGGCAACTCCAGAGATGCCCCGAGAACACTGTCCCAGGTCTAGAGGAACACCAACTTCAGCACAGCAACTCGAGGAATGCTCCGTGTACCCCAAATCGTCTCGAGATGAGAGCTGATTCCCTGGCTTAGGCTCAAGACGTATGCCAACTTTCCAGAAGCACCTCAGGAGGAGGCTTCTCTCAGCAATAGGTATGTGGGAGGGACCCCGAGTTTGCTGCCTCAAGGGGAATATACAGCGAGAAGCCCTAACTTGAAAGGAGGCCGGATTTCCTTGCAGTGGCTTGAATACAGGCTCGTCTTTCATCTCACAACATATAGGGATGTCTGAATCCCCTGTGGAGACCTTAGAGAAAGCCCTAGATCCCTGCCTCATTTTGACGGAATGCCTCACATCCCGCTGATACCTCGAGAGGCACGCGGAGTTCATTGCTTCAAAAGGTGACGATGCCTGACTCCTCTTGAATACTGATAGGAATCCCAAAATCCCTGTGGCTACTGGAAAGGGTCCTTGGGTGCCCTGCCTCACCTCGAGAAGCGTCCCTTTGGCCCTGCCAAGCCTCGAAGAGATTCCTGAGGTGTCCCTCGTTACTAGACAGGAGTCCTGACGTCACTGAAGAAACTCGTGTTTTGAAGGGCCATCCCCGCCGTAAGTCGAGAACATACCCCAGGTCCCCGCCGCAACTCGAGAAAAACCATGAGACTTCCCCCTAGAGGCGAGATGAGGCCCCATTCCCCTGCAGTTCATGCAGAGCTATTCCATGATCCAATTCAAGCAAGTCAGGAGCTTCGACTTGCTTAATGGATCTCGAGACAGTCCCCAAGAACACTGTCACCAGTCTAGACGGACCCTGAGGTCACCCCAGCAATGCAAAGCAGCTCCATGTGCCCCAAATCAACTCGAGATGAGGCCCGATTCCCCTGCATTGACTCCAGAGCCATTCCCCGTTCCCCATTCAACACGACCGGTGGCTCGACTTCCTTCAGGCAACTCCAGAGATGCCCCGAGAACACTGTCCCAAGTCTAGAGGAACACCAACTTCAGCACAGCAACTCGAGGAATGCTCCGTGTACCCCAAATCGTCTCGAGATGAGAGCTGATTGCCTGGCTTAGGCTCAAGACGCATGCCCACTTTCCAGAAGCACCACCGGAGGAGGCTTCTCTCAGCAATAGGTATGTGGGAGGGACCCCGAGTTTGCTGCCTCAAGGAGAATATACAGCGAGAAGCCCTAACTTGAAAGGAGGCCGGATTTCCTTGCAGTGGCTTGAATACAGGCTCGTGTTTCATTTCACAACATGAAGGGATGTCTGAATCCCTGTGGAGACCTTAGAGAAAGCCCTAGGGCCCTGCCTCATTTTCACGGAATGCCTCACATCCCGTTGACACCTCGAGAGGCACGCGGAGTTCATTGCTTCAAAAGGTGACGATGCCTGACTCCTCTTGAATACTGATAGGAATCCCAAAATCCCTGTGGCTGCTGGAAAGGGTCCTTGGGTGCCCTGGCTCACCTCGAGAAGCTTCCCTTTTGCCCTGCCAAGCCTCGAAGAGGTTCCTGACGTGTCCCTCGTTACTAGACAGGAGTCCTGACGTCACTGAAGAACCTCGTGTTTTGAAGGGCCATCCCCGCCGTAAGTCAAGAACATACCCCAGGTCCCCGCCGCAACTCGAGAAAAACCATGAGACTTCCCCCTAGAGGCGAGATGAGGCCCCATTCCCCTGCAGTGCATGCAGAGCTATTCCGTGATCCCATTCAAGCAAGTCAGGAGCTTCGACTTGCTTAATGGATCTTGAGACAGGCCCAAGAATACTGTCACCAGTCTAGACGGACCCTGAGGTCACCCCAGCAACGCAAAGCAGCTCCATGTGCCCCAAATCAAATCGAGATGAGGCCCGATTCCCCTGCATTGACTCCAGAGCCATTCCCCGTTCCCCATTCAACACGACCGGTGGCTCGACTTCCTTCAGGCAACTCCAGAGATGCCCCGAGAACACTGTCCCTAGTCAAGAGGAACACCAACTTCAGCACAGCAACTCGATGAATGCTCCATGTACCCCAAATCGTCTCGAGATGAGAGCTGTTTCCCTGGCTTAGGCTCAAGACGTATGCCAACTTTTCAGAAGCACCTCAGGAGGAGGCTTCTCTCAGCAATAGGTATGTGCGAGGGACCCCGAGTATGCTGCCTCAAGGGGAATATACAGAGAGAAGCACTAGCTTGAAAGGAGGCCGGATTTCCTTGCAGTGGCTTGGATACAGGCTCGTGTTTCATCTCACAACATGAAGGGATGTCTGAATCCCCAGTGGAGACCTTAGAGAAAGCCCTAGGTCCCTGCCTCATTTTGACGGAATGCCTCACATCCCGCTGACACCTCGAGAGGTACGCGGAGTTCATTGCTTCAAAAGGTGACGATGCCTGACTCCTCTTGAATACTGATAGGAATACCAAAATCCCTGTGGCTACTGGAAAGGGTCCTTGGGTGCCTTGCCTCACCTCGAGAAGCGTCCCTTTTGCCCTGCCAAGCCTCGAAGAGATTCCTGAGGTGTCCCTCGTTACTAGACAGGAGTCCTGACGTCACTGAAGAAACTCGTGTTTTGAAGGGCCATGCCCGCCGTAAGTCGAGAACATACCCCAGGTCCCTGCCGCAACTCGAGAAAAACGATGAGACTTCTCCCTAGAGGCGAGATGAGGCCCCATTCCCCTGCAGTGCATGCAGAGCTATTCCGTGATCCCATTCAAACAAGTCAGGAGCTTCGACTTGCTTAATGGATCTCGAGACAGTCCGCAAGAACACTGTCATCAGTCTAGACGGACCCTGAGGTCAGCCCAGCAACGCAAAGCAGCTCCATGTGCCTCAAATCAACTCGAGATGAGGCCCGATTCCCCTGCTTTGACTCCAGAGCCATTCCCCGTTCCCCATTCAACACGATCGGTGGCTCGACTTCCTTCAGGAAACTCCAGAGAAGCCCCGAGAACACTGTCCCAAGTCTAGAGGAACACCAACTTCAGCACAGCAACTCGAGGAATGCTCTGTGTACCCCAAATCGTCTCGAGATGAGAGCTGATTCCCTGGCTTAGGCTCAAGACGTATGCCTACTTTCCAGAAGCACCTCAGGAGGAGACTTCTCTCAGCAATAGGTATGTGGGAGGGACCCCGAGTTTGCTGCCTCAAGGGGAATATACAACGAGAAGCCCTAACTTGAAAGGAGGCCGGATTTCCTTGCAGTGACTTGAATACAGGCTCGTGTTTCATCTCACAACATGAAGCGATGTCTGAATCCCCTGTGGAGACCTTAGAGAAAGCCCTAGGTCCCTGCCTCATTTTGACGGAATGCCTCACATCCCGCTGAAACCTCGAGAGGCAGGCGGAGTTCATTGCTTCAAAAGGTGACGATGCCTGACTCCTCTTGAAAACTGATAGGATTCCCAAAATCCCTGTGGCTACTGGAAATGGTCCTTGGGTGCCCTGCTTCACCTCGAGAAGCGTCCCTTTTGCCCTGCCAAGCATCGAAGAGATTCCTGAGGTGTCCCTCGTTACTAGACAGGAGTCCTGACGTCATTGAAGAACCTCGTGTTTTGAAGGGCCATCCCCGCCGTAAGTCAAGAACATACCCCAGGTCCCCGCCGCAACTCGAGAAAAACCATGAGACTTCCCCATAGAGGCGAGATGAGGCCCCATTCCCCTGCAGTGCATGCAGAGCTATTCCGTGATCCCATTCAAGCAAGTCAGGAGCTTCGACTTGCTTAATGGATCTTGAGACAGGCCCAAGAATACTGTCACCAGTCTAGACGGACCCTGAGGTCACCCCAGCAACGCAAAGCAGCTCCATGTGCCCCAAATCAAATCGAGATGAGGCCCGATTCCCCTGCATTGACTCCAGAGCCATTCCCCGTTCCCCATTCAAAACGACCGGTGGCTCGACTTCCTTCAGGCAACTCCAGAGATGCCCCGAGAACACTGTCCCAAGTCAAGAGGAACACCAACTTCAGCACAGCAATTCGATGAATGCTCCGTGTACCCCAAATCGTCTCGAGATGAGAGCTGTTTCCCTGGCTTAAGCTCAAGACGTATGCCAACTTTCCAGAAGCACCTCAGGAGGAGGCTTCTCTCAGCAATAGGTATGTGCGAGGGACCCCGAGTATGCTGCCTCAAGGGGAATATACAGAGAGAAGCACTAGCTTGAAAGGAGGCCGGATTTCCTTGCAGTGGCTTGAATACAGGCTCGTGATTCATCTCACAACATGAATGGATGTCTGAATCCACTGTGGAGACCTTAGAGAAAGCCCTAGGTCCCTGCCTCATTTTGACGGAATGCCTCACATCCCGCTGATACCTCGAGAGGCACGCGTAGTACATTGCTTCAAAAGGTGATGATGCCTGACTCATCTTGAATACTGATAGGAATACGAAAATCCCTGTGGCTACTGGAAAGGGTCCTTGGGTGCCCTGACTCACTTCGAGAAGCGTCCCTTTTGCCCTGCCAAGCCTCGAAGAGATTCCTTAAGTGTCCCTCGTTACTAGACAGGAGTCCTGACGTCACTGAAGAACCTCGTGTTTTGAAGGGCCATACCCGCCGTAAGTCGAGAACTTACCCCAGGTCCCTGCCGCAACTCGAGAGAAACCATGAGACTTCTCCCTAGAGGCGAGATGAGGCCCCATTCCCCTGCAGTGCATGCAGAGCTATTCCGTGATCCCATTCAAACAAGTCAGGAGCTTCGACTTGCTTAATGGATCTCGAGACAGTCCCCAAGAACACTGTCACCAGTCTACACGGACCCTGAGGTCACCCCAGCAACGCAAAGCAGCTCCATGTGGCCCAAATCAACTCGAGATGAGGCCCGATTCCCCTGCCTTGACTCCACAGCCATTCTCCGTTTCCCATTCAACACGACCGGTGGCTTGACTTCCTTCAGGCAACTACAGAAATGCCCCGAGAACAGTGTCCCAAGTCTAGAGGAACACCAACTTCAGCACAGCAACTCGAGGAATGCTCCGTGTACCCCAAATCGTCTCGAGATGAGAGCTGATTCCCTGGCTTAGGCTCAAGACGTATGCCAACTTTCCAGAAGCACCTCAGGAGGATTATTCTCTCAGCAAAACATATGTGGGAGGGACCCCGAGTGTGCTGCCTCAAGGGGAATATACAGCGAGAAGCCCTAACTTGAAAGGAGGCCGGATTTCCTTGCAGTGGCTTGAATACAGGCTCGTCTTTCATCTCACAACATGAAGGGATGTCTGAATCCCCTGTGGAGACCTTAGAGAAAGCCCTAGGTCCCTGCCTCATTTTGACGGAATGCCTCACATCCCTCTGACACCTCGAGAGGCACGCGGAGTTCATTGCTTCAAAAGGTGACGATGCCTGACTCCTCTTGAATACTGATAGGAATCCCAAAATCCCTGTGGCTACTGGAAAGGGTCCTTGGGTGCCCTGCCTCACCTCGAGAAGCGTCCCTTTTGCCCTGCCAAGCCTCGAAGAGATTCCTGAGGTGTCCCTCGTTCCTAGACAGGATTCCTGACGTCACTGAAGAAACTCGTGTTTTGAAGGGCCATCCCCGCCGTAAGTCAAGAACATACCCCAGGTCCCCGCCGCAACTCGAGAAAACCCATGAGACTTTCCCATAGAGGCGAGATGAGGCCCCATTCCACTGCAGTGCATGCAGAGCTATTCCGTGATCCCATTCAAACAAGTCAGGAGCTTCGACTTGCTTAATGGATCTCGAGACAGTCCCCAAGAACACTGTCACCAGTCTACACGGAACCTGAGGTCACACTAGCAACGCAAAGCAGCTCCATGTGGCCCAAATCAACTCGAGATGAGGCCCAAATCTCCTGCCTTGACTCCACAGCCATTCCCCGTTCCCCATTCAACACGACCGGTGGCTTGACTTCCTTCAGGCAACTCCAGAGATGCCCCGAGAACAGTGTCCCAAGTCTAGAGGAACACCAACTTCAGCACAGCAACTCGAGGAATGCTCCATGTACCCCAAATCGTCTCGAGATGAGAGCTGATTCCCTGGCTTAGGCTCAAGACGTATGCCAACTTTCCAGAAGCACCTCAGGAGGATTATTCTCTCAGCAAAAGATATGTGGGAGGGACCACGAGTTTGCTGCCTCAAGGGGAATATACAGCGAGAAGCCCTAACTTGAAAGGAGGCCGGATTTCTTTGCAGTGGCTTGAATACAGGCTCGTCTTTCATCTCACAACATGAAGGGATGTCTGAATCCCCTGTGGAGACGTTAGAGAAAGCCCTAGGTCCCTGCCTCATTTTGACGGAATGCCTCACATCCCGCTGACACCCCGAGAGGCACGCGGAGTTCATTGCTTCAAAAGGTGACGATGCCTGACTCCTCTTGAATACTGATAGGAATCCCAAAATCCCTGTGGCTACTGGAAAGGGTACTTGGGTGCCCTGCCTCACCTCGAGAAGCGTCCCTTTTGCCCTGCCAAGCCTAGAAGAGATTCCTGAGGTGTCCCTCGTTACTAGACAGGAGTCCTGACGTCACTGAAGAAACTCGTGTTTTGAAGGGCCATCCCCGCCGTAAGTCGAGAACATACCCCAGGTCCCCGCCGCAACTCGAGAGAAACCATGAGACTTCCCCATAGAGGCGAGATGAGGCCCCATTCCCCTGCAGTGCATGCAGAGCTATTCCGTGATCCCATTCAAACAAGTCAGGAGCTTCGACTTGCTTAATGGATCTCGAAACAGTCCCCAAGAACACTGTCACCAGTCTAGACGGACCCTGAGGTCACCCCAGCAACGCAAAGCAGCTCCATGTGCAACAAATCAACTCGAGATGAGGCCCGATTCCCTTGCATTGACTCCAGAGCCATTCCCCGTTCCCCATTCAACACGACCGGTGGCTCGACTTCCTTCAGGCAACTCCAGAGATGCCCCAAGAACACTGTCCCAAGTCTAGAGGAACACCAACTTCAGCACAGCAACTCGAGGAATACTCCGTGTACCCCAAATCATCTCGAGATGGGAGCTGATTCCCTGGCTTAGGCTCAAGACGTATGCCAACTTTCCTGAAGCCCCTGAGGAGGAGGATTCTCTCAGAAATAGGTATGTGGGAGGGACCCCGAGTTTGCTGCCTCAATGGGAATATAGAGCAAGAAGCCCTAACTTGAAAGGAGGCCGGATTTTCTTTCAGTGGCTTGAATACAGGCTCGTCTTTCATCTCACAACATGAAGGGATGTCGAAATCCCCTTTGGAGACCTTAGAGAAAGCCCTAGGTCCCTGCGTCATTTTGACGGAAGTCCTCACATCCCGCTGACACCTCGAGAGGCACGCGGAGTTCATTTCTTCAAAAGGTGACGATGCCTGACTCCTCTTGAATACTGATAGGAATCCCAAAATCCCTGTGGCTACTGGAAAGGGTCCTTGGGTGCCCTGCCTCACCTCGAGAAGCGTCCCTTTTGCCCTGCCAAGCCTCGAAGAGATTCCTGAGGTGTCCCTCGTTCCTAGACAGGATTCCTGACGTCACTGAAGAAACTCGTGTTTTGAAGGGCCATCCCCGCCGTAAGTCAAGAACATACCCCAGGTCCCCGCCGCAACTCGAGAAAACCCATGAGACTTTCCCATAGAGGCGAGATGAGGCCCCATTCCACTGCAGTGCATGCAGAGCTATTCCGTGATCCCATTCAAACAAGTCAGGAGCTTCGACTTGCTTAATGGATCTCGAGACAGTCCGCAAGAACACTGTCACCAGTCTAGACGGACCCTGAGGTCACCCCAGCAACGCAAAGCAGCTCCATGTGCCTCAAATCAACTCGAGATGAGGCCCGATTCCCCTGCATTGACTCCAGAGCCATTCCCCGTTCCCCATTCAACACGACCGGTGGCTCGACTTCCTTCAGGAAACTCCAGAGAAGCCCCGAGAACACTGTCCCAAGTCTAGAGGAACACCAACTTCAGCACAGCAACTCGAGGAATGCTCCGTGTACCCCAAATCGTCTCGAGATGAGAGCTGATTCCCTGGCTTAGGCTCAAGACGTATGCCTACTTTCCAGAAGCACCTCAGGAGGAGGCTTCTCTCAGCAATAGGTATGTGGGAGGGACCCCGAGTGTGCTGCCTCAAGGGGAATATACAGCGAGAAGCCCTAACTTGAAAGGAGGACGGATTTCCTTGCAGTGGCTTGAATACAGGCTCGTGTTTCATCTCACAACATGAAGGGATGTCTGAATCCCCTGTGGAGACCTTAGAGAAAGCCCTAGGTCCCTGCTTCATTTTGACGGAATGCGTCACATCCCGTTGACACCTCGAGAGGCACGCGGAGTTCATTGCTTCAAAAGGTGACGATGCCTGACTCCTCTTGAAAACTGATAGGATTCCCAAAATCCCTGTGGCTACTGGAAATGGGCCTTGGGTGCCCTGCTTCACCTCGAGAAGCGTCCCTTTTGCCCTGCGAAGCCTCGAAGAGATTCCTGAGGTGTCCCTCGTTCCTAGACAGGAGTCCTGACGTCACTGAAGAAACTCGTGTTTTGAAGGGCCATCCCCGCCGTAAGTCAAGAACATACCCCAGGTCCCCGCCGCAACTCGAGAAAACCCATGAGACTTCCCCATAGAGGCGAGATGAGGCCCCATTCCCCTGCAGTGCATGCAGAGCTATTCCGTGATCCCATTCAAACAAGTCAGGAGCTTCGACTTGCTTGATGGATCTCGAGACAGTCCCCAAGAACACTGTCACCAGTCTAGACGGACCCTGAGGTCACCCCAGCAACGCAAAGCAGCTCCATGTGCCTCAAATCAACTCGAGATGAGGCCCGATTCCCCTGCATTGACTCCAGAGCCATTCGCCGTTCCCCATTCAACACGACCGGTGGCTCGACTTCCTTCAGACAACTCCAGAGATGCCCCGAGAACACTGTCCCAAGTGTAGAGGAACACCAACTTCAGCACAACAACTCGAGGAATGCTCCGTGTACCCCAAATCATCTCGAGATGAGAGCTGATTCCCTGGATTAGGCTCAAGACGTATGCCAACTTTCCAGAAGCACCTCAGGAGGAGGCTTCTCTCAGCAATAGGTATGTGGGAGGGACCCCGAGTATGCTGCCTCAAGGGGAATATACAGCGAGAAGCCCTAGCTTGAAAGGAGGCCGGATTTCCTTGCAGTGGCTTGAATACAGGCTCGTCTTTCATCTCACAACATGAAGGGATGTCTGAATCCCCTGTGGAGACCTTAGAGAAAGCCTAGGTCCCTGCTTCATTTTGACGGAATGCCTCACATCCCGCTGACACCTCAAGAGGCACGCGTAGTTCATTGCTTCAAAAGGTGACGATGCCTGACTCCTCTTGAATACTGATAGGAATCCCAAAATCCCTGTGGCTACTGGAAAGGGTCCTTGGGTGCCCTGCCTCACCTCGAGAAGCGTCCCTTTTGCCCTGCCAAGCCTCGAAGAGATTCCTAAAGTGTCCCTCATTACTAGACATGAGTCCTGACGTCACTGAAGAAACTCGTGTTTTGAAGGGCCATCCCCGCCGTAAGTCGAGAGCATACCCCAGGTCACCGCCGCAACTCGAGAAAAACCATAAGACTTCCCCCTAGAGGCGAGATGAGGCCCCATTCCCCTGCAGTGCATGCAGAGCTATTCCGTGATCCCATTCAAACAAGTCAGGAGCTTCGACTTGCTTAATGGATCTCGAGACAGACCCCAAGAACACTGTCACCAGTCTACACGGACCCTGAGGTCACACTAGCAACGCAAAGCAGCTCCATGTGGCCCAAATCAACTCGAGATGAGGCCCGAATCTCCTGCCTTGACTCCACAGCCATTCCCCGTTCCCCATTCAACACGACCGGTGGCTTGACTTCCTTCAGGCAACTCCAGAGATGCCCCGAGAACAGTGTTCCAAGTCTAGAGGAACACCAACTTCAGCACAGCAATTCGAGGAATGCTCCATGTACCCCAAATCGTCTCGAGATGAGAGCTGATTCCCTGGCTTAGGCTCAAGACGTATGCCAACTTTCCAGAAGCACCTCAGGAGGATTATTCTCTCAGCAAAAGATATGTGGGAGGGACCACGAGTTTGCTGCCTCAAGGGGAATATACAGCGAGAAGCCCTAACTTGAAAGGAGGCCGGATTTTTTTGCAGTGGCTTGAATACAGGCTCGTCTTTCATCTCACAACATGAAGGGATGTCTGAATCCCCTGTGGAGACCTTAGAGAAAGCCCTAGGTCCCTGCCTCATTTTGACGGAATGCCTCACATCCCGCTGACACCTCGAGAGGCACGCGGAGTTCATTGCTTCAAAAGGTGACGATGCCTGACTCCTCTTGAATACTGATAGGAATCCCAAAATCCCTGTGGCTACTGGAAAGGGTCCTTGGGTGCCCTGCCTCACCTCGAGAAGCGTCCCTTACGCCCTGCCAAGCCTAGAAGAGATTCCTGAGGTGTCCCTCGTTACTAGACAGGAGTCCTGACGTCACTGAAGAAACTCGTGTTTTGAAGGGCCATCCCCGCCGTAAGTCAAGAACATACCCCAGGTCCCGGCCGCAACTCGAGAAAAACCATGAGACTTCCCCATAGAGGCGAGATGAGGCCCCATTCCCCTGCAGTGCATGCAGAGCTATTCCGTGATCCCATTCAAACAAGTCAGGAGCTTCGACTTGCTTAATGGATCTCGAGACATTCCCCAAGAACACTGTCACCAGTCTAGACGGACCCTGAGGTCACCCCAGCAACGCAAAGCAGCTCCATGTGCCCCAAATCAACTCGAGATGAGGCCCGATTCCCTTGCATTGACTCCAGAGCAATTCCCCATTCCCCATTCAACACGACCGGTGGCTCGACTTCCTTCAGGCAACTCCAGAGATGCCCCAAGAACACTGTCCCAAGTCTAGAGGAACACCAACTTCAGCACAGCAAATCGAGGAATACTCCGTGTACCCCAAATCATCTCGAGATGGGAGCTGATTCCCTGGCTTAGGCTCAAGACGTATGCCAACTTTCCTGAAGCCCCTGAGGAGGAGGATTCTCTCAGAAATAGGTATGTGGGAGGGACCCCGAGTTTGCTGCCTCAATGGGAATATAGAGCGAGAAGCCCTAACTAAAAAGGAGGCCGGATTTCCTTGCAGTGGCTTGAATACAGGCTCGTCTTTCATCTCACAACATGAAGGGATGTCGAAATCCCCTTTGGAGACCTTAGAGAAAGCCCTAGGTCCCTGCGTCATTTTGACGGAAGTCCTCACATCCCGCTGACACCTAGAGAGGCACGCGGAGTTCATTTCTTCAAAAGGTGACGATGCCTGACTACTCTTGAATACTGATAGGAATCCCAAAATCCCTGTGGCTACTGGAAAGGGTCCTTGGGTGCCCTGCCTCACCTCGAGAAGCGTCCCTTTTGCCCTGCCAAGCCTCGAAGAGATTCCTAAGGTGTCCCTCGTTACTAGACAGGAGTTCTGACGTCACTGAAGAAACTCGTGTTTTGAAGGGCCATCCCCGCCGTAAGTCGAGAACATACCCCAGGTCCCTGGCGCAACTCGAGAAAAACGTGAGACTTCCCCCTAGAGGCAAGATGAGGCCCCATTCCCCTGCAGTGCATGCAGAGCTATTCCGTGATCCCATTCAAACAAGTCAGGAGCTTCGACTTGCTTAATGGATCTCGAGACAGTCCGCAAGAACACTGTCACCAGTCTAGACGGACCCTGAGGTCACCCCAGCAACGCAAAGCAGCTCCATGTGCCTCAAATCAACTCGAGATGAGGCCCGATTCCCCTGCATTGACTCCAGAGCCATTCCCCGTTCCCCATTCAACACGACCGGTGGCTCGACTTCCTTCAGGAAACTCCAGAGAAGCCCCGAGAACACTGTCCCAAGTCTAGAGGAACACCAACTTCAGCACAGCAACTCGAGGAATGCTCCGTGTACCCCAAATCGTCTCGAGATGAGAGCTGATTCCCTGGCTTAGGCTCAAGACGTATGCCTACTTTCCAGAAGCACCTCAGGAGGAGGCTTCTCTCAGCAATAGGTATGTGGGAGGGACCCCGAGTGTGCTGCCTCAAGGGGAATATACAGCAAGAAGCCCTAACTTGAAAGAAGGACGGATTTCCTTGCAGTGGCTTGAATACAGGCTCGTGTTTCATCTCACAACATGAAGCGATGTCTGAATCCCCTGTGGAGACCTTAGAGAAAGCCCTAGGTCCCTGCCTCATTTTGACGGAATGCCTCACATCCCGCTGACACCTCAAGAGGCACGCGTGGTTCATTGCTTCAAAAGGTGACGATGCCTGACTCCTCTTGAATACTGATAGGAATCCCAAAATCCCTGTGGCTACTGGAAAGGGTCCTTGGGTGCCCTGCCTCACCTCGAGAAGCGTCCCTTTTGCCCTGCCAAGCCTCGAAGAGATTCCTGAGGTGTCCCTCGTTACTAGACATGAGTCCTGACGTCACTGAAGAAACTCGCGTTTTGAAGGGCCATCCCCGCCGTAAGTCGAGAGCATACCCCAGGTCACCGCCGCAACTCGAGAAAAACCATGAGACTTCCCCCTAGAGGCGAGATGAGGCCCCATTCCCCTGCAGTGCATGCAGAGCTATTCCGTGATCCCATTCAAACAAGTCAGGAGCTTCGACTTGCTTAATGGATCTCGAGACAGTCCCCAAGAACACTGTCACCAGTCTACACGGACCCTGAGGTCACACTAGCAACGCAAAGCAGCTCCATGTGGCCCAAATCAACTCGAGATGAGGCCCGAATCTCCTGCCTTGACTCCACAGCCATTCCCCGTTCCCCATTCAACACGACCGTTGGCTTGACTTCCTTCAGGCAACTCCAGAGATGCCCCGAGAACAGTGTCCCAAGTCTAGAGGAACACCAACTTCAGCACAGCAACTCGATGAATGCTCCATGTACCCCAAATCGTCTCGAGATGAGAGCTGATTCCCTGGCTTAGGCTCAAGACGTATGCCAACTTTCCAGAAGCACCTCAGGAGGATTATTCTCGCAGCAAAAGGTATGTGGGAGGGACCACGAGTTTGCTGCCTCAAGGGGAATATACAGCGAGAAGCCCTAACTTGAAAGGAGGCCGGATTTCTTTGCAGTGGCTTGAATACAGGCTCGTCTTTCATCTCACAACATGAAGGGATGTCTGAATCCCCTGTGGAGACCTTAGAGAAAGCCCTAGGTCCCTGCCTCATTTTGACGGAATGCCTCACATCCCGCTGACACCTCGAGAGGCACGCGGAGTTCATTGCTTCAAAAGGTGACGATGCCTGACTCCTCTTGAATACTGATAGGAATCCCAAAATCCCTGTGGCTACTGGAAAGGGTCCTTGGGTGCCCTGCCTCACCTCGAGAAGCGTCCCTTTTGCCCTGCCAAGCATCGAAGAGATTCCTGAGGTGTCCCTCGTTACTAGACAGGAGTCCTGACGTCACTGAAGAAACTCGTGTTTTGAAGGGCCATCCCCGCCGTAAGTCAAGAACATACCCCAGGTCCCCGCCGCAACTCGAGAAAAACCATGAGACTTCCCCCTAGAGGCGAGATGAGGCCCCAATCCCCTGCAGTGCATGCAGAGCTATTCCGTGATCCCATTCAAACAAGTCAGGAGCTTCGACTTGCTTAATGGAACTCGAGACAGTCCCCAAGAACACTGTCACCAGTCTAGACGGACCCTGAGGTCACCCCAGCAACGCAAAGCAGCTCCATGTGCCCCAAATCAACTCGTGATGAGGCCCGATTCCACTGCATTGACTCCAGAGCCATTCCCCGTTCCCCATTCAACACGACCGGTGGCTCGACTTCCTTCAGACAACTCCAGAGATGCCCCGAGAACACTGTCCCAAGTCTAGAGGAACACCACCTTCAGCACAGCAACTCGATGAATGCTCCGTGTACCCCAAATTGTCTCGAGATGAGAGCTGATTCCCTGGCTTAGGCTCAAGACGTATGCCAACTTTCCAGAAGCACCTCAGGAGGAGGCTTCTCTCAGCAATAGGTATGTGGGAGGGACCCCGAGTTTGCTGCCTCAAGAGGAATATACAGCGAGAAGCCCTAGCTTGAAAGGAGGCCGGATTTCCTTGCAGTGGCTTGAATACAGGCTCGTGTTTCATCTCACAACATGAAGGGATGTCTGAATCCCCTGTGGAGACCTTAGAGAAAGCCTAGGTCCCTGCCTCATTTTGACGGAATGCCTCACATCCCGCTGACACCTCAAGAGGCACGCGTGGTTCATTGCTTCAAAAGGTGACGATGCCTGACTCCTCTTGAATACTGATAGGAATCCCAAAATCCCTGTGGCTACTGGAAAGGGTCCTTGGGTGCCCTGCCTCACCTCGAGAAGCGTCCCTTTTGCCCTGCCAAGCCTCGAGAGATTCATGAAGTGTCCCTCGTTACTAGACAGGAGTCCTGATGTCACTGAAGAAACTCGTGTTTTGAAGGGCCATCCCCGCCGTAAGTCGAGAGCATACCCCAGGTCCCCGCCGCAACTCGAGAAAAACCATGAGACTTCCCCCTAGAGGCGAGATGAGGCCCCATTCCCCTGCAGTGCATGCAGAGCTATTCCGTGATCCCATTCAAACAAGTCAGGAGCTTCGACTTGCTTAATGGATCTCGAGACAGTCCCAAGAATACTGTCACCAGTCTACACGGGCCCTGAGGTCACCCCAGCAACGCAAAGCAGCTCCATGTGCCCCAAATCAACTCGAGATAGAGGCCCGATTCCCCTGCATTGACTCCAGAACCATTCCCCGTTCCCCATTCAACACGACCGGTGGCTCGACTTCCTTCAGGCAACTCCAGAGATGCCCTGAGAACACTGTCCCAAGTCTACAGGAACACCAACTTCAGCAGAGCAACTCGATGAATGTTCCGTGTACCCCAAATCGTCTCGAGATGAGAGCTGATTCCCTGGCTTAGGCTCAAGACATATGCCAACTTTCCAGAAGCACCTCAGGAGGAGGCTTCTCTCAGCAATAGGTATGTGGGAGGGACCCCGAGTATGCTGCCTCAAGGGGAATATACAGCGAGAAGCCCTAACTTGAAAGGAGGCCGGATTTCCTTGCAGTGGCTTGAATACAGGCTCGTGTTTCATCTCACAACATGAAGGGATGTCTGATATCCCCTGTGGAGACCTTAGAGAAAGCCCTAGGACCCAGCCTCATTTTGACGGAATGCCTCACATCCCGCTGACACCTCGAGAGGCACGCGGAGTTCATTGCTTCCAAAGGTGACGATACCTGACTCCTCTTGAAAACTGATAGGATTCCCAAAATCCCTGTGGCCACTGGAAATGGTCCTTGGGTGCCCTGCCTCATCTCGAAAAGCGTCCCTTTTGCCCTGTCAAGCCTCGAAGATATTCCTGAGGTGTCCCTCGTTTCTAGACAGGAGTCCTGACGTCACTGAAGAAACTCGTGTTTTGAAGGGCCATCCCCGCCGTAAGTCGAGAACATACCCCAGGTCCCTGCCGCAACTCGAGAAAAATCATGAGACTTCCCCCTAGAGGCGAGATGAGGCCCCATTCCCCTGCAGTGCATGCAGAGCTTTTCCGTGATCCCATTCAAACAAGTCAGGTGCTTCGACTTGCTTAACGGATCTCGAGACAGTCCCCAAGAACACTGTCACCAGTCTAGACGGACCCTGAGGTCACCCCAGCAACGCAAAGCAGCTCCATGTGGCCCAATCAACTCGAGATGAGGCCCAATTCCCCTGCCTTGACTCCAGAGCCATTCCCCGTTCCCCATTCAACACGACCGGTGGCTCGACTTCCTTCAGGCAACTCCAGAGATGCCCCGAGAACACTGTCCCAAGTCTAGAGGAACACCAACTTCAGCACAGCAACTCGAGGAATGCTCCGTGTACCCCAAATCGTCTCGAGATGAGAGCTGATTCCCTGGCTTAGGCTCAAGACGTATGCCAACTTTCCAGAAGCACCTCAGGAGGAGGATTCTCTCAGCAAAAGTTACGTGGGAGGGACCCCGAGTTTGCTGCCTCAAGGGGAATATACTGCGAGAAGCCCTAAGTTGAAAGGAGGCTGGATTTCCTTGCAGTGGCTTGAATACAAGCTCGTCTTTCATCTCACAACATGAAGGGATGTCTGAATCCCCTGTGGAGACCTTAGAGAAAGCCCTAGGTCCCTGCCTCATTTTGACGGAATGCCTCACATCCCGTTGACACCTCGAGAGGCACGCGGAGTTCATTGCTTCAAAAGGTGACGATGCCTGACTCCTCTTGAATACTGATAGGAATCCCAAAATCCCTGTGGCTACTGGAAAGGGTCCTTGGGTGCCCTGCCTCACCTCGAGAAGCGTGCCTTTTGCCCTGCCAAGCCTCGAAGTGATTCCTGAAGTGTCCCTCGTTACTAGACAGGAGTCCTGACGTCACTGAAGAAACTCGTGTATTGAAGGGCCATCCCCGCCGTAAGTCGAGAACATACCCCAGGTCCCTGACGCAACTCGAGAAAAACAATGAGACTTCCCCCTAGAGGCGAGATGAGGCCCCATTCCCCTGCAGTGCATGCAGAGCTATTCCTTGATCATATTCAAACAAGTCAGGAGCTTCGACTTGCTTAATGGATCTCGAGACAGTCCCCAAGAACACTGTCACCAGTCTAGACGGACCCTGTGTTCACCCCAGCAACGCAAAGCAGCTCCATGTGGCCCAAATCAACTCGAGATGAGGCCCGATTCCCCTGCCTTGACTCCAGAACCATTCCCCGTTCCCCATTCAACACGACCGGTGGCTTGACTTCCTTCAGGCAACTCCAGAGATGCCCCGAGAACACTGTCCCAAGTCTAGAGGAATACCAACTTCAGCACAGCAACTCGAGGAATGCTCCGTGTACCCGAAATCGTCTCGAGATGAGAGCTGATTCCCTGGCTTAGGCTCAAGACGCATGCCAACTTTCCAAAAGCACCTCAGGAGGATTATTCTCTCAGCAAAAGTTATGTGGGAGGGACCCCGTGTTTGCTGCCTCAAGGGGAATATACTGCGAGAAGCTCTAACTTGAAAGGAGGCCGGATTTCCTTGCAGTGGCTTGAATACAGGCTCGTCTTTCATCACACAACATGAAGGGATGTCTGAATCCCCTGTGGAGACCTTAGAGAAAGCCCTAGGTCCCTGCCTCATTTTGACGTAATGCCTCACATCCCGCTGACACCTCGAGAGGCACGCGGAGTTCATTGCTTCAAAAGGTGACGATGCCTGACTCCTCTTGAATACTGATAGGAATCCCAAAATCCCTGTGGCTACTGGAAAGGGTCCTTGGGTGCCCTGCCTCACCTCGAGAAGCGTCCCTTTTGCCCTACCAAGCCTCGAAGAGATTCCTGAGGTGTCCCTCGTTACTAGACAGGAGTCCTGACGTCACTGAAGAAACTCGTGTTTTGAAGGGTCATCCCCGCCGTAAGTCAAGAACATACCCCAGGTCCCCGCCGCAACTCGAGAAAAACCATGAGACTTCCCCATAGAGGCGAGATGAGGCCCCATTCCCCTGCAGTGCATGCAGAGCTATTCCGTGATCCCATTCAAACAAGTCAGGAGCTTCGACTTGCTTAATGGATCTCAAGACAGTCCCAAGAATACTGTCACCAGTCTAGACGGACCCTGAGGTCACCCCAGCAACGCAAAGCAGCTCCATGTGGCCCAAATCAACTCGAGATGAGGCCCGATTCCCCTGCATTGACACCAGAGCCATTCCCCGTTCCCCATTCAACACGACCGGTGGCTCGACTTCCTTCAGGCAACTCCAGAGATGCCCCGAGAACACTGTCCCAAGTCTAGAGGAACACCAACTTCAGCACAGCAACTCGATGAATGCTCCGTGTACTCCAAATCGTCTCGAGATGAGAGCTGATTCCCTGGCTTAGGCTCAAGACGATTGCCAACTTTCCAGAAGCACCTCAGGAGGAGGATTCTCTCAGCAAAAGGTATGTGGGAGGAACCCCGAGTTTGCTGCCTCAAGGGGAATATACAGCGAGAAGCCCTAACTTGAAAGGAGGCCGGATTTCCTTGCAGTGGCTTGAATACAGGCTCGTCTTTCATCTCACAACATGAAGGGATGTCTGAATCCCCTGTGGAGACCTTAGAGAAAGCCCTAGGTCCCTGCCTCATTTTGACGGAATGCCTCACATCTCGCTGACACCTCGAGAGGCACGCTGAGTTCATTGCTTCAAAAGGTGACGATGCCTGACTCCTCTTGAATACTGATAGGAATCCGAAAATCCCTGTGGCTACTGGAAAGGGTCCTTGGGTGCCCTGCCTCACCTCGAGAAGCGTCCCTTTTGCCCTGCCAAGCCTCGAAGAGATTCCTGAAGTGTCCCTCGTTACTAGACAGGAGTCCTGATGTCACTGAAGAAACTCGTGTTTTGAAGGGCCTTCCCCGCCGTAAGTCGAGAACATGCCCCAGGTCCCTGCCGCAACTCGAGAAAAACCATGAGACTTCCCCCTTGAGGCGAGATGAGGCCCCATTCCCCTGCAATGCATGCAGAGCTATTCCGTGATCCCATTCAAACAAGTCAGGAGCTTCGACTTGCTTAATGGATCTCGATACAGTCCCCAAGAACACTGTCACCAGTCTAGACGGACCCTGAGGTCACCCCAGCAACGCAAAGCAGCTCCATGTGGCCCATATCAACTCGAGATAGAGGCCCGATTCCCCTGCATTGACTCCAGAGCCATTCCCCGTTCCCCATTCAACACGACCGTTGGCTCGACTTCCTTCAGGCAACTCCAGAGATGCCCCGAGAACACTGTCCCAGGTCTAGAGGAACACCAACTTCAGCACAGCAACTCGATGAATGCTCCGTGTACCCCAAATCGTCTCGAGATGAGAGCTGATTCCCTGGCTTAGGCTCAAGACGTATGCCAACTTTCCAGAAGCACCTCAGGAGGTGGCTTCTCTCACCAATAGGTATGTGGGAGGGACCCCGAGTATGCTGCCTCAAGGGGAATATACAGCGAGAAGCCCTAACTTGAAAGGAGGCCGGATTTCCTTGCAGTGGCTTGAATACAGGCTCGTGTTTCATCTCACAACATGAAGGGATGTCTGAATCCCCTGTGGAGACCTTAGAGAAAGCCCTAGGTCCCTGCCTCATTTTGACGGAATGCCTCACATCCCGCTGACACCTCGAGAGGCACGCGGAGTTCATTGCTTCAAAAGGTGACGATGCCTGACTCCTCTTGAAAACTGATAGGATTCCCAAAATCCCTGTGGCCACTGGAAATGGTCCTTCGGTGACCTGCCTCATCTCGAGAAGCGTCCCTTTTGCCGTGCCAAGCCTCGAAGAGATTCCTGAGGTGTCCCTCATTACTAGACAGGAGTCCTGACGACACTGAAGAAACTCGTGTTTTGAAGGGCCATCCCCGCCGTAAGTCGAGAACATACCCCAGATCCCTGCCGCAACTCGAGAAAAATCATGAGACTTCCGCCTAGAGGCGAAATGAGGCCCCATTCTCCTGCAGTGAATGCAGAGCTATTCCCTGATCCCATTCAAACAAGTCAGGAGCTTCGACTTGCTTAACGGATCTCGAGACAGTCCCCAAGAACACTGTCACCAGTCTAGACGGAACCTGAGGTCACCCCAGCAACGCAAAGCAGATCCATGTGGCCCAAATCAACTCGAGATGAGGCCCGATTCCCCTGCCTTGACTCCAGAGCGATTCCCCATTCCCCATTCAACACGACCGGTGGTTCGACTTCTTTCAGGCAACTCCAGAGATGCGCCGAGAACACTGTCCCAAGTCTAGAGGAACACCAACTTCAGCACAGCAACTCGAGGAATGTTCCGTGTACCCCAAATCGTCTCGAGATGAGAGCTGATTCCTGGCTTAGGCTCAAGACGTATGCCAACTTTCCAGAAGCACCTCAGGAAGAGGATTCTCTCAGCACAAGGTATGTGGGAGGGACCCCGAGTTTGCTGCCTCAAGAGGAATATACAGCGAGAAGCCCTAACTTGAAAGGAGGCCGGATTTCCTTGCAGTGGCTTGAATACAGGCTCGTCTTTCATCTCACAACATGAAGGGATGTCTGAATCCCCTGTGGAGACCTTAGAGAAAGCCCTAGGTCTCTGCCTCATTTTGACGGAATGCCTCACATCCCGCTGACACCTCGAGAGGCACGCGGAGTTCATTGCTTCAAAAGGTGACGATGCCTGACTCCTCTTGAATACTGATAGGAATCCCAAAATCCCTGTGCCTACTGGAAAGCGTCCTTGGGTGCCCTGCCTCACCTCGAGAAGCGTCCCTTTTGCCCTGCCAAGCCTCGAAGAGATTCCTGAGGTGTCCCTCGTTACTAGACAGGAGTCCTGACGTCACTGAAGAAACTCGTGTTTTGAAGGGCCATCCCCGCCTTAAGTCAAGAACATACCCCAGGTCCCCGCCGCAACTCGAGAAAAACCATGAGACTTCCCCCTAGAGGCGAGATGAGGCCCCATTCCCCTGCAGTGCATGCAGAGCTATTCCGTGATCCCATTCAAACAAGTCAGGAGCTTCGACTTGCTTAATGGATCTCGAGACAGTCCCAAGAATACTGTCACCAGTCTACACGGGCCCTGAGGTCACCCCAGCAACGGAAAGCAGCTCCATGTGCCCCAAATCAACTCGAGATAGAGGCCCGATTCCCCTGCATTGACTCCAGAGCCATTCCCCGTTCCCCATTCAACACGACCGGTGGCTCGACTTCCTTCAGGCAACTCCAGAGATGCCCTGAGAACACTGTCCCAAGTCTACAGGAACACCAACTTCAGCACAGCAACTCGATGAATGTTCCGTGTACCCCAAATCGTCTAGAGATGAGAGCTGATTCCCTGGCTTAGGCTCAAGACATATGCCAACTTTCCAGAAGCACCTCAGGAGGAGGCTTCTCTCAGCAATAGGTATGTGGGAGGGACCCCGAGTATGCTGCCTCAAGGGGAATATACAGCGAGAAGCCCTAACTTGAAAGGAGGCCGGATTTCCTTGCAGTGGCTTGAATACAGGCTCGTGTTTCATCTCACAACATGAAGGGATGTCTGATATCCCCTGTGGAGACCTTAGAGAAAGCCCTAGGACCCAGCCTCATTTTGACGGAATGCCTCACATCCCGCTGACACCTCGAGAGGCACGCGGAGTTCATTGCTTCCAAAGGTGACGATACCTGACTCCTCTTGAAAACTGATAGGATTCCCAAAATCCCTGTGGCCACTGGAAATGGTCCTTGGGTGCCCTGCCTCATCTCGATAAGCGTCCCTTTTGCCCTGCCAAGCCTCGAAGATATTCCTGAGGTGTCCCTCGTTACTAGACAAGAGTCCTGACGTCACTGAAGAAACGCGTGTTTTGAAGGGCCATCCCCGCCGTAAGTCGAGAACATACCCCAGGTCCCTGCCGCAACTCGAGAAAATTCATGAGACTTCCCCCTAGAGGCGAGATGAGGCCCCATTCCCCTGCAGTGCATGCAGAGCTTTTCCGTGATCCCATTCAAACAAGTCAGGAGCTTCGACTTGCTTAACGGATCTCGAGACAGTCCCCAAGAACACTGTCACCAGTCTATACGGACCCTGAGGTCACCCCATCAACGCAAAGCAGCTCCATGTGGCCCAAATCAACTCGAGATGAGGCCCAATTCCCCTGCCTTGACTCCAGAGCCATTCCCCGTTCCCCATTCAACACGACCGGTGGCTCGACTTCCTTCAGGCAACTCCAGAGATGCCCCGAGAACACTGTCCCAACTCTAGAGGAACACCAACTTCAGCACAGCAACTCGAGGAATGCTCCGTGTACCCCAAATCGTCTCGAGATGAGAGCTGATTCCCTGGCTTAGGCTCAAGACGTATGCCAACTTTCCAGAAGCACCTCAGGAGGAGGATTCTCTCAGCAAAAGTTATGTGGGAGGGACCCCGAGTTTGCTGCCTCAAGGGGAATATACTGCGAGAATCCCTAAGTTGAAAGGAGGCTGGATTTCCTTGCAGTGGCTTGAATACAGGCTCGTCTTTCATCTCACAACATGAAGGGATGTCTGAATCCCCTGTGGAGACCTTAGAGAAAGCCCTAGGTCCCTGCCTCATTTTGACGGAATGCCTCACATCCCGCTGACACCTCGAGAGGCACGCGGAGTTCATTGCTTCAAAAGGTGACGATGCCTGACTCCTCTTGAATACTGATAGGAATCGCAAAATCCCTGTGGCTACTGGAAAGGGTCCTTGGGTGCCCTGCCTCACCTCGAGAAGCATCCCTTTTGCCCTGCCAAGCCTCGAAGTGATTCCTGAGGTGTCCCTCATTACTAGACAGGAGTCCTGACGTCACTGAAGAAACTCGTGTTTTGAAGGGCCATCGCCGCCGTAAGTCAAGAACATACCCCAGGTCCAAGCCGCAACTCGAGAAAAACCATGAGACTTCCCCATTGAGGCGAGATGAGGCCCCATTCCCCTGCAGTGCATTCAGAGCTATTCCGTGATCCCATTCAAACAAGTCAGGAGCTTCGACTTGCTTAATGGATCTCGAGACAGTCCCAAGAATACTGTCACCAGTTTAGACGAACCCTGAGGTCACCCCAGCAACGCAAAGCAGCTCCATGTGCCCCAAATCAACTCGAGATGAGGCCCGATTCACCTGCATTGACTCCAGAGCCATTCCCCGTTCCCCATTCAACACGACCGGTGGCTCGACTTCCTTCAGGCAACTCCAGAGATGCCCCGAGAACACTGTCCCAAGTCTAGAGGAACACCAACTTCAGCACAGCAACTCGATGAATGCTCCGTGTACCCCAAATCATCTCGAGATGAGAGCTGCTTCCCTGGCTTAGGCTCAAGACGTATGCCAACTTTCAAGAAGCACCTCAGGAGGAGGCTTCTCTCAGCAATAGGTATGTGGGAGGGACCCCGAGTTTGCTGCCTCAAGGGGAATATACAGCGAGAAGCCCTAACTTGAAAGGAGGCCGGATTTCCTTGCAGTGGCTTGGATACAGGATCGTGTTTCATCTCACAACATGAAGGGATGTCTGAATCCCCAGTGGAGACCTTAGAGAAAGCCCTAGGTCCCTGCCTCATTTTGAGGGAATGCCTCACATCCCGCTGACACCTCGAGAGGCACGCGGAGTTCATTGCTTCAAAAGGTGACGATGCCTGACTCCTCTTGAATACTGATAGGAATCCCAAAATCCCTGTGGCTACTGGAAAGGGTCCTTGGGTGCCCTGCCTCACCTCGAGAAGCGTGCCTTTTGCCCTGCCAAGCCTCGAAGTGATTCCTGAAGTGTCCCTCGTTACTAGACAGGAGTCCTGACGTCACTGAAGAAACTCGTGTATTGAAGGGCCATCCCCGCCGTAAGTCGAGAACATACCCCAGGTCCCTGACGCAACTCGAGAAAAACAATGAGACTTCCCCCTAGAGGCGAGATGAGGCCCCATTCCCCTGCAGTGCATGCAGAGCTATTCCTTGATCCCATTCAAACAAGTCAGGAGCTTCGACTTGCTTAATGGATCTCGAGACAGTCCCCAAGAACACTGTCACCAGTCTAGACGGACCCTGTGTTCACCCCAGCAACGCAAAGCAGCTCCATGTGGCCCAAATCAACTCGAGATGAGGCCCGATTCCCCTGCCTTGACTCCAGAGCCAATCCCCGTTCCCCATTCAACACGACCGGTGGCTTGACTTCCTTCAGGCAACTCCAGAGATGCCCCGAGAACACTGTCCCAAGTCTAGAGGAACACCAACTTCAGCACAGCAACTCGAGGAATGCTCCGTGTGCCCGAAATCGTCTCGAGATGAGAGCTGATTCCCTGGCTTAGGCTCAAGACGCATGCCAACTTTCCAAAAGCACCTCAGGAGGATTATTCTCTCAGCAAAAGTTATGTGGGAGGGACCCTGTGTTTGCTGCCTCAAGGGGAATATACTGCGAGAAGCTCTAACTTGAAAGGAGGCCGGATTTCCTTGCAGTGGCTTGAATACAGGCTCGTCTTTCATCTCACAACATGAAGGGATGTCTGAATCCCCTGTGGAGACCTTAGAGAAAGCCCTAGGTCCCTGCCTCATTTTGACGTAATGCCTCACATCCCGCTGACACCTCGAGAGGCACGCGGAGTTCATTGCTTCAAAAGGTGACGATGCCTGACTCCTCTTGAATACTGATAGGAATCCCAAAATCCCTGTGGCTACTGGAAAGGGTCCTTGGGTGCCCTGCCTCACCTCGAGAAGCGTCCCTTTTGCCCTACCAAGCCTCGAAGAGATTCCTGAGGTGTCCCTCGTTACTAGACAGGAGTCCTGACGTCACTGAAGAAACTCGTGTTTTGAAGGGCCATCCCCGCCGTAAGTCAAGAACATACCCCACGTCCCCGCCGCAACTCGAGAAAAACCATGAGACTTCCACATAGAGGCGAGATGAGGCCCCATTCCCCTGCAGTGCATGCAGAGCTATTCCGTGATCCCATTCAAACAAGTCAGGAGCTTCGACTTGCTTAACGGATCTCGAGACAGCCCCAAGAACACTGTCACCAGTCTAGACGGACCCTGAGGTCACCCCAGCAACGCAAAGCAGCTCCATGTGGCCCAAATCAACTCGAGATGAGGCCCGATTCCCCTGCATTGACTCCAGAGCCATTCCCCGTTCCCCATTCAACACGACCGGTGGCTCGACTTCCTTCAGACAACTCCAGAGATGCCCCGAGAACACTGTCCCAAGTCTAGAGGAACACCAACTTCAGCACAGCAACTCGAGGAATGCTCCGTGTACCTCAAATCGTCTCGAGATGAGAGCTGATTCCCTGGCTTAGGCTCAAGACGATTGCCAACTTTCCAGAAGCACCTCAGGAGGAGGATTCTCTCAGCAAAAGGTATGTGGGAGGAACCCCGAGTTTGCTGCCTCAAGGGGAATATACAGCGAGAAGCCCTAACTTGAAAGGAGGCCGGATTTCCTTGCAGTGGCTTGAATACAGGCTCGTCTTTCATCTCACAACATGAAGGGATGTCTGAATCCCCTGTGGAGACCTTAGAGAAAGCCCTAGGTCCCTGCCTCATTTTGACGGAATGCCTCACATCCCGCTGACACCTCGAGAGGCACGCGGAGTTCATTGCTTCAAAAGGTGACGATGCCTGACTCCTCTTGAATACTGATAGGAATCCGAAAATCCCTGTGGCTACTGGAAAGGGTCCTTGGGTGCCCTGCCTCACCTCGAGAAGCGTCCCTTTGCCCTGCCAAGCCTCGAAGAGATTCCTGAAGTGTCCCTCGTTACTAGACAGGAGTCCTGATGTCACTGAAGAAACTCGTGTTTTGAAGGGCCATCCCCGCCGTAAGTCGAGAACATGCCCCAGGTCCCTGCCGCAACTCGAGAAAAACCATGAGACTTCCCCCTTGAGGAGAGATGAGGCCCCATTCCCCTGCAATGCATGCAGAGCTATTCCGTGATCACATTCAAACAAGTCAGCAGCTTCGACTTGCTTAATGGATCTCGAGACAGTCCCCAAGAACACTGTCACCAGTCTAGACGGACCCTGAGGTCACCCCAGCAACGCAAAGCAGCTCCATGTGGCCCATATCAACTCGAGATAGAGGCCCGATTCCCCTGCATTGACTCCAGAGCCATTCCCCGTTCCCCATTCAACACGACCGTTGGCTCGACTTCCTTCAGGCAACTCCAGAGATGCCCCGAGAACACTGTCCCAGGTCTAGAGGAACACCAACTTCAGCACAGCAACTCGATGAATGCTCCGTGTACCCCAAATCGTCTCGAGATGAGAGCTGATTCCCTGGCTTAGGCTCAAGACGTATGCCAACTTTCCAGAAGCACCTCAGGAGGAGGCTTCTCTCAGCAATAGGTATGTGGGAGGGACCCCGAGTATGCTGCCTCAAGGGGAATATACAGCGAGAAGCCCTAACTTGAAAGGAGGCCGGATTTCCTTGCAGTGGCTTGAATACAGGCTCGTGTTTCATCTCACAACATGAAGGGATGTCTGAATCCCCTGTGGAGAGCATAGAGAAAGCCCTAGGTCCCTGCCTCATTTTGACGGAATGCCTCACATCCCGCTGACACCTCGAGAGGCACGCGGAGTTCATTGCTTCAAAAGGTGACGATGCCTGACTCCTCTTGAAAACTGATAGGATTCCCAAAATCCCTGTGGCCACTGGAAATGGTCCTTCGGTGACCTGCCTCATCTCGAGAAGCGTCCCTTTTGCTGTGCCAAGCCTCGAAGAGATTCCTGAGGTGTCCCTCATTACTAGACAGGAGTCCTGACGACACTGAAGAAACTCGTGTTTTGAAGGGCCATCCCCGCCGTAAGTCGAGAACATACCCCAGATCCCTGCCGCAACTCGAGAAAAATCATGAGACTTCCGCCTAGAGGCGAGATGAGGCCCCATTCTCCTGCAGTGCATGCAGAGCTATTCCCTGATCCCATTCAAACAAGTCAGGAGCTTCGACTTGCTTAACGGATCTCGAGACAGTCCCCAAGAACACTGTCACCAGTCTAGACGGACCCTGAGGTCACCCCAGCAACGCAAAGCAGATCCATGTGGCCCAAATCAACTCGAGATGAGGCCCGATTCCCCTGCCTTGACTCCAGAGCGATTCCCCATTCCCCATTCAACACGACCGGTGGCTCGACTTCTTTCAGGCAACTCCAGAGATGCGCCGAGAACACTGTCCCAAGTCTAGAGGAACACCAACTTCAGCACAGCAACTCGAGGAATGTTCCGTGTACCCCAAATCGTCTCGAGATGAGAGCTGATTCCTGGCTTAGGCTCAAGACGTATGCCAACTTTCCAGAAGCACCTCAGGAGGAGGATTCTCTCAGCACAAGGTATGTGGGAGGGACCCCGAGTTTGCTGCCTCAAGAGGAATATACAGCGAGAAGCCCTAACTTGAAAGGAGGCCGGATTTCCTTGCAGTGGCTTGAATACAGGCTCGTCTTTCATCTCACAACATGAAGGGATGTCTGAATCCCCTGTGGAGACCTTAGAGAAAGCCCTAGGTCTCTGCCTCATTTTGACGGAATGCCTCACATCCCGCTGACACCTCGAGAGGCACGCGGAGTTCATTGCTTCAAAAGGTGACGATGCCTGACTCCTCTTGAATACTGATAGGAATCCCAAAATCCCTGTGCCTACTGGAAAGCGTCCTTGGGTGCCCTGCCTCACCTCGAGAAGCGTCCCTTTTGCCCTGCCAAGCCTCGAAGAGATTCCTGAGGTGTCCCTCGTTACTAGACAGGAGTCCTGACGTCACTGAAGAAACTCGTGTTTTGAAGGGCCATCCCCGCCTTAAGTCAAGAACATACCCCAGGTCCCCGCCGCAACTCGAGAAAAACCCTGAGACTTCCCCCTAGAGGCGAGATGAGGCCCCATTCCCCTGCAGTGCATGCAGAGCTATTCCGTGATCCCATTCAAACAAGTCAGGAGCTTCGACTTGCTTAATGGATCTCGAGACAGTCCCAAGAATACTGTCACCAGTCTACACGGGCCCTGAGGTCACCCCAGCAACGCAAAGCAGCTCCATGTGCCCCAAATCAACTCGAGATAGAGGCCCGATTCCCCTGCATTGACTCCAGAACCATTCCCCGTTCCCCATTCAACACGACCGGTGGCTCGACTTCCTTCAGGCAACTCCAGAGATGCCCTGAGAACACTGTCCCAAGTCTACAGGAACACCAACTTCAGCACAGCAACTCGATGAATGTTCCGTGTACCCCAAATCGTCTCGAGATGAGAGCTGATTCCCTGGCTTAGGCTCAAGACATATGCCAACTTTCCAGAAGCACCTCAGGAGGAGGCTTCTCTCAGCAATAGGTATGTGGGAGGGACCCCGAGTATGCTGCCTCAAGGGGAATATACAGCGAGAAGCCCTAACTTGAAAGGAGGCCGGATTTCCTTGCAGTGGCTTGAATACAGGCTCGTGTTTCATCTCACAACATGAAGGGATGTCTGATATCCCCTGTGGAGACCTTAGAGAAAGCCCTAGGACCCTGCCTCATTTTGACGGAATGCCTCACATCCCGCTGACACCTCGAGAGGCACGCGGAGTTCATTGCTTCCAAAGGTGACGATATCTGACTCCTCTTGAAAACTGATAGGATTCCCAAAATCCCTGTGGCCACTGGAAATGGACCTTGGGTGCCCTGCCTCATCTCGATAAGCGTCCCTTTTGCCCTGCCAAGCCTCGAAGAGATTCCTGAGGTGTCCCTCGTTACTAGACAGGAGTCCTGACGTCACTGAAGAAACGCGTGTTTTGAAGGGCCATCCCCGCCGTAAGTCGAGAACATACCCCAGGTCCCTGCCGCAACTCGAGAAAAATCATGAGACTTCCCCCTAGAGGCGAGATGAGGCCCCATTCCCCTGCAGTGCATGCAGAGCTTTTCCGTGATCCCATTCAAACAAGTCAGGAGCTTCGACTTGCTTAACGGATCTCGAGACAGTCCCCAAGAACACTGTCACCAGTCTAGACGGACCCTGAGGTCACCCCAGCAACGCAAAGCAGCTCCATGTGGCCCAAATCAACTCGAGATGAGGCCCGATTCCCCTGCCTTGACTCCAGAGCCATTCCCCGTTCCCCATTCAACACGACCGGTGGCTCGACTTCCTTCAGGCAACTCCAGAGATGCCCCGAGAACACTGTCCCAAGTCTAGAGGAACACCAACTTCAGCACAGCAACTCGAGGAATGCTCCGTGTACCACAAATCGTCTCGAGATGAGAGCTGATTCCCTGGCTTAGGCTCAAGACGTATGCCAACTTTCCAGAAGCACCTCAGGAGGAGGATTCTCTCAGCAAAAGTTATGTGGGAGGGACCCCGAGTTTGCTGCCTCAAGGGGAATATACTGCGAGAAGCCCTAAGTTTAAAGGAGGCTGGATTTCCTTGCAGTGGCTTGAATACAGGCTCGTCTTTCATCTCACAACATGAAGGGATGTCTGAATCCCCTGTGGAGACCTTAGAGAAAGCCCTAGGTCCCTGCCTCATTTTGACGGAATGCCTCACATCCCGTTGACACCTCGAGAGGCACGCTGAGTTCATTGCTTCAAAAGGTGACGATGCCTGACTCCTCTTGAATACTGATAGGAATCGCAAAATCCCTGTGGCTACTGGAAAGGGTCCTTGGGTGCCCTGCCTCACCTCGAGAAGCATCCCTTTTGCCCTGCCAAGCCTCGAAGTGATTCCTGAGGTGTCCCTCATTACTAGACAGGAGTCCTGACGTCACTGAAGAAACTCGTGTTTTGAAGGGCCATCGCCGCCGTAAGTCAAGAACATACCCCAGGTCCACGCCGCAACTCGAGAAAAACCATGAGACTTCCCCATAGAGGCGAGATGAGGCCCCATTCCCCTGCAGTGCATGCAGAGCTATTCCGTGATCCCATTCAAACAAGTCAGGAGCTTCGACTTGCTTAATGGATCTCGAGACAGTCCCAAGAATACTGTCACCAGTCTAGACGAACCCTGAGGTCACCCCAGCAACGCAAAGCAGCTCCATGTGCCCCAAATCAACTCGAGATGAGGCCCGATTCCCCTGCATTGACTCCAGAGCCATTCCCCGTTCCCCATTCAACACGACCGGTGGCTCGACTTCCTTCAGGCAACTCCAGAGATGCCCCGAGAACACTGTCCCAAGTCTAGAGGAACACCAACTTCAGCACAGCAACTCGATGAATGCTCCGTGTACCCCAAATCATCTCGAGATGAGAGCTGCTTCCCTGGCTTAGGCTCAAGACGTATGCCAACTTTCAAGAAGCACCTCAGGAGGAGGCTTCTCTCAGCAATAGGTATGTGGGAGGGACCCCGAGTTTGCTGCCTCAAGGGGAATATACAGCGAGAAGCTCTAACTTGAAAGGAGGCTGGATTTCCTTGCAGTGGCTTGAATACAGGCTCGTCTTTCATCTCACAACATGAAGGGATGTCTGAATCCCCTGTGGAGACCTTAGAGAAAGCCCTAGGTCCCTGCCTCATTTTGATGTAATGCCTCACATCCCGCTGACACCTCGAGAGGCATGCGGAGTTCATTGCTTCAAAAGGTGACGATGCCTGACTCCTCTTGAATACTGATAGGAATCCCAAAATCCCTGTGGCTACTGGAAAGGGTCCTTGGGTGCCCTGCCTCACCTCGAGAAGCGTCCCTTTTGCCCTACCAAGCGTCGAAGAGATTCCTGAGGTGTCCCTCGTTACTAGACAGGAGTCCTGACGTCACTGAAGAAACTCGTGTTTTGAAGGGCCATCCCCGCCGTAAGTCAAGAACATACCCCAGGTCCCCGCCGCAACTCGAGAAAAACCATGAGACTTCCCCATAGAGGCGAGATGAGGCCCCATTCCCCTGCAGTGCATGCAGAGCTATTCCGTGATCCCATTCAAACAAGTCAGGAGCTTCGACTTGCTTAATGGATCTCGAGACAGTCCCAAGAATACTGTCACCAGTCTAGACGGACCCTGAGGTCACCCCAGGAACGCAAAGCAGCTCCATGTGCCCCAAATCAACTCGAGATGAGGCCCGATTCCCCTGCATTGACACCAGAGCCATTCCCCGTTCCCCATTCAACACGACCGGTGGCTCGACTTCCTTCAGGCAACTCCAGAGATGCCCCGAGAACACTGTCCCAAGTCTAGAGGAACACCAACTTCAGCACTGCAACTCGATGAATGCTCCGTGTACCCCAAATCGTCTCGAGATGAGAGCTGATTCCCTGGCTTAGGCTCAAGACGTATGCCAACTTTCCAGAAGCACCTCAGGAGGAGGCTTCTCTCAGCAATAGGTATGTGGGAGGGACCCCGAGTATGCTGCCTCAAGAGGAATATACAACGAGAAGCCCTAGTTTGAAAGGAGGCCGGATTTCCTTGCAGTGGCTTGAATACACACTCGTGTTTCATCTCACAACATGAAGGGATGTCTGAATCCCCTGTGGAGACCTTAGAGAAAGCCCTAGGTCCCTGCCTCATTTTGACGGAATGCCTCACATCCCGCTGACACCTCGAGAGGCACGCGGAGTTCATTGCTTCAAAAGGTGACGAGGCCTGACTCCTCTTGAAAATTGATAAGATTAACAAAATCCCTGTGGCCACTGGAAATGGTCCTTGAGTGCCCTGCCTCATCTCGAGAAGCCTCCCTTTTGCCCTGCCAAGCCTCGAAGAGATTCCTGAGGTGTCCCTCGTTACTAGACAGGAGTCCTGACGTCACTGAAGAAACTCGTGTTTTGAAGGGCAATCCCGCCGTAAGTCGAGAACATACCCCAGGTCCCTGCCGCAACTCGAGAAAAACCATGAGACTTCCCCCTAGAGGCGAGATGAGGCCCCATTCCCCTGCAGTGCATGCAGAGCTATTCCGTGATCACATTCAAACAAGTCAGGAGCTTCGACTTGCTTAACGGATCTCGAGACAGCCCCAAGAACACTGTCACCAGTCTAGACGGACCCTGAGGTCACCCCAGCAACGCAAAGCAGCTCCATGTGGCCCAAATCAACTCGAGATGAGGCCCGATTCCCCTGCATTGACTCCAGAGCCATTCCCCGTTCCCCATTCAACACGACCGGTGGCTCGACTTCCTTCAGGCAACTCCAGAGATGCCCCGAGAACACTGTCCCAACTCTAGAGGAACACCAACTTCAGCACAGCAACTCGAGGAATGCTCCGTGTACCCCAAATCGTCTCGAGATGAGAGCTGATTCCCTGGCTTAGGCTCAAGACGATTGCCAACTTTCCAGAAGCACCTCAGGAGGAGGATTCTCTCAGCAAAAGGTATGTGGGAGGAACCCCGAGTTTGCTGCCTCAAGGGGAATATACAGCGAGAAGCCCTAACTTGAAAGGAGGCCGGATTTCCTTGCAGTGGCTTGAATACAGGCTCGTCTTTCATCTCACAACATGAAGGGATGTCTGAATCCCCTGTGGAGACCTTAGAGAAAGCCCTAGGTCCCTGCCTCATTTTGACGTAATGCCTCACATCCCGCTGACACCTCGAGAGGCACGCGGAGTTCATTGCTTCAAAAGGTGACGATGCCTGACTCCTCTTGAATACTGATAGGAATCCCAAAATCCCTGTGGCTACTGGAAAGGGTCCTTGGGTGCCCTGCCTCATCTCGAGAAGCGTCCCTTTTGCCGTGCCAAGCCTCGAAGAGATTCCTGAGGTGTCCCTCATTACTAGACAGGAGTCCTGACGACACTGAAGAAACTCGTGTTTTGAAGGGCCATCCCCGCCGTAAGTCGAGAACATACCCCAGATCCCTGCCGCAACTCGAGAAAAATCATGAGACTTCCCCCTAGAGGCGAGATGAGGACCCATTCTCCTGCAGTGCATGCAGAGCTATTCCCTGATCCCATTCAAACAAGTCAGGAGCTTCGACTTGCTTAACGGATCTCGAGACAGTCCCCAAGAACACTGTCACCAGTCTAGACGGACCCTGAGGTCACCCCAGCAACGCAAAGCAGATCCATGTGGCCCAAATCAACTCGAGATGAGGCCCGATTCCCCTGCCTTGACTCCAGAGCGATTCCCCATTCCCCATTCAACACGACCGGTGGCTCGACTTCTTTCAGGCAACTCCAGAGATGCACCGAGAACACTGTCCCAAGTCTAGAGGAACACCAACTTCAGCACAGCAACTCGAGGAATGTTCCGTGTACCCCAAATCGTCTCGAGATGAGAGCTGATTCCTGGCTTAGGCTCAAGACGTATGCCAACTTTCCAGAAGCACCTCAGGAGGAGGATTCTCTCAGCACAAGGTATGTGGGAGGGACCCCGAGTTTGTTGCCTCAAGAGGAATATACAGCGAGAAGCCCTAACTTGAAAGGAGGCCGGATTTCCTTGCAGTGGCTTGAATACTGGCTCGTCTTTCATCTCACAACATGAAGGGATGTCTGAATCCCCTGTGGAGACCTTAGAGAAAGCCCTAGGTCTCTGCCTCATTTTGACGGAATGCCTCACATCCCGCTGACACCTCGAGAGGCACGCGGAGTTCATTGCTTCAAAAGGTGACGATGCCTGACTCCTCTTGAATACTGATAGGAATCCCAAAATCCCTGTGCCTACTGGAAAGCGTCCTTGGGTGCCCTGCCTCACCTCGAGAAGCGTCCCTTTTGCCCTGCCAAGCCTCGAAGAGATTCCTGAGGTGTCCCTCGTTACTAGACAGGAGTCCTGACGTCACTGAAGAAACTCGTGTTTTGAAGGGTCATCCCCGCCTTAAGTCAAGAACATACCCCAGGTCCCCGCCGCAACTCGAGAAAAACCATGAGACTTCCCCCTAGAGGCGAGATGAGGCCCCATTCCCTTGCAGTGCATGCAGAGCTATTCCGTGATCCCATTCAAACAAGTCAGGAGCTTCGACTTGCTTAATGGATCTCGAGACAGTCCCAAGAATACTGTCACCAGTCTACACGGGCCCTGAGGTCACCCCAGCAACGCAAAGCAGCTCCATGTGCCCCAAATCAACTCGAGATAGAGGCCCGATTCCCCCGCATTGACTCCAGAGCCATTCCCCGTTCCCCATTCAACACGACCGGTGGCTCGACTTCCTTCAGGCAACTCCAGAGATGCCCCGAGAACACTGTCCCAAGTCTAGAGGAACACCAACTTCAGCACAGCAACTCGATGAATGTTCCGTGTACCCCAAATCGTCTCGAGATGAGAGCTGATTCCCTGGCTTAGGCTCAAGACATATGCCAACTTTCCAGAAGCACCTCAGGAGGAGGCTTCTCTCAGCAATAGGTATGTGGGAGGGACCCCGAGTATGCTGCCTCAAGGGGAATATACAGCGAGAAGCCCTAACTTGAAAGGAGGCCGGATTTCCTTGCAGTGGCTTGAATACAGGCTCGTGTTCAATCTCACAACATGAAGGGATGTCTGAATCCCCTGTGGAGACCTTAGAGAAAGCCCTAGGTCCCTGCCTCATTTTGACGGAATGCCTCACATCCCGCTGACACCACGAGAGGCACGCGGAGTTCATTGCTTCCAAAGGTGACGATACCTGACTCCTCTTGAAAACTGATAGGATTCCCAAAATCCCTGTGGCCACTGGAAATGGTCCGTGGGTGCCCTGCCTCATCTCGATAAGCGTCCCTTTTGCCCTGCCAAGCCTCGAAGATATTCCTGAGGTGTCCCTCGTTACTAGACAGGAGTCCTGACGTCACTGAAGAAACTCGTGTTTTGAAGGGCCATCCCCGCCGTAAGTCGAGAACATACCCCAGGTCCCTGCCGCAACTCGAGAAAAATCATGAGACTTCCCCCTAGAGGCGAGATGAGGCCCCATTCCCCTGCAGTGCATGCAGAGCTTTTACGTGATCCCATTCAAACAAGTCAGGAGCTTCGACTTGCTTAACGGATCTCGAGACAGTCCCCAAGAACACTGTCACCAGTCTAGACGGACCCTGAGGTCACCCCAGCAACGCAAAGCAGCTCCATGTGGCCCAAATCAACTCGAGATGAGGCCCGATTCCCCTGCCTTGACTCCAGAGCCATTCCCCGTTCCCCATTCAACACGACCGGTGGCTCGACTTCCTTCAGGCAACACCAGAGATGCCCCGAGAACACTGTCCCAAGTCTAGAGGAACACCAACTTCAGCACAGCAACTCGAGGAATGCTCCGTGTACCCCAAATCGTCTCGAGATGAGAGATGATTCCCTGGCTTAGGCTCAAGACGTATGCCAACTTTCCAGAAGCACCTCAGGAGGAGGATTCTCTCAGCAAAAGTTATGTGGGAGGGACCCCGAGTTTGCTGCCTCAAGGGGAATATACAGCGAGAAGCCCTAACTTGAAAGGAGGCCGGATTTCCTTGCAGTGGCTTGAATACAGGCTCGTCTTTCATCTCACAACATGAAGGGATGTCTGAATTCCCTGTGGAGACCTTAGAGAAAGCCCTAGGTCCCTGCCTCATTTTGACGGAATGCCTCACATCCCGCTGACACCTCGAGAGGCACGCGGACTTCATTGCTTCAAAAGGTGACGATGCCTGACTCCTCTTGAATACTGATAGGAATCCGAAAATCCCTGTGGCTACTGGAAAGGGTCCTTGGGTGCCCTGCCTCACCTCGAGAAGCGTCCCTTTTGCCCTGCCAAGCCTCGAAGAGATTCCTGAAGTGTCCCTCGTTACTAGACAGGAGTCCTGATGTCACTGAAGAAACTCGTGTTTTGAAGGGCCATCCCCGCCGTAAGTCGAGAACATGCCCCAGGTCCCTGCCGCAACTCGAGAAAAACCATGAGACTTCCCCCTTGAGGCGAGATGAGGCCCCATTCCCCTGCAATGCATGCAGAGCTATTCCGTGATCACATTCAAACAAGTCAGGAGCTTCGACTTGCTTAATGGATCTCGAGACAGTCCCCAAGAACACTGTCACCAGTCTAGACGGACCCTGAGGTCACCCCAGCAACGCAAAGCAGCTCCATGTGGCCCATATCAACTCGAGATAGAGGCCCGATTCCCCTGCATTGACTCCAGAGCCATTCCCCGTTCCCGATTCAACACGACCGTTGGCTCGACTTCCTTCAGGCAACTCCAGAGATGCCCCGAGAACACTGTCCCAGGTCTAGAGGAACACCAACTTCAGCACAGCAACTCGATGAATGCACTGTGTACCCCAAATCGTCTCGAGATGAGAGCTGATTCCCTGGCTTAGGCTCAAGACGTATGCCAACTTTCCAGAAGCACTTCAGGAGGAGGCTTCTCTCAGCAATAGGTATGTGGGAGGGACCCCGAGTATGCTGCCTCAAGGGGAATATACAGCGAGAAGCCCTAACTTGAAAGGAGGCCGGATTTCCTTGCAGTGGCTTGAATACAGGCTCGTGTTTCATCTCACAACATGAAGGGATGTCTGAATCCCCTGTGGAGACCTTAGAGAAAGCCCTAGGTCCCTGCCTCATTTTGACGGAATGCCTCACATCCCGCTGAAACCTCGAGAGGCACGCGGAGTTCATTGATTCAAAAGGTGACGATGCCTGACTCCTCTTGAAAACTGATAGGATTCCCAAAATCCCTGTGGCCACTGGAAATGGTCCTTCGGTGACCTGCCTCATCTCGAGAAGCGTCCCTTTTGCCGTGCCAAGCCTCGAAGAGATTCCTGAGGTGTCCCTCATTACTAGACAGGAGTCCTGACGACACTGAAGAAACTCGTGTTTTGAAGGGCCATCCCCGCCGTAAGTCGAGAACATACCCCAGGTCCCTGCCGCAACTCGAGAAAAATCATGAGACTTCCCCCTAGAGGCGAGATGAGGCCCCATTCCCCTGCAGTGCATGCAGAGCTATTCCGTGATCCCATTCAAACAAGTCAGGAGCTTCGACTTGCTTAATGGATCTCGAGACAGTCCCCAAGAACACTGTCACCAGTCTAGACGGACCCTGAGGTCACCCCAGCAACGCAAAGCAGCTCCATGTGGCCCAAATCAACTCGAGATGAGGCCCGATTCCCCTGCCTTGACTCCAGAGCGATTCCCCATTCCCCATTCAACACGACCGGTGGCTCGACTTCTTTCAGGCAACTCCAGAGATGCGCCGAGAACACTGTCCCAAGTCTAGAGGAACACCAACTTCAGCACAGCAACTCGAGGAATGTTCCGTGTACCCCAAATCGTCTCGAGATGAGAGCTGATTCCTGGCTTAGGCTCAAGACGTATGCCAACTTTCCAGAAGCACCTCAGGAGGAGGATTCTCTCAGCACAAGGTATGTGGGAGGGACCCCGAGTTTGCTGCCTCAAGAGGAATATACAGCGAGAAGCCCTAACTTGAAAGGAGGCCGGATTTCCTTGCAGTGGCTTGAATACAGGCTCGTCTTTCATCTCACAACATGAAGGGATGTCTGAATCCCCTGTGGAGACCTTAGAGAAAGCCCTAGGTCTCTGCCTCATTTTGACGGAATGCCTCACATCCCGCTGACACCTCGAGAGGCACGCGGAGTTCATTGCTTCAAAAGGTGACGATGCCTGACTCCTCTTGAATACTGATAGGAATCCCAAAATCCCTGTGCCTACTGGAAAGCGTCCTTGGGTGCCCTGCCTCACCTCGAGAAGCGTCCCTTTTGCCCTGCCAAGCCTCGAAGAGATTCCTGAGGTGGCCCTCGTTACTAGACAGGAGTCCTGACGTCACTGAAGAAACTCGTGTTTTGAAGGGCCATCCCCGCCGTAAGTCAAGAACATACCCCAGGTCCCCGCCGCAACTCGAGAAAAACCATGAGACTTCCCCCTAGAGGCGAGATGAGGCCCCATTCCCCTGCAGTGCATGCAGAGCTATTCCGTGATCCCATTCAAACAAGTCAGGAGCTTCGACTTGCTTAATGGATCTCGAGACAGTCCCAAGAATACTGTCACCAGTCTACACGGGCCCTGAGGTCACCCCAGCAACGCAAAGCAGCTCCATGTGCCCCAAATCAACTCGAGATAGAGGCCCGATTCCCCCGCATTGACTCCAGAGCCATTCCCCGTTCCCCATTCAACACGACCGGTGGCTCGACTTCCTTCAGGCAACTCCAGAGATGCCCCGAGAACACTGTCCCAAGTCTAGAGGAACACCAACTTCAGCACAGCAACTCGATGAATGTTCCGTGTACCCCAAATCGTCTCGAGATGAGAGCTGATTCCCTGGCTTAGGCTCAAGACATATGCCAACTTTCCAGAAGCACCTCAAGAGGAGGCTTCTCTCAGCAATAGGTATGTGGGAGGGACCCCGAGTATGCTGCCTCAAGGGGAATATACAGCGAGAAGCCCTAACTTGAAAGGAGGCCGGATTTCCTTGCAGTGGCTTGAATACAGGCTCGTGTTTCATCTCACAACATGAAGGGATGTCTGAATCCCCTGTGGAGACCTTAGAGAAAGCCCTAGGTCCCTGCCTCATTTTGACGGAATGCCTCACATCCCGCTGACACCTCGAGAGGCACGCGGAGTTCATTGCTTCCAAAGGTGACGATACCTGACTCCTCTTGAAAACTGATAGGATTCCCAAAATCCCTTTGGCCACTGGAAATGGTCCTTGGGTGCCCTGCCTCATCTCGATAAGCGTCCCTTTTGCCCTGCCAAGCCTCGAAGATATTCCTGAGGTGTCCCTCATTACTAGACAGGAGTCCTGACGTCACTGAAGAAACTCGTGTTTTGAAGGGCCATCCCCGCCGTAAGTCGAGAACATACCCCAGGTCCCTGCCGCAACTCGAGAAAAACCATGAGACTTCCCCCTAGAGGCGAGATGAGGCCCCATTCCCCTGCAGTGCATGCAGAGCTTTTCCGTGATCCCATTCAAACAAGTCAGGAGCTTCGACTTGCTTAACGGATCTCGAGACAGTCCCCAAGAACACTGTCACCAGTCTAGACGGACCCTGAGGTCACCCCAGCAACGCAAAGCAGATCCATGTGGCCCAAATCAACTCGAGATGAGGCCCGATTCCCCTGCCTTGACTCCAGAGCCATTCCCCGTTCCCCATTCAACACGACCGGTGGCTCGACTTCCTTCAGGCAACTCCAGAGATGCCCCGAGAACACTGTCCCAAGTCTAGAGGAACACCAACTTCAGCACAGCAACTCGAGGAATGCTCCGTGTACCCCAAATCGTCTCGAGATGAGAGCTGATTCCCTGGCTTAGGCTCAAGACGTATGCCAACTTTCCAGAAGCACCTCAGGAAGAGGATTCTCTCAGCAAAAGTTATGTGGGAGGGACCCCGAGTTTGCTGCCTCAAGGGGAATATACAGCGATAAGCCCTAAGTTGAAAGGAGGCTGGATTTCCTTGCAGTGGCTTGAATACAGGCTCGTCTTTCATCTCACAACATGAAGGGATGTCTGAATCCCCTGTGGAGACCTTAGAGAAAGCCCTAGGTCCCTGCCTCATTTTGACGGAATGCCTCACATCCCGTTGACACCTCGAGAGGCACGCGGAGTTCATTGCTTCAAAAGGTGACGATGCCTAACTCCTCTTGAATACTGATAGGAATCGCAAAATCCCTGTGGCTACTGGAAAGGGTCCTTGGGTGCCCTGCCTCACCTCGAGAAGCATCCCTTTTGCCCTGCCAAGCCTCGAAGTGATTCCTGAGGTGTCCCTCATTACTAGACAGGAGTCCTGACGTCACTGAAGAAACTCGTGTTTTGAAGGGCCATCCCCGCCGTAAGTCAAGAACATACCCCAGGTCCCCGCCGCAACTCGAGAAAAACCGTGAGACTTCTCCATAGAGGCGAGATGAGGCCCCATTCCCCTGCAGTGCATGCAGAGCTATTCCGTGATCCCATTCAAACAAGTCAGGAGCTTCGACTTGCTTAATGGATCTCGAGACAGTCCCAAGAATACTGTCACCAGTCTACACGGACCCTGAGGTCACCCCAGCAACGCAAAGCAGCTCCATGTGCCCCAAATCAACTCGAGATGAGGCGCGATTCCCCTGCATTGAATCCAGAGCCATTCCCCGTTCCCAATTCAACACGACCGGTGGCTTGACTTCCTTCAGGCAACTCCAGAGATGCCCCGAGAAGAGTGTCCCAAGTCTAGAGGAACACCAACTTCAGCACAGCAACTCGAGGAATGCTCCGTGTACCCCAAATCGTATCGAGATGAGAGCTGATTCCCTGGCTTAGACTCAAGACGTATGCCAACTTTCCAGAAGCACCTCAGGAGGATTATTCTCTCAGCAAAAGTTATGTGGGAGGGACCCCGTGTTTGCTGCCTCAAGGGGAATATACAGCGAGAAGCCCTCACTTGAAAGGAGGCCGGATTTCCTTGCAGTGGCTTGAATACAGGGTCGTCTTTCATCTCACAACATGAAGGGATGTCTGAATCCCCTGTGGAGACCTTAGAGAAAGCCCTAGGTCCCTGCCTCATTTTGACGTAATGCCTCACATCCCGCTGACACCTCGAGAGGCACGCGGAGTTCATTGCTTCAAAAGGTGACGATGCCTGACTCCTCTTGAATACTGATAGGAATCCCAAAATCCCTGTGGCTACTGGAAAGGGTCCTTGGGTGCCCTGCCTCACCTCGAGAAGCGTCCCTTTTGCCCTACCAAGCCTCGAAGAGATTCCTGAGGTGTCCCTCGTTACTAGACAGGAGTCCTGACGTCACTGAAGAAACTCGTGTTTTGAAGGGCCATCCACGCCGTAAGTCAAGAACATACCCCAGGTCCCCGCCGCAACTCGAGAAAAACCATGAGACTTCCCCATAGAGGCGAGATGAGGCCCCATTCCCCTGCAGTGCATGCAGAGCTATTCCGTGATCACATTCAAACAAGTCAGGAGCTTCGACTTGCTTAACGGATCACGAGACAGCCCCAAGAACACTGTCACCAGTCTAGACGGACCCTGAGGTCACCCCAGCAACGCAAAGCAGCTCCATGTGGCCCAAATCAACTCGAGATGACGCCCGATTCCCCTGCATTGACTCCAGAGCCATTCCCCGTTCCGCATTCAACATGACCGGTGGCTCGACTTCCTTCAGGCAACTCCAGAGATGCCCCGAGAACACTGTCCCAAGTCTAGAGGAACACCAACTTCAGCACAGCAACTCGAGGAATGCTCCGTGTACCCCAAATCGTCTCGAGATGAGAGCTGATTCCCTGGCTTAGGCTCAAGACGATTGCCAACTTTCCAGAAGCACCTCAGGAGGAGGATTCTCTCAGCAAAAGGTATGTGGGAGGAACCCCGAGTTTGCTGCCTCAAGGGGAATATACAGCGAGAAGCCCTAACTTGAAAGGAGGCCAGATTTCCTTGCAGTGGCTTGAATACAGGCTCGTCTTTCATCTCACAACATGAAGGGATGTCTGAATCCCCTGTGGAGACCTTAGAGAAAGCCCTAGGTCCCTGCCTCATTTTGACGGAATGCCTCACATCCCGCTGACACCTCAAGAGGCACGCGGAGTTCATTGCTTCAAAAGGTGACGATGCCTGACTCCTCTTGAATACTGATAGGAATCCCAAAATCCCTGTGGCTACTGGAAAGGGTCCTTGGGTGCCCTGCCTCACCTCGAGAAGCGTCCCTTTTGCCCTACCAAGCCTCGAAGAGATTCCTGAGGTGTCCCTCGTTACTAGACAGGAGTCCTGACGTCACTGAAGAAACTCGTGTTTTGAAGGGCCATCCCCGCCGTAAGTCAAGAACATACCCCAGGTCCCCGCCGCAACTCGAGAAAAACCATGAGACTTCCCCATAGAGGCGAGATGAGGCCCCATTCCCCTGCAGTGCATGCAGAGCTATTCCGTGATCACATTCAAACAAGTCAGGAGCTTCGACTTGCTTAACGGATCACGAGACAGCCCCAAGAACACTGTCACCAGTCTAGACGGACCCTGAGGTCACCCCAGCAACGCAAAGCAGCTCCATGTGGCCCAAATCAACTCGAGATGACGCCCGATTCCCCTGCATTGACTCCAGAGCCATTCCCCGTTCCGCATTCAACATGACCGGTGGCTCGACTTCCTTCAGGCAACTCCAGAGATGCCCCGAGAACACTGTCCCAAGTCTAGAGGAACACCAACTTCAGCACAGCAACTCGAGGAATGCTCCGTGTACCCCAAATCGTCTCGAGATGAGAGCTGATTCCCTGGCTTAGGCTCAAGACGATTGCCAACTTTCCAGAAGCACCTCAGGAGGAGGATTCTCTCAGCAAAAGGTATGTGGGAGGAACCCCGAGTTTGCTGCCTCAAGGGGAATATACAGCGAGAAGCCCTAACTTGAAAGGAGGCCAGATTTCCTTGCAGTGGCTTGAATACAGGCTCGTCTTTCATCTCACAACATGAAGGGATGTCTGAATCCCCTGTGGAGACCTTAGAGAAAGCCCTAGGTCCCTGCCTCATTTTGACGGAATGCCTCACATCCCGCTGACACCTCAAGAGGCACGCGGAGTTCATTGCTTCAAAAGGTGACGATGCCTGACTCCTCTTGAATACTGATAGGAATCCGAAAATCCCTGTGGCTACTGGAAAGGGTCCTTGGGTGCCCTGCCTCACCTCGAGAAGCGTCTCTTTTGCCCTGCCAAGCCTCGAAGAGATTCCTGAAGTGTCCCTCGTTACTAGACAGGAGTCCTGATGTCACTGAAGAAACTCGTGTTTTGAAGGGCCATCCCCGCCGTAAGTCGAGAACATGCCCCAGGTCCCTGCCGCAACTGGAGAAAAACCATGAGACTTCCCCCTTGAGGCGAGATGATGCCCCATTCCCCTGCAGTGCATGCAGAGCTATTCCGTGATCACATTCAAACAAGTCAGGAGCTTCGACTTGCTTAATGGATCTCGAGACAGTCCCCAAGAACACTGTCACCAGTCTAGACGGACCCTGAGGTCACCCCAGCAACGCAAAGCAGCTCCATGTGCCCCAAATCAACTCGAGATGAGGCCCGATTCCCCTGCCTTGACTCCAGAGCCATTCCCCGTTCCCCATTCAACACGACCGGTGGCTCGACTTCCTTCAGGCAACTCCAGAGATGCCCCGAGAGCACTGTCCCAAGTCTAGAGGAACACCAACTTCAGCACAGCAACTCGAGGAATGCTCCGTGTACCCCAAATCATCTCGAGATAAGAGCTGATTCCCTGGCTTAGGCTCAAGACGCATGCCAACTTTCCAGAAGCACCTCAGGAGGAGGATTCTCTCAGCAAAAGTTATGTGGGAGGGACCCCGAGTTTGCTGCCTAAAGGGGAATATACAGCGAGAAGCCCTAACTTGAAAGGAGGCCGGATTTCCTTGCAGTGGCTTGAATACAGGCTCGTCTTTCATCTCACAACATGAAGGGATGTCTGAATCCCCTGTGGAGACCTTAGAGAAAGCCCTAGGTCCCTGCCTCATTTTGACGGAATGCCTCACATCCCGTTGACACCTCGAGAGGCACGCGGAGTTCATTGCTTCAAAAGGTGACGATGCCTGACTCCTCTTGAATACTGATAGGAATCCCAAAATCCCTGGGGCTACTCGAAAGGGTCCTTGGGTGCCCTGCCTCACCTCGAGAAGCATCCCTTTTGCCCTGCCAAGCCTCGAAGCGATTCCTGAGGTGTCCCTCGTTACTAGACAGGAGTCCTGACGTCACTGAAGAAACTCGTGTTTTGAAGGGCCATCCCCGCCGTAAGTCAAGAACATACCCCAGGTCCCCGCCGCAACTCGAGAAAAACCATGAGACTTCCCCATAGAGGGGAGATGAGGCCCCATTCCCCTGCAGTGCATGCAGAGCTATTCCGTGATCCCATTCAAACAAGTCAGGAGCTTCGACTTGCTTAATGGATCTCGAGACAGTCCCAAGAATACTGTCACCAGTCTAGACGGACCCTGAGGTCACCCCAGCAACGCAAAGCAGCTCCATGTGCCCCAAATCAACTCGAGATGAGGCCCGATTCCCCTGCATTGACTCCAGAGCCATTCCCCGTTCCCCATTCAACACGACCGGTGGCTCGACTTCCTTCAGGCAACTCCAGAGATGCCCCGAGAACACTGTCCCAAGTCTAGAGGAACACCAACTTCAGCACAGCAACTCGATGAATGCTCCGTGTACCCCAAATCGTCTCGAGATGAGAGCTGATTCCCTGGCTTAGGCTCAACAAGTATGCCAAATTTCCAGAAGCACCTCATGAGGAGGCTTCTCTCATCAATAGGTATGTGGATGGGACCCCGAGTATGCTGCCTCAAGGGGAATATACGGCGAGAAGCCCTAAGTTGAAAGGAGGCCGGATTTCCTTGCAGTGGCTGCAATACAGGCTCGTCTTTCATCTCACAACATGAAGGGATGTCTGAATCCACTGTGTAGACCTTAGAGAAAGCCCTAGGTCCCTGCCTCATTTTGACGGAATGCCTCACATCCCGCTGACACCTCGAGAGGCACGCGAGGTTCATTGCTTCAAAAGGTGACGATGCCTGACTCCTCTTGAATACTGATAGGAATCCCAAAATCCCTGTGGCTACTGGAAAGGGTCCTTGGGTGCCCTGCCTCACCTCGAGAAGCGTCCCTTTTGCCCTGCCAAGCCTCGAAGAGATTCCTGAGGTGTCCCTCGTTACTAGACAGGAGTCCTGACGTCACTGAAGAAACTCGTGTTTTGAAGATCCATCCCCGCCGTAAGTCGAGAACATAACCCAGGATCCCGCTGCAACTCTAGAAAAACCATGAGACTTCCCCCTAGAGGCGAGATGAGGCCCCATTCCCCTGCAGTGCATGCAGAGCTATTCCGAGATCCCATTCAAACAAGTCAGGAGCTTCGACTTGCTTAATGGATCTCGAGACAGTCCCCAAGAACACTGTCACCAGTCTAGACGGACCCTGAGGTCACCCCAGCAACGCAAAGCAGCTCCATGTGCCCCAAATCAACTCGAGATGAGGCCCGATTCCCCTGCATTGACTCCAGAGCCATTCCCCGTTCCCCATTCAACACGACCGGTGGCTCGACTTCCTTCAGGCAACTACAGAGATGCCCCGAGAACACTCTCCCAAGTCTAGAGGAACACCAACTTCAGCACAGCAACTCGAGGAATGCTCCGTGTACCCCAAATCGTCTCGAGATGAGAGCTGATTCCCTGGCTTAGGCTCAACATGTATGCCAAATTTCCAGAAGCACCTCATGAGGAGGCTTCTCTCATCAATAGGTATGTGGGAGGGACCCCGAGTATGCTGCATCAAGGGGAATATACAGCGAGAAGCCCTAACTTGAAAGGAGGCCGGATTTCCTTGCAGTGGCTTGAATACAGGCTCGTCTTTCATCTCACAACATGAAGGGATGTCTGAATCCCCTTTGGAGACCTTAGAGAAAGCCCTAGGTCCCTGCCTCATTTTGACGGAATGCGTCACATCCCGCTGACACCTCGAGAGGCACGCGGAGTTCATTGCTTCAAAAGGTGACGATGCCTGACTCCTCTTGAATACTGATAGGAATCCCAAAATCCCTGTGCCTACTGGAAAGCGTCCTTGGGTGCCCTGCCTCACCTCGAGAAGCGTCCCTTTGGCCCTGCCAAGCCTCGAAGAGATTCCTGAGGTGTCCCTCGTTACTAGACAGGAGTCCTGACGTCACTGAAGAAACTCGTGTTTTGAAGGGCCATCCCCGCCGTAAGTCAAGAACATACCCCAGGTCCCCGCCGCAACTCGAGAAAAACCATGAGACTTCCCCCTAGAGGCGAGATGAGGCCCCAATCCCCTGCAGTGCATGCAGAGCTATTCCGTGATCCCATTCAAACAAGTCAGGAGCTTCGACTTGCTTAATGGAACTCGAGACAGTCCCCAAGAACACTGTCACCAGTCTAGACGGACCCTGAGGTCACCCCAGCAACGCAAAGCAGCTCCATGTGCCCCAAATCAACTCGTGATGAGGCCCGATTCCACTGCATTGACTCCAGAGCCATTCCCCGTTCCCCATTCAACACGACCGGTGGCTCGACTTCCTTCAGGCAACTCCAGAGATGCCCCGAGAACACTGTCCCAAGTCTAGAGGAACACCAACTTCACCACAGCAACTCGAGGAATGCTCCGTGTACCCCAAATCGTCTCGAGATGAGAGCTGATTCCCTGGTTTAGGCTCAAGACATATGCCAACTTTCCAGAAGCACCTCAGGAGGAGGGTTCTCTCAGCAAAAGGTATGTGGGAGGAACCCCGATTTTGCTCCCCCAAGGGGAATATACAGCGAGAAGCCCTAACTTGAAAGGAGGCCGGATTTCCTTGCAGTGGCTTAAATACAGGCCCCTGTTTCATCTCACAACATGAAGGGATGTCTGAATCCCCAGTGGAGACCTTAGAGAAAGCCCTAGGTCCCTGCCTCATTTTGACGGAATGCCTCACATCCCGCTGACACCTCGAGAGGCACGCGGAGATCATTGCTTCAAAAGGTGACGATGCCTGACTCCTCTTGAATACTGATAGGAATCCCAAAATCCCTGTGGCTACTGGAAAGGGTCCTTGGGTGCCCTGCCTCACCACGAGACGCGTCCCTTTTGCCCTGCCAAGCCTCGAAGAGATTCCTGAAGTGTCCCTCGTTACTAGACAGGAGTCCTGACGTCACTGAAGAAACTCGTGTTTTGAAGGGCCATCCCCGCCATAAATCTAGAACATACCCCAGGTCCCCGCCGCAACTCGAGAAAAACCATGAGACTTCCCCCTAGAGGCGAGATGAGGCCCCATTCCCCTGCAGTGCATGCAGAGCTATTCCGTGATCCCATTCAAACAAGTCAGGAGCTTCGACTTGCTTAATGGATCTCGAGACAGTCCCCAAGAACACTGTCACCAGTCTAGACGGATCCTGAGGTCACCCCAGCAACGCAAAGCAGCTCCATGTGCCCCAAATCAACTCGAGATGAGGCCTGATTCCCTTGCATTGACTCCAGAGCCATTCCCCGTTCCCCATTCAACACGACCGGTGGCTCGACTTCCTTCAGGCAACTCCAGAGATGCCCCGAGAACACTGTCCCAAGTCTAGAGGAACACCAACTTCAGCACAGCAACTCGATGAATGCTCCGTGTACCCCAAATCGTCTCGAGATGAGAGCTGATTCCCTGGCTTAGGCTCAAGACGTATGCCAACTTTCCAGAAGCACCTCAGGAGGAGGCTTCTCTCAGCAATAGGTATGTGGGAGGGACCCCGAGTATGCTGCCTCAAGGGGAATATACAGCGAGAAGCCCTAACTTGAAAGGAGGCCGGATTTCCTTGCAGTGGCTTGGGTACAGGATCGTGTTTCATCTCACAACATGAAGGGATGTCTGAATCCCAGTGGAGACGTTAGAGAAATCCCTAGGTCCCTGCCTCATTTTGACGGAATGCCTCACATCCCGCTGACATCTCGAGAGGCACGCGGAGTTCATTGCTTCAAAAGGTGACGATGCCTGACTCCTCTTGAATACTGATAGGAATCCCAAAATCCCTGTGGCTACTGGAAAGGGTCCTTGGGTGCCCTGCCTCACCTCGAGAAGCGTCCTTTTGCCCTGCCAAGCCTCGAAGAGATTCCTGAGGTGTCCCTCGTTACTAGACAGGAGTCCTGAAGTCACTCAAGAAACTCGTGTTTTGAAGGGCCATCCCCGCCGTAAGTCGAGAACATACCCCAGGTACCCGCCGCAACTCGAGAAAAACCATGAGACTTCCCCCTAGAGGCGAGATGAGGCCCCATTCCCCTGCAGTGCATGCAGAGCTATTCCGTGATCTCATTCAAACAAGTCAGGAGCTTCGACTTGCTTAATGGATCTCGAGACAGTCCCCAAGAACACTGTCACCAGTCTAGACGGACCCTGAGGTCACCCCAGCAACGCAAAGCAGCTCCATGTGCCCCAAATCAACTCGAGATGAGGCCCGATTTCCCTGCATTGACTGCAGAGACATTCCCCGTTCCCCATTCAACACGACCGGTGGCTCGACTTCCTTCAGGCAACTCCAGAGATGCCCCGAGAACACTGTCCCAAGTCTAGAGGAACACCAACTTCAGCACAGCAACTCGAGGAATGCTCCGTGTACCCCAAATCGTCTCGAGATGAGAGCTGATTCCCTGGCTTAGGCTCAAGACGTATGCCAACTTTCCAGAAGCACCTCAGGAGGAGGGTTCTCTCAGCAAAAGGTATGTGGGAGGAACCCCGAGTTTGCTCCCTCAAGGGGAATATACAGCGAGAAGCCCTAACTTGAAAGGAGGCCGGATTTCCTTGCAGTGGCTTAAATACAGGCCCGTGTTTCATCTCACAACATGAAGGGATGTCTGAATCCCCAGTGGAGACGTTAGAGAAATCCCTAGGTCCCTGCCTCATTTTGACGGAATGCCTCACATCCCGCTGACATCTCGAGAGGCACGCGGAGTTCATTGCTTCAAAAGGTGACGATGCCTGACTCCTCTTGAATACTGATAGGCATCCCAAAATACCTGTGGCTACTGGAAAGGTCACTTGGGTGCCCTGCCTCTGCTCGAGAAGCGTCCCTTTTGCCCTGCCAAGCCTCAAAGAGATTCCTGAGGTGTCCCTCGTTACTAGACAGGAGTCCTGACGTCACTGAAGAAACTCGTGTTTTGAAGGGCCATCCCCGCCGTAAGTCGAGAACATACCCCAGGTCCCCGCCACAACTCGAGAAAACCATGAGACTTCCCCCTAGAGGCGAGATGAGGCCCCATTCCCCTGCAGTGCATGCAGAGCTATTCTGTGATCCCATTCAAACAAGTCAGGAGCTTCGAATTGCTTAATGGATCTCGAGACAGTCCCAAGAACACTGTCAACAGTCTAGACGGACCCTGACGTCACCCCAGCAACGCAAAGCAGCTCCATGTGCCCCAAATCAACTCGAGATGAGGCCCGATTCCCCTGCATTGACTCCAGAGCCATTCCCCGTTCCCCATTCAACACGACCGGTGGCTCGACTTCCTTCAGGCAACTCCAGAGATGCCCCGAGAACACTGTCCCAAGTCTTGAGGAACACCAACTTCAGCACAGCAACTCGATGAATGCTCCGTGTACCCCAAATCGTCTCGAGATGAGAGCTGATTCCCTGGCTTAGGCTCAAGAAGTATGCCAACTTTCCAGAAGCACCTCAGGAGGAGGATTCTCTCAGCAATAAGTATGTGGGAGGGACCCCGAGTATGCTGCCTCAAGGGGAATATACAGCGAGAAGCCCTAACTTGAAAGGAGGCCGGATTTCCTTGCAGTGGCTTGAATACAGGCTCCTGTTTCATCTCACAACATGAAGGGATGTCTGAATACCAAGTGGAGACCTTAGAGAAAGCCCTAGGTCCCTGCCTCATTTTGACGGAATGCCTCACATCCCGCTGACACCTCGAGAGGCACGTGGAGTTCATTGCTTCAAAAGGTGACGATGCCTGACTCCTCTTGAATACTGATAGGCATCCCAAAATCCCTGTGGCTGCTGGAAAGGGTCCTTGGGTGCCCTGCCTCACCTCGAGAAGCGTCCCTTTTGCCCTGCCAAGCCTCGAAGAGATTCCTGAGGTGTCCCTCGTTACTAGACAGGAGTCCTGACGTCACTGAAGAAACTCGTGTTTTGTAGGGCCATCGCCGCCATAAGTCGACAACATACCCCAGGCCCCGCCACAACTCGAGAAAAACCATGAGACTGCCCCCTAGAGGCGAGATGAGTCCCCATTCCCCTTCAGTGCATGCAGAGCTATTCCGTGATCAAATTCAAACAAGTCAGGAGCTTCGACTTGCTTAATGGATCTCGAGAAAGTCCCCAAGAACACTGTCACCAGTCTAGACGGACCCTGAGGTCACCCCAGCAACGCAAAGCAGCTCCATGTCCCCCAAATCAACCCGAGATGAGGCCCGATTCCCCTGCATTGACTCCAGAGCCATTCCCCGTTCCCCATTCAACACGACCGGTGGCTCGACTTCCTTCAGGCAACTCCAGAGATGCCCCGAGAACACTGTCCCAAGTCTAGAGGAACACCAACTTCAGCACAGCAACCCGAGGAATGCTCCGTGTACCCCAAAACGTCTCGAGATGAGAGCTGATTCCCTGGCTTAGGCTCAAGACGTATGCCAACTTTCCAGAAGCACCTCAGGAGGAGGTGCACAAATTTTAAAAGCAAACTTATGATTACCAAATGGGACAAGTGAAGGGAAGGGTAAATAAGCAGGTTGAGATTAACAAACAGATGCTACTATATGTAAAATAATCAACAAGGACCTACTGTATAGCACAGGGAACTCTCCACAATATTCTGTAATAACTTTTAATGGAAAAGAATCTGAAAAAGAATAGATCTATGATTCTGTGACACCACGCATAAAAATAAAATAAAAATGGATTAAAGATGTAAATGTAAGACTAGGCACTATAAAAAAGTTAGAGAAAAACAGAGGCAGAAGACTCTCTGACATATATCGCAGAAAGATCTTCTCTAATCCAATTGCTAGAGTGATGAAATAAAAACAAAAATTAAAAAATGCAGCCTAATCAAACTTAAAAACTGACCCCTGGGAGACAGTGTTCTCCCAACATAAAAAGAGCGCACAGAAAGGAAGAAAATATCTGCAAATGAAGTGACCAACAGGGGATTAATCTTCAAAATATGTAACAGCGCATGCAGCTCAACATTTTCAAAAAAAAAAAAAAAAAACTAAAATCCTCCATCACAAAATAGATGGAAGATCTAAATACACATTTCTCCAAAGAAGGCATACAGGTGGCCAAGAAGAACATGAAAAGACACTGAACATCACTAATTATTAGAGAAACACAAATGAAAACTTCAATGAGGTATCAGATCATACGAATCAGAATGGCCATCATCAGAAAATCTACAAAGAATAAAAGCTGTAGAGCGTGTGGAACAAAGGGAAGCCTCATACATTGTTGGTGAGAATGGAGATTGGTATAGCCACTATGAAAAGCAGTATCAGTTCAGTTCAGTCCCTCAGTTTGTCTGACAGTATGAAGGTTCTTAAAAGACTAAAAATAACAGTTACCCTATGATACAGTCATCTTACCCTTGTGCAAATATCCAGAGAAAAACATAATGTGAAAAGATACATGTTTCCCAATGTTCGTTTCAGCACTATTGACAGTAGGCAGAAGACAGAAGCAACTAAATGTTCCTCGATGGAAGAATAGATAAAGCATATGTGTTTCATGTTTACAATGGAATATTACCGACTCTTAAAAAGAACAAAATAATTCTATGTGTGCAGCATGGATGAACCTAGAGATTGTCATACTGAGTGAAGTCTGATATAGAATGACAAATATATGATGTCACTTACATATGGAATCTAACAGAATGTTACATATAAACCTATTGACAGAAATAGAGTCTCAGATGTAGAGAACAAACTTATGGTTACCAAAGAATGGTGAAGGATAAATTAGGATTGACAAATACACTCTATTATACATAAAATACATAAAGATCTACTGGAGAGCACAGGGTACTCTATACAATTCTTTGTAATAACCTACATGGAAATAGAATCTAAGACACGAAGGTATATATAAATGATTCACTCTCCTGAACAGCAGAAACTAACAGCACTGTAAAGAATGATATTACAATCAAAATTTAAAATCATAAAACAATGAATCAAGACACATAAATATAAGAACTGAAAACACAGAACCTCATCTCACTCTCACAATTATTATAACCACTGTTCATTGTTCTGACCCTGATGCTTCCTCAGCATATACAGGATATTAGCCAAGTTCCCAGGCCATGGTGCGAATGGGTGGCCAGGAGGGAAGCAATCTCAGTGTTTGGGGGATAGAAGACAATGTGGGCTGGCGCTGGCTGTGCTGAGCAGACCAGCCCTTGGACTGACTCCCACTGAGACCTACTGCCCACCTGAACACTGTCTCCCAGGGGTCAGGGACATACCCAGTGTCATAGGAGCAGATGATTTGCTACACAAACACTGACATCACAAGGAAGGATCAACATGATTGAAAAATACCTCTGAAAATGTTATATAGATTTTCCAAAGGACTTTCAGAGACATAGTTACCTATAGATGGATGAGGTGGAGAGAAGAAGAAACAAAGGGGCTGGCACAGAATTTTACCCATCCATATCCAGCTGGTGCAGTGGTAAAGAACCCACCTGCCAATGCAGGAATCACATGAGACACGGGTACTGTCCCTGGGTTGAGAAGATGCCTCTGGAGTAGGAAATGGCAACCTACTCCAGTATTCTTGCCAGGAAAATCCCATGGACAGAGGAGGCTGGGCTGTAGTCCATGGGATCACAAAGAGTTGGACTTGACTGAGCGACTGAGCACACATATGTGTCACAAGGGACAACCTTCAAACAGTGGCTCACCTTACATGTGTTACTTGTAATGGATTTTCACTAGTTTCCAAATGAAACTGGAGATAAAAAGCATGTCAATATATTTTAAAGAAATTGTCTTATGTTTATCAAACATGTTCTGAGGAAGTTTAACTTGAAAAGGACTCTTTTCAATGGGGCAGTCAGTCATTTCAGTGGCTCAGTCATATCTGACTCTTTGCAATGCCATGGATTGCAGCACAGCAGGCTTCCCTGTCCATCACCAACTTCCGGATGCTCTGCAAACTCATGTCCATTGAGTCGGAGATGCCATCAAGCCATCTCATCCTGTGTTGTCCCATTCTCCTCCCGCCTTCAGTCTTCCCTAGCAACAAGGTCTTTTCCAATAAGTTGGTTCTTCGCATCAGGAGGCCAAAGTATTGGAGTTTCCACTTCAGCATCAATCCTTCCAATGAATATTCAGGATTGATTTCCTTTAGGATTGACTAGTTGGATCTCCCTGAAGTGTTTGCCATAAGCGGGTACACACTGCCCTCTGGTGGCCATGTGAGTAATAGCAGGAGCACTGCTGGGCTCCAAGGGTCTCTATGCCAAAGAGGCCAACAATCAGTTGCCACCTCACAGTCTCGCTATGAGAGTAAACCAAATTCTGCAAGTCTCAATGTTTGGGGGCTGCCGTCTAGTGGAAATCGCTGTCTTGACTATGACACAATACGTCACTTTCCAAGTGCAGAATTTCAGAGTGATGGTTGAGCACCTGAGTTAGGCCCTGGGACCACAACAGAGAATAGAGAGGAGGTGGCTACCTCTTGCGACCGCAGGAAAAGGGTGGGACCATGCTGGGTGGGATCACTTGCCTGTCTGCCGTCATGTGAGGAGCCCTGTGTACACAGTGCCTGGCAGCCGGGCAGAAAGTCTCAGGGCACCAGGCAGCTGCCTGTGTTGCTTCTCAGAACTACAGACATCTCCCCTCCAGACACACGCCCACCACTCTCTGCACAGAGCTCCACCGAGGACGCAGACCCCTGACCACCTGGCAGCCTTGGGTCCACACGGGCACAGAGCAGAGCACTTCAGGGATCCTGCTTCCCCACTGCCAGCCCATCCTCAGGTGTGATTGTGACAGCACGCCCTGGTCACCACGTGCCCAGCAAGCCACTCCTGCCCAGACGGAGTACCTCCTCTCAAGTCCCACTTTCCCGCACATGGAGATGAGGGCTGCTGGCGCTGCCCAGAGACGGCTCCCAGGGTCGGCCAGGCCTGGTGTGGCCAGCTCTAGGTTGACTGGGATTACCTTATGTGACCTCCTGGTAAAGGCCCTGAGGCATCCAGGTTGAGTGCTGAACTGCCTGGAACATCTGAAAAAACTCTCCCTACACGGTTTTCTGAAGCAGAAGCCCTGGCCAGTCAAGACACAGTTGGAGAACATCCTTCTGGATGAAGACTCTCCAGCCAAGCGATCCCCAACTGGCTGCGGTGCTGGGGCTAGAAGGTGCGTGCCTGGTTACAGGGTTCCGAGTTCTGTTAGGTTCTGCTGTTCAGGAAGTGACTTCACCACCCGGTGGTCCCTTCCTTGGATTGACAGTTGACACCCCTGCACATAGCCCTCAGGACACTGACCGCTCATCCCTCATCCACGCAGCCCCTGGCCTCACACAGTTGAACCACAAAGCCCTCCACACAGCTCCCGGGCAGGCTGTGTGTGCAGCTCTGAGTTGACAGACCTGGGCCCAGACTCACCTCACATTTCCTACCTGTTCTCCATCCTGGATGAGTCCCTGTCTTTCAAAGTCTGGCGGTGTCTCACCTGCACAGCGGGGATGATGCCCACATGGACTTCTGGGGATGTCCTCAGACAGAGGTGGGACAACACCTGGAACAGGTGGGAGTCCTGTCTCAGGCAATCAATGCCTCCAACACCTGTATATTTTTCTTATTACCTTCTTCATATCTGTTCCTCTTCTGATCCGAACTCACAGTCCTTATTAACTGTCAGTGTGAGTGTGCATGTGTGAGTGTATCCCAGTGCTCACTCTGGTAGGCCAGAAGAAGACTGCCCCTGTGAGGAGGAATAGGTTACAGCTTCCTAAGATCTCAGGGTTTCTAATTTCCAAAGCAAATCTATTGAGAGGGGTCTCAGCTTTGGCCAAGGAGATGAAGACACTGTGACACAAGACACTAAAGTTGGCAGGGGCTAGAGCTGGGTTGACAGACTCAACATCATCTGGCCCCACTGTGCACACACATAAGCACAGTACAGAACGTGATGACACAGCTGCCTTCCCGGGGCTCACAGCCAAACAGGCTCGCATCTCAGGCTGGACACA